GGATGTGAGAAATATCATAGGAAAAATGACTGAGTTTCTTTCACAAATTAATGGCTTTAACAATAAAGAGGGGATGTTATAGATTTAAAAAGACTTATAAGATGCATCAATCACATGTAATGTATAAACCTTGAATCTTGATTAAATTTAAGAACTCTAGTTTTTATATAAAAAAATTAAACATTGATTATTAGGAAATATCAATAAATTAATATTGGGCTGGGATGTAGCTCAGTGATGGAGAATTTGTCTAGCATACTTGAGGCTCTGGGTTCAATTCCCAAAAGGACAAGAAAAAAAAAAGAAAGAAATTAATGTTAACTTATGTTAATTAATCTTAATGTGACCATGATAGTGTGGCAATATTATTTTTAAAGTTCTTATCTCTCAAAAAATTTAAAAATAGTTGAGGAAAATATGACAAAATATTAAGTTATTAAATTGAGGTGATAGATGTATGGAAATTCATTATTCTGCCTACATTTCTGTGTGTTTATAACTTTATAAAAATGGAGAAGAGAGAAGAGAAAGGGAAGGAGGGACAGAAGGCACGCCAGACAACCAGGGCTTGAATCCTGGCTTTAACACTTTCTGGCTGAGCAAATTTGAGCAAGTTATTTAAACTATCTGTGCCTCAGTTTCTTCATCTACAGATTAGGTGAATAACAGTATCTAATGCATAAGACTGGAATATAGATTAAGTGAGTTATTATCAGTAAAGTGTTGAAACAGTTCTCAGTAACCGTGAATTCTTATTACTCCATCCAAAGTGAATTCTAAGCCAGGTGTAGTGGCACATGCACTGTGGAAGGCTGAGGTAGGAGGATCATGAGTTCAAGCCCAGCCTGGGCAACTCAGTGGCTTAGTGAGACCCTGTCTCAGAATAAAAAATAAAAGGGGTCAGGCATAGAGTGGGTACATGGCTGTAATCCTAGCACTTAGGAGAATGAGGCAGGGGGATCATCGTGAGTTCCAGCCCAGCCTGGGCTACATAGTGAGTTCAAGGCCAGCGTAAACTACGTAGCAAGACTCTGTCTCACAAAACAAAACAAAATCAACAAACAAAATAAAAGGAGCTGGAGATGTAGCTCATTGTGAGGGCCCTGGGTTCCATCTCAGTGCGGTGAAGGGAAAAAAAAGTCAAATTCTGATTTATAACATTCCAGCACGGCTGACCTTTGGACCAGTCAAATCTGGCTGGGTGTGGCTAGGTAAGAAAGCCGGGGCTGTCCCTGAGAGCATCCATGCAGTTGGAGAATGAGGCAACACTCAAGGGAAGAGGAATCCCAAGAGGTAGAAATTATAGTACCAGGAAGCCCTGGAAAGAGGTGACATTAAACTGCAAATGGCAATTTCGACACATAACACTATGTGGGAGAGAGGTGAAGCAAACCCAAAAGGTGTAGTGAGCTCTGCCTGGAAGATCACCATAGAGAGGAGGAGTGGGTGTCTGGTTGCTGATATTTCCTTTGCTCCTCCTGGAACAAGAAGCATCAGGGATAGCACAAGTCCAGTAATTAATATGCATTAAGGGGCCTTAACAGTGACTGGATAAGGCAGAAGTCTACAAGTGAGGCTGGTCATGTATCTAATGGCTACTCATTCTCAAAGATGAGTAGTATCTAAATTTCAAAGAGCTCATAGGGCTGAAGTTCTATCTTCCTACCTCAGCGCAAACCTCTGAAATCAAAGGAAGCATTAATGCCCCACCCTGGGAAAAAAGTTTCTGTTTCAGTTCCTCTCCTGCAGCCTCAAGATACCTAGCCAAAGTGAGGATGGGCAGCATTTGCAGAATTAGAGTAACAGCCCCCTCCCCGTCCTGGCAAGGTGGAAATCTATGAGTTAACCCCTTCTGGGTCCTGGAAGGACTACTGGGCTTGCTAGTTTGGGGATAAAATTTGCTAACATTCCCCAAATAGCCTGCTGGGCTCTTGGGGAGAATCCTTTGAGCACAGGAAGCTATTACCACCTAGGCTGCTTTTGTGTTCTTCCACCCCCCACCTGTTTTCAGTCGGTCCTGGACTTCACCTTCTTTGGGCGAGGACCAGCATTGGTACAAATATTCCCAGGAGCTTGGGAATGAGAAGGGTGAAACAGTCTGGTGCAGGGGAAAGAAGCTGGAATTTGCAGTTGGAAGAACTGGTTTCAAGCCCTAGCTCTGCCACTTCCTTGCTTGCTTGTTTGTTTATCTTGGACAAATCAGTTAACCTCTCTGAGCCTCTTTGCTTATTTGTAAAATGGAAACCATGATAATAACATCTTGACTACACAAAGCTGTTGTGAGATAATCGGAGCTCTGTGTGTTTGTGACCTGTTCTATTGTAGAAGGCAGTTTAGCTATTTAGTTTATAAGTAGGCAGCTAGTAAGGGGCACGGCCTAAGACAGAGTCTTTGCTGGTTGCAAAGAAAATAGTAATACATCAAGTTAAGAGCTAATTCAAGCCACGTAGCTTAAATGTGAAAGCGAGCACAGGAACAGTATAAAAGGTTAAGACCCTAACTCTCAGGAAAGAAACTTCTTGGGCAGATAACCTAAGTTAGTTAACCTCTATCTCTGGGCTTAGTTTCAAGGAACTTAGAAATACAGAATAACAGCCATTTTCTCTAAGAAAATTTGCTTTTCCAGGGCTAGGGATTTAGCTCAGTGGTTTCGCCACCTGCTGTGCAGGCACAAGGACCCGAATTGATCCCGGGTACCAAAAAAAAACCCCAAACAAACAATTTGCTCTTCCAGGGCTCCTGGCTGTTTTTTAGGAGAAACTATTTCTGACATTTGTTTATTAAAAAGCTACCTGTTGTACCATAGTCAAACTAAGTTGCTAAATTGCCCAGGCTGGACTCCAACTTGTGATCCTCCTGCCTCCCAGAGTGACTGAATTACAGGGCTGTGCTACAGGACCAGCAAAATGTCACTGTTCCAAGATGTGCTGGGTAATCCAAGCATCAGGCTGCTAATGAGAATGTGTAAGAAGTGTAGAACCTATGAGGGCTTCCTTCTTTCTCTCTTGGGACTCACAGCTGTGATTTTGGGAATCGTTCTCATTGTACAGGCCCACGCTCGCCCTGTGACTTTTACTGTTGGAATGGTACTGATAACTGTGAGCATGTTTATAGTCATCCTTACCACTTCATTGACGTGGTGTAGAGCCGAGGAGATGTCGCAGAGAAGCGTGGATGCAGGCCAGCAGGGAGGAACTGACTGGGACAGTGCTCTACAGGATTCTGTGGAGACAACCAGCACCTCCCTGTGACTCAGTCGTGAACAGTGATAACTGGACTTGTCGACACATTGAGGCATTTTCAGTATTGTTTTTGAGTACTAATAAAATTTGCCTTTAAAAAAAAAAAAGAAAGAAATACAGAATAACAGGTTTCCTTTGAACTCTGCCAGCTGAGTAACTAATTTTCTTTAAATTCTACATCACAAAACTTAAATCCCAATTGGTCATTTTATTTATTTATTTATTTATTTAAAAAATTTTTGTTTTGTTTTTGGTACCAGGGATCGAACTCGGGTCCTGACACTTGCACGGCAGGCAGCGAAACCACTGAGCTAGATCCCCGGCCCCCAATTGGTCATTTTAAACCCACATGGCCACCTGGGATAGGTGATCACGGGATAACTAAACGAGTTCTTGGCTCTGGTTATCCATAAAAGACAAAGAAAACACCCTGACATCCTACTTCCTGGGACCACCCACCAGCTGCTGGGAGCCTTTTTTTCTTCTTATATTTCCAGTAAACACTTCCCTCTAACCCTCTTTTAGTCCACAATTTCATTTCTTCAACTTCTTGAGACAAAGGCTTGGTTTGTACAGTGATAGCCATTTGACTATTCTCTCCTCTCTGGGGGCTGATTATATGCACAGACATGTTCTTCAGAGTTGGGTCTTCTGTTTAGTTTAATTCCTTGGTTGATGCTTGTAAAATGCTTAGAGCAAGTAGCTTTATTGCCAGTAGTCAGAACCCTTAGGAAATGACTACTTCTCAGAGGTGTCTTCCAGGTGTGGCTGGCTTCTGGGTTTTGAGTCTGTTGCAAGATCCTTCAATTTATTGGGAATGAGAAGTTGCTGCCTACTTAGCCCAGCCTCTGGTTCTTTGGCACTGGCTTATAGTATTTTTTAAAATCCTTAGGCAATCTCAGTCTTGGTATACCAGGAAGAACAAATAATTAGCACAGTTATGTCACCTTGGCTAAAGTAGTACAATCATCAACAACAATAGCATCAAACACAGCCTAGAAAATGACAAAAGGTGGTAAGTGTTAATTACCACCTTTAACTGTATGAACTAGATTTGTGGTTATATAACAAAATCTAAAATAAACCAGAAAATTGTGTGCAGTAAATAAGCCCTCAATATGGTGATTTTACCCTTAGGGGAGAAGATTTAAAAAGGGATAAGGGGGGCAGGGGATTTAGCTCAGTGGTTTTGCCACCTGCTGTGCAAGCACAAGGACCCAAGTTCAATCCCCGGTATCAAAAAAAAAAGTTCCATATAAAAAGGGATAGGGGGAAAATAGAGAAATAGAAGAAGAGGAAGAGATTAGAACCAAGGCTGGAGGACAAAGGATGATTGTGCAAACTTTGGGAAAATGGTGAAGAAGACAGGAGGGAAAGAGAGAAGGAAAAAATAAAAACAAGAACAGAACAGATCAACAACAAAAAAACTAGAAACCATGCTCACATTCATATAAAAACAAGGATAATCAAGAAAAAACAAGAACAAAAAGTAGAAAAGAGAAATAAAAGAAGAAAATAAGAAAAATAAAAGATAAGAAAAAAAATGTCCAATTCAAGATGTTCTCTGTTGTCACTGGTAGAAAACATGGACAGACAGAGTCCAGATCTCAACTGATTAATCCCAGCAAGCCAGCCATAGCTTTACGGCAGGGTAGTGGGTAATCCCAGCTGGCCTGCACCTTTAGTTCCACTGAAGTTCAGGCTGGTTTCCGGCTGTAAGGCTGGAACCAGATTTGTTCAACCTGCAAAAGTCCGTATGCCTCCTGCTGGTTTGAACTTGGCTCCCTCACCAAGACACCAGGAGCCACTAGATGGAGCCAGCCCGCAGCTGTTCTGAGTTCTGAGCTCAGTTGGCCCCTCTCCAAGGGATTGTCTACCAGCCAATCACCCTCTCCTGGGGGATGTCTGAATCCAAATAACTCACCAGCCACTGCAGTTCTCTACAACCACTGCTCTGTTCCACTTGTGTGTTTCTCTGTGGAGGCCTCTGGGGTTACCAGTTGTCACCATGTGTCTGCAGGTTTCAGCTGCCCTTCCCACACCATGAGTCTGGGCTCAGGGACAAAGCGCTACCTCCCACCTCCCTCCTCTTTGTTGAAGCTGCTCTTCGCTCTCCCCATGGGCTTCAATTCTCACTTCACATCCTTTCTGGGTCTCAGGGACTCACTTCCCTCCTTCTCCTCCTCCTTATGCTGCTATATTCCAGTATCAGGACACCAAATCTCAGAGAGGCTCTTTCTTTGTTGCTCACCACTCCGCTGTCTTCCTGGAAGTCTCTAGTGTTGAGTCTTCTTCGATGTTAAAAAATGTGAATGCAAGTGAGGGTTCCAGTTGATGTTTCTCCTCTAAAGTCTTTTAACAGATCACCAGTGATTGATAGAAGCATAGTTATGGACCTGAGAGCTATTTCTGCTGCGAGAATAGGCATGCTGTTCCCCTACCAATCCCAGAAAATTCCCGAGGAATCCCTTTGAGATTAACCACCATGTTTGTCTGGAGACCTCATAAGAAGGCTGGAAAATGTAGACCTTTTGTGGGTTTTTCATTTGTTTGTTTGTTGGGGGGTGTTTTGTTTTGTTTTGTTTTTGAGACAGCATCCCACTGTGCTCTCCAGGACTGTCTTAAACTCCTGAGTTCTGAGTACGTGGGACTTCAGGCACACAACGTCATGCTCAGCTTGAGAATGTCGACTTCTTAACCCACAGAGGGACCACAGCCCTACAGAGAGACTCCACATAACCACAGTCCACACACTCACCTTCCTTTCACACACATGTACATTCTGCTCCATCATAAAGATCTGTGCTCAGCCTGTAAACCAGAGAAACATGACAACAATAGCACTTTACTATGTGTCTGCTACGTAGGAAGGGACAACATAGGGACAAAGTATTACTTTAGGCAGCATGACTCTCAAGAAAGGCCATGAGGGCCGAGGATTTAGCTCAGTGTTGCCACCGATGCCTTGCAAGTGCAAGGTCCTGAGTTCGATCCCCAGTACCAGAAAAAAAGAAAAGAAAAGCATCATGTAAGAAAGGCCACGAAAGTCCTCTCTGATCCTTGGATTCTATTACTGCTCTCTGCTGCCTTCCCAAGTACTCCTTGGGAAGTAGCTCTACCAACATAGGACAGCTGTGCTTCTGGTTTCTGCCTTAGGCCATTGTGACTGCTGAGAAGAGGAGGACAGCTGGGATCCAGCCAGGCAGTGATATTGAGAGGGAGAGAAGCTGTTACCCACACTGACCTGCTGAGAGACTTAGTAGGAACTTAGCCTGGAAGGCTCCGGAAATTGGGGATCAGAGAAAGAGCCACATGCTAAGTGGGATGCCTGGGGTTCCTTTATCTGTGGAGATCCAAAGGCTAGGTCTGTGGTTTTCACAGGGGTCAGGTCTACAATTGTTTTCAGGGCCCTGCTGACTGAACACAGGGGTCTGGCTCCAGACACTTAGTAGCTATGTCTTTTGTGAGCAAGTTTTATATTTTTATCTATCTGGAGAATAGAACTATAAAAACCTCAGAGAAAATTGGGCTGACATTCACATTGACAAATCACTAGTTTTTCCATCTTTTCTCCTAGGTAAGACCCCTCTTGTCGCCCCCAATCCTTTTTTTGTTTGTTTTTGTTTTTTGTTTTTTTGAGGTAGGCTAGCCCTAAACTCACTATGTACCCTAGGCTGGCCTCAAACTCATGGCAATGCTCCTGCCTTAGCCTCCTGAGTGCTGGGATTACAGGTGGGCATCACCACACCCAGCATCCCCATTTCTACTGGCCTGTCAAATAATACTCAAGTGTCATTCTTCTTTGTTTGTTTGTTTGTTTGGTACCAGAGCTCAAACTCAGGACCTTGTGCTTGCAAGGCAGGCACAGTGCCACTGAATTAAATCTCCAGCCCTCAAGTGTCACTCTGTTTTTTTGGTACCGGGGATTGAACTAGGGTCCTTGCATTTGCGCAGCAGGTGGCAAAACCACTGAGCTAAATCCCCAGCCCTCAAGTGTCATTCTTAATGTATCCAAGTACAAAGCATTTCTTTCACTCCCTCCCTATCCTCCCTACCAATTTTTGTAGAGACTAAAGGAGATAAACTATATAGAAACACTGTGACAATTGCCAAAGGTTTTGGAAATATTAAACACATATTCAGACTTGTGCAAAGCCTTTTTTTTTTTTTACAAGGAGCATCAGGAAATCAATGAGTTCTCAAATCTTTGCATTCCCTGCCAGAGGCCTCTGGAGACCTCTCCAGAGGGACTGCCTATCTCACCTGAGCTGCTGATCTGCCCAGCACTTACTCCAGACTCTCTATGTCAACTATTCAGTGTAAAGTGCTTCCCAGTTACCTGGCCTGGATAAGCACATCACTGCACACGCAGGTTTTAATGGAGCACATTCTGCTTCCTCCATAAAGGAGGAATTGCTATGGCAGTTGCCCACATGCTAAAAATAGCTAGAAAAATAGACAATACATATAAAATAGCTGTCCTCTGGGCTCTGGATTTAGCTCAGTGGTTTCACTGCCTGCTGTGCAAGCGGAAGGACCCAAATTTGATCCCTGGTACAAAAAAAAAAATAACTGTCCTCAGACCTTGGGTGACAGTCACTGCAGGAGAGAGAGGTTTTTTTTGTTTTTTGGTACCAGGGATCGAACTCGGGACCTTGTGCTTGCGAGGCAGGCGGTGGAAACACTGAGCTAAATCCCCAGCCCAGGAGAGAGTTTTTGATATTTGACTGATGACAATCTTCAAGCCCCATTTCTTCCCTGTTTCCTTTTTTGATCCATCTAAGCAATCCTGTAAGAATGCCATATGCTTTTTCACTTGGTTTCAAAACATAGCATAGGCTGGTGGTGTAGCTCAGTGGTAGAGCACTTGCCTAGCATGTGCCAGGCCTTGGGTTCCATCCCTGAAACCAACCCACCCACCAACCAATGAACCAACCAACCAACAAACAAATAGTCCTTATGTGCAGGAACCTCACACTGGTTCCAACTACACTCAAAACCAAAGCCACTCACTCCTCCCTTTGCTAAAGTCAATCCAGATGGCCTTGGTGCCAAATCTGCTCTCCTGTAATGTGAGCAATAAAAGTTTTCATATACTTTTTGTGCATGTGAGGCATCATGGGCCTTGACATCCAAATCAGTTTTGGATGGGGAATGGATCTGCTCCTTGAGGTAATCACCAAGTGACAAAGGGAAACAAATGAGGTAAGACCTGCGATTGCACCAACTTACTACCTGGAGAAAGTTCCACAATGCAGGAGGAGAAACCCAAAGTGAGCTTGGCAATCTCCCCAAACTGATGACTCAGAGATTAGAGTTCAGAGATGCTGAAGCAGTTAGTAATTATGGGGAAAACACCAGAGAAAAATAGCACCACACAGAGATTGAGCTCCAGAAAACTGCCAAGGAGTCCGTGGTTAAATAATAGTCTGCATTTGCTTGAGGGGAAATCCTATAAAACTGAATCTGAGCAAGAACAAATTTCAAGGAAAAACAACTTCCTACCTGGGAGCTGGAAAACCAACAATATCCAGAGCAGACCCATGACTGTGTTATTTAACTTCTTCCCAACCAGATGAGAGAGACCCATAAAAAGGCCATATTTTTTAAGTTAGGCTAAATAAGTTCTAGAATAAAGATGACTCTAGAAACACAAACAAGCCTCTAATGATGGAACAAACCTACAGGTAACTTAACTGCCTGCCAGGAAAACCCAACAGTTTTTAAAGGAGTGAACAAAGTGTAGCAAGCCACAAAAGCCCAACACAAGGTAGATATTCAATGACATAAAATTCACAATGTCCAGCATCTGACAAAAATTTACTAGACATACTAAAAAGCAGGAACATGTGACTCAGAGCCGGAAGAGCAAAATCAGTCCATAAAAACAGATTCCCAAATGACAGGTATGATGAACTTTGCAGACAGAGATGTTGTAAGAGCTATTATAAACATGCTTTGAAAAAAAAACTGCTCTGTGTGCTCAATTTTGCCAAGAACATGAAAGTGAGAGAAATTGAAAATATAAAAAACTATTTGGATGGAACTCCTAGAGGTAATAGATGTGACAGTTGAGTTGACAAGTACATTAGATGGGACTAACAGTAGACTGAACACCACAAAAGAAAAAATCAGGACAGAAACTACACAAAAAGAAACAAAGAGAAAAAAGACTGAAAAAAACTATATCCCTCCTTGGTGACCTGTGGAACATTATCAAGTGGTGTTGTTTTACATGTAATTGAACATGTATAAGATGTACAGAATGTACATATAATTGGAGTTCCAGAAGTATAGGAGAGAAAGGAAGAAAAAAATAATACCTGATGATTTTCCAAGATGGTGATGATGGGAGGAGGTAGTGGAGATTGAACCCAAGGTCTTCACACTGAGCTACATCCCTAGCCATTTGTTTGTTTGTTTATTTATTTGTTACAAGATCCCAGTACATCATTAGGTTGCCTAGGCTATGCTCAAACTTATGATCTTCCTGCCTCAGCCTCCCAGAGTGCTGATCTTACAACTGTGCACCACCACACTTGGCTTGATTTTCCAAATTTAACTAAAACTATAATCCCAATGATCTAAAAGCTAAAAAAAAAACCCTAAGGAGGATAAACCTAAATCAAGCTGGGCAAGGTGGTGCATCCATGTAATACCAGCACTTAAGGGACCCTGAGGCAGAAGGAGTGTCAGTTTGAGTTCCACGTGGGCAATGTAGTAAGATTCTGTCCAAAAAATGAGAGGAGGGCTGGGAATATAGCTCAGTGGTAGAGTGCCCCTGGGTTTGCAATCTGAAAAACAGCCAGAGACAAAAAGACAGTTTACCTACAGAGGAATTATGATAACAAAGATAAGAATGTCAGAAAAATTATCATAAAATACTAGATAGTCTGGAAGGTAACATTACATATTAATATATTTAAAGTACTGAAAGAAATGAAACACAGAGCTGGGTGTGGTAGTGCATGTCTGTAATCCCAGCACTTTGGGAGGATCCCCACTGGTTTGAGCCCAGACTGAACCCAATAGCAAGACCCTATCTAAAAAACAAAACAAAAGAAATAAACAAAAAACTGTCAGGAATTCTCCATCAGTGGTTGGAGGTATAGCTCAATGGTAGAGCACGTGGTTAGCATGCCCCAAGCCCTGGGATCCATCCCTAGCACCAAAAGTAAAACAAAAACAAAAACCACTACGCTCAATGAAAATGTTTCAAAAATGAAGGTGAAATAAAGACTTTTTCAGACAAAGTTGAGAGAACTCATTTTGAGCTGAACTAAAAAAAAAAATGTTAAAGAAATCACTTCAGACAGAAGAGAAATTATATCAATGGAAATCTGGCTCTGCACAAAGGAATAAGTAAACATGTCGTAGAACACAAAGAACAAGAGGAGAGAAACTGAACTTTACTGTTGTGAGCACATTACATAAATTGGTATGCTATTATGTAAAGATGAACTACAATCCGTTGGAAACAGATATGCTAAATCTCACATCAACTGCTTCAAAGTAAAATAAAAAGTATTAGTAGTAAGCTAATTGTGGAGGCAAAATATAACCATACAAATAATTCATCAATTCAATCCCTTGTACCAAAAAAAGAAAAAAGAAATGCTTGGGCTGGGGATTTAGCTCAGTGGCATTGCACCTGCCTCACAAGTGCAAGGTCCTGAGTTCAATTTCTGGTACAAAAAAATAGGAGGAAAAGGGAGAAGGAACAAGAAACATATATGGCAAATAAAAAACAAATAAATTAGACTTAAACCTAACTATATCAATAATTACCTTAAGGCAAATGCTACACATTCTAATTAAAGGAAGAAATTATCATATCAAACTAAGAAAAAAAGCAAGATCTAATTATATGTTCTCTACAAGAAATCTGCTTCAAATGTGAAGACTCAGTTAAGTTGAAAGTAAAAGAATACCATGTAAATGCCAACCCAAGAAAGTGGAGTAACTCTGTTAACATCAGACAATGTAGACATTGTCTACATACAACTACTAGGAAGAATAAAGAAAAACATCCCATAATGATAAAAGAGTCAATTTACCAGAAGATATAATAGTATTCAGAGTACAAACAGTTAATAACAGAACTTTAGAATAACTTCATGGAATGAAAATGAAAAACAGATAAAACCTACAGGTATAGTTGGAGACATGAACACTCCTCAATAATTGTAGAAATAGAAAAAAATTCAATCAAGACATAAAAGACATGAATAATCCTATAAGGCAATTGATCCAAATGAATTTCTAGACCATTCCACACAACAACAGAACATGCATTTTTTTCAAGTGAATACTAAATAGTTAGCAAGAGAACATAGAGAACATATAGTTAAATCCTGCCCTTTTTCTTAATTTGATATGACAAGAAAGGCCATATCTGGGACAGAAAATAAGTCACAATGTATTCGAAATGATTAAAACCAGAGTATATTTTCTGACTACAATGTAATTAAACTCAATAATGAAAAAATATGTGAAAAATCCCCACATATTTGGAAATAAACAGCACACTTTTTAATGACCTATAGGTCAAGGAAGAGATCACAAGCAAGATTTAAAAATGTTTTGATTTGATGACAATAAAAACACAACATATCAAAGTATATGGGAAGCAATTAAGCCCTGAAAAAAAATCATCAAATGCTTATAGTAGAAAGAATTTAAAAATCTCAAATCAATGGTCTAAGCTTCTACCTTAAGAAATTAGAAAAATGGCTGAGCATGGTGGTGCATCCCTGTAATTCCAGCACTTGGGGGGCTGAGGCAGGATTGCTAAGAGTTTGAGGCTAGTGCCAACCTGAACTACCTAGTGAGACCCTGTCTCAACCCTCCCCCAAGAAAAAAACTAGAAAAATGAACAGCATATTAAACCCAAAGTGAGGGGGGGGCCAAAAATAAAGTTGTATGAAGTAAATTAATTAGAAAAGGCAGTAGGGTAATCAATTACTCAAAAGTTAGTTGATTGTTTGTGAAGATATCGAAAAACTTCTGGTTATGCTAAATAGGAAGCCAGGTATGGTGGCATACATCCGTCATCCCAGCACTCAGGAGGCTGAGGAGGAGGGTTGCCACGATGGCCAGCCTGGGCTACAGAGTGAGTTCAAGGCCAGCCTGAATTGCAATGAAAGACCCTGTCTCAAAGCAAAGCAGAACAAAACAAAAGCAGACTAAATAGGAAAAAAGAGAGAAGAAACACACTTACCAATATTAGGAATAGAAGAGGATGGGCTGGGGATTTAGCTCAGTGGAGCTGCCACCTGCGTCCCAAGCACAAGGTGCCGAGTTCAATCCCCAGTACCAAAAAATAAAAGTTCACAGGAATAGAAGAGGAGGCATCACTACAGATTGTAGGGATATTAAAGGAATAATAAGGCAGCATTCTGAATAAGTTTATGCCAATAAATTAAGTAACTTGAATGAAATGGAAAAAATATTGTGAAAGACTGATGCTTAAGAGGATATAGCCTGAATGTTTATTATAATTATTAAAGAATTTTAATTTGTGGTTACAGATCTACAAAGAAAACTCCATGCCACGTGACTTCACTTATTCTAACAATAATTGCAAAAAGAAATAATACAAACTGCATGAACTCTTCCAGAAAATATAAGAGGCATGAATACTTTTCAATTCATTCTATGAGGCCACTATTACCCTGGTTTGAAAACAAAGACAATGATATTATAAGGAAAGAAAACTTCAGAACATGAATAAAAATAAAAATCCTTAACAAAATATTATCTAATTGAATCTAGCAATATAATATGGAAATAAGTGAAATATACTCAAATGGGGTCTAGTCCAGAAATAATGCAAGATTGATTTAAATTCAAAAAACAACATTCTTAAATTACCATATTTTTCAACTTAAATAAAAATATGATCACTTCAAAATCACTTGACAAAATCTGATGCCCATTCATGATAAAATTTCTCAGCAAACTAGGAATAGAAAGGAACTTCTTCAATCTGATAAAGGATATTTATATAAAACCTACAATTAATGTCCTATGTAATGATAAAGACTAACATTTCCCCTTCAAATCAGGAATAAAGGCAAGGTGTCTGCTCTCATTACTTGTAAGCGATATTTTTTAGAGGTCCCAATCCATGAACTAAGGCAAGAAAAATAAATAAAAGGCTTCCAAAACAGAAAGGAAGAAGTAAAATTATCTTTATTCACAGACACCATGATCATCTATGTAGAAAATCCAAATGAATCTTTTAAAAAGCTACTAGAAGTAAGGAGAATGTAAAGCAAGGTCATAGGGTAAAAGGTTGATATGCAAATATCAACTACATGTCTACATATTAGCAACAACCAACTAGAAATATAAATCTAAGGTGCAATACCATTTATTGTATCATGAAAAACATGAAATACTTAGGGATAAATTTACCAAAATATTTGTAACACTTAAACCAGAATACTCAAAATTACAAATAGTGGGGCCAGGGATTTAGCTCACTGGCGCCACACCTGCCTCACAAGCGCAAGGTCCTGAGTTTGATACCCCGTACTGGAAAAAAAAATTACAAATAGTGCTTAAAAACTTTTATGAAAACCTACATACTGCAGAGATGTTCCATGTTTAAAGATCAGAAGGCTCAATATTGTTAATATATCAGTTTTCCCCAAATTAAAATTGTGAATTCAATGAAAGCTTAGTTAAAACTCCAGCAAGATTTTTATAGAAATTGATGAGATAATTCTAAAACTAATATAAAAATATTTTTTAAAAACCCTAGGATAGACAAAACAATTTTTTTGAGACAGGCTCTAGCTGTGTAGACCAGACTGGCCTGGACTCACTATGTAGCCTAGGCTGGTTTCCAACTAATGATTCTCCTGCCTCAGCCTCCCAAATGCTGGGATTACAGGCATGCACCACTATGCATGGCAAACAGTTTTTAAAGATAGAAATATTAGAAGGCTTTAGTTCTCTGTACAAGGAAGAGCTGGCAACATTTTTTTTTGGCAAAATATTTTTCCCGTTCTGTAGATTGTCTCTTCACTCTGTCAGTTGTTTCCTTCCTGTGCAGAGACTTTTTAAATTTGATAGGGCCCTATCTGTTGATTTTTGGTATTATATCTTGAGCAATTGGAGTTCTGTTCAGGAAGTCCTTGCCTTACACCTGTATCTTTAAGAATTTTACCTTTTTTATTTTCCAGCAGATTGTTTCTTATTTATTTATTTATTTATGGTACCAGGGATCAAACTCAGGACCTTGTGCTTGCAAGGCAGGTGGTGGAACCACTGAGCTAAATCTCTGGCATGTTTCTATTTTAATATTTAGCTCTTTGATCCATTTTGATTTTAGTTTAGTACATGGTGAGAGATATGAGTTTGGATTCAATTTTCCGCATATGGAGAGCCAGTTTTCCCAGCCTCATATGTTAAGGATGTTATCTTTCCTCCAGCACAAATTTTTGGCCCCTTTCTCAAAGATCAGGTAGCTAAAAGTGCTCGAAGTGTTTTCTACATCCTCTATTCTATTCCATTAAGCCACATATCTTTTTTTTTTTTTACCAATACCATGCTGTTTTATCCCTGTAGCTCTGTAGTGTAACTATTTTTTGAAATTTAAAGAAAAAATGTATTGAAGAGCTGAAAAACAGTTCCTAAAAGATGGACTTTTCCAGAAAACTGTAGCTACACAATGCATTGCCTCTATCATCTTAAAACGTGCATTAGATACAAATACAAAAACAATTAAACAATTCGCTGTTCTTCAACAACCTGAGCAAAGATAAAATGCCTAAGGAGCAACATGGATAACTTGCAAAGGATGGGCCTTTTAGGCACTGATAAAAAATAAAGAGAGCACAAATGGATGAGTGTGTTCAGTTATGTACACTGAGTTGGGCCTTTGGTACTAGGAATCAGAGCATTTTGTCACATAGCATTAACATGTAGTACAAAAGTGCATAGTGTCAAAGGAATAGAACCACCAGCATTCAAAAGCAGCTTTGTCAACTAGGCAATAAAACACTCTATACCATGTTCCTCTGTTGTCCATCACTGAAAACACTGGCAGCAACTTTGAAATGAATTGGGGTGATTGGCAAGGATCTCAGCATACTATGGTTTCTCAAATGTGTACAGAAGCTGAGTGCCTGGCATCACATTGAAGTATCCTTTTATCCCTGCTACAGAACAGCATACTCCTTATTATCTGTGTTTCCTCTCAATTTCTGATAATTTGCATAGTCCTCTGGAATGGAATCTACATTCTTCAACAACCCATGGTTTTAGCTCTTTAGGGAGCTTTAATGTCTGCTCTGTTCATAAATGTTTCTTCATTTTCAACAGTAAGATGTACCTGGGCCATTGTTGGAGGATGAGGCTGAGGTGCCTCACTGGTACTGCCACCGTCTCCATTACCAGAGGTTTTTGTTTTCACTTCAACATTTTTCTGTTTCAGACCAAGATGTCTTCTCTCCTGGAGCAGCCCCTCTCAGCTTTTCCTCTGTATATTGCTTCTGATTGGCTTTTTTTTTTTTTTTTAGACAGGGTCTAGCTGTGTAGTCCAGGCTGGCCTCGAACTCACGGCAGTCTTCCTGCCTCAGCTTTCCCAGTGCTGGGATTGCAGGTGTGCACCACTACGCCTGCAGAGATTGGCTTTTTGAAAGTCTGGCTGTTTCTGCATAAGGGTGTCCAGATATGAGTACTCTGCCTTCTGGAACCCATTCGTCACAATTCTTATTCCAACCACTGTGATGTATAAGGTATTTTACTTGTTTGCCCTTTATGACAACATTTACACACCTTGCTTCATAACGAAGAGGCCCACGAGGCCACAGTACTCTTTCATTCTCCTGGAACTTCAGCTTTGGGTCCTGCTTGGGCGACATTTATAAGTGATTCCCCACCTCCTCCTTCTCTCACCACCCCTGACTACCAACCCTACTCTCTACCCCATCTGAGCTCCTTCAGGCTCACCCTCCAGTACTACCGCCCTACATCCTGGGCCTGATTGGCCAGCCCCACAGACACTGCACAGCCGCCGCGCATGCGCTTGCCTTTCTAGACTACCTTGTGAGACTTTTTTTGTTTTTTTCCTGTACCTGGGATCGAACTCAGGACCTTGAGCTTGCGAGGCAGACGCGGTTCCACTGAGCTAAATACCCAACCCTTCCTAGAATAACTTGAAGGGTGGGATTGTGATGCCTGCTGCTTTGCTCTTGTTTCACAGGATTGCTTTTGGTATTCTGGGTCTTTTCTGGTTCTATATAAATTGTCAGATTATTTCTTCTAGTTTCGTATTTTGATTGAGAGTACATTAAATCTGTATATCAATTTTAGAAGTATGGCCACTTTGACAATATGAGTTCTGCTTGTCCAGAAACAAGGTTTATCTTTCCATTTTTTGATGTTCAATTTGATTTCCTTTTTCAGAGTTCTGTAGTTTTTGTTGTTGAGGTCTTTTGCTTCACTGGTTAGGTTAATTCCATAGTATTTAATTTTTCTTGATGCTATTGTGAATGGTATTATTTTCCTAATTTCTTCTCAGTGAGTTTATTATTGGAACACAGGAACACTTGATTTTTGAGTCTTTTGGTTTTATATCTTGCTGAATATTATATCTACTGAATTTGGTTATTAATTCTAAGAGTCTTTTGGTGAAATTTCCTGGGTCTTCTATGTAGAGGATCACTAGAATATATAAAGAACTCAGAAAATTAGACCCCTCCGAAATAAAAGACCCAAACAAAAAGTGGACAGCTGAAATGAACAGACATGTCTCAGAAGCAGTACAAATGGCTCAATAAATACATGAAAAAATGTTCAACACCTCTGGCCATTAGAGAAGTGCAAATTAAAACAACACAGATTCCATCTTACTCCGGAAAGAATGGCCACCATCAAGAACCCAAATAATAACAAATGCTGGTGAGGCTGTGGGGGAAAAGGAGCCCTTCTACATTGTTGGTGGGACTCTAAACTAGTACAACCACTAAGGAAATCAGTATGGAGGTTCCTCAGAAAACTAAAACTAAAAATTCCATTCAAACCAGCTATTCCCCTTCTAATTATCTTCCTGAAATAGTTTAAGACATCGTATTAGAGTGATACATGCATACCTATGTTTATAGCAGCTCAATTCATAATAGTTAAATCTTGGAAGCAGCCTGTATGTCTGTCAATAGATGAATGGATAAAGAAAATGTAGTGTTTATACACAATGGAGTACGACTCTGTCATAAAGAAGGATAAACTTGAGTAATTTATAGGAAAATGTATGCACCTTAAGACCATAATGTTAAGTGAAATATATCAGACACACAAGCATAAGTATTGCATGATTTCTCATATATGAGAAACCCAAAATATAAATAAAGAGCAAAATAAAAGATAGTAGGAAGTAGGGAGATAGATCTTTTGCAAATGGGAAAGGGATCAAGAAATGGAGGGAACTGGAGGGAGGGGAGAAGAAGGGAATGAAAAAAGAATTAAGATGTGTTATACACATGTACCAACACCCCATGAGGCATGTCATCATTATGTACTACAAACATGTACTAATGTTAAAATTGAGGAAAAGAATTAGAGGGCTTTTTAAGACTTTGCTATAGTGTTACAGTAATCAAGACAGTGTGACATTTGGTGCAAGGATAGACATAAGTCCATGGAACAGAATTAAGGATCCAGAAATATAATTTCTGCAGGTTAGGAATTCAGATGTGTGGTTTTAGTTCAGGCTCTCTTAAGATTGCAGTCAAGATGTTTGGTGGGGTCAGTCATCTGAATGCTTGACTAGGCCTAAAGGTTCTGCTCCCAGAATGGCTCACTTACCTGTCTGGCAGGTAAATCCTGGCTGTGGGTAGGAGGTTTCAGTTCCTCACCAAGTATAACTCTTCATAGAGTGGCTGGATATCTAGACACCAATGCAGAAGCCAATGCTTTTTTGACCAGTAGCATTGTATATTATAGTCTTTAATTTTGGCAAAATTACAGAGTATTGGTTGTGATACAACCAATGTAGCGGGAGGAGATTATACAGGGCCCTGGATACAGATGGTGTTCATTAGATGCCATTTTACAGTCCAGTTACCCAGAGTGCTGAGGTTATTTGGCAAGTGATGCTGGAAAATGGGACATCTACGTGGGAAAATCATTGACTTCAACCCCTACCTCACACCACATATTAAATTATCTTCAAATGGATCATAGACCTAAATATATGATCTAAAACTATAAAACACATAAGAAAACAAAGGAGGCCCAGGGATTTAGCTCAGTGGTTCTGCCACCTGCCTCACAAGTGCAAGGTCCTGAGTTCAATCCCTGGTACAAAAAAAAAAAGTTACAAAAAAGCAAAGGAGAAAAACGGTGCAACTTTGTATAAGGCAAAAGATTTCTTAGGTAGGATCAAACATCACAAAGTCATAAGAGTAAATAATGATCATTAGGGTTCATCAAAACTAAAACTTTACTCTTTGAAACACAGAGTTTAAAAAATGGAAAGGCAAACCAAAGACTGTTAGAAAACATATGAAAAAATGTGTCAGATAAAGGACTAACATCTTAAATATATGAAGAACTTTTCCTGCTCAATAATATAAATAACCTGATAAAATAAATAAATATTTGAACATACAGTGCACTAAAAAGGTATATGAATTATACAACTGAGTACAAAAAAGATGCTTAGCATAGTTATTAGAGAAATGACATTTTAAAATATAATAAGATGCCACTAAATAGTAGAACTTTACTAGAATAACTAAAATTAAAAACTGATAATATCAGGCTGGGGATGTAGCTCAGCGGTGCCATGCCTGCCTGGCAAGCATAAAGTCCTGAGTTTGATCCCCAGTACTGAGGAAAAAAAACTGTCAATATCAACTGTTAGTGAATAAGTGCTTTCATATATAGAAAGAAGAGTGTAAAATGCTCCAACCATTTTCAAAAAAGTTTGGCAAAAAAGGTTTTATTTTTTAAATTTTTTTTTTGTTGTTGTTTTTTGTTTTTTTTTTTTTTTTGGTACTGGAGATCGAACTCGGGTCCTTGCGCTTGCACAGCAGGCAGCGAAACCACTGAGCTAAATCCCCTGCCCAAGTTTTTATTTTTTTTTTAGACAGGGTCTTGCTATGCACTTCAGGTTGGTTTTGAACTCATTGTGTAGTGTAGGCTGGCCTTGAACTTTTGGAAATCCTCCTGCCTCAGCCTCTCATGTACTGTGATTACAGGCATGTACCACCATGCCTGGCCAGGCAGTTTCTTATAAAGTGGAAAATACATCTAGGTATGTGACATATACCTGTTGTCCTTGTTACTTTTCTCATTGCTGAAACAAAATACCTGACACCCAAAGTTAAAGGACAAAAGGTTTATTTCAGCTCACAGTTTGTAGAGGTTTTAATCCATAGTTTACTGGTCCCAAAGCAGGGTGGCCTGGCAGAGAGACATTAAAGGAGAATGAGTCCATGGCATGGCAGGGCAGGCAAAAAGCAGCAAACAACAGCAGGAGCAACAGAAGCAAGCCTACCTCTTCCTTTTATCCCATTCAGGCTACCAGCCTTTTTTGTGGTGCCACCTACACTCAGGGTGGGGCGTCTTTAATCCAAGCATCACACCCTTAATTTATCATCACACCCTTAATCCCAGTATCACACACATTAGATCCAGCCACCTCCAAAAAGCCCCACCCATGACCATATGAGGCTTTGTGGGATCATCTAGATACAAGCCATAATACCTGTAATCACAGCACTTGGCAAGCTGAGTCAGAGGGATCACAAATTTGAGTTCTGTGAGTGCAATTTAATGAGATCCTGTTTCCAACAAAAATTTTTAATGATTTTTAAAGACCAGGGGTTGTAATTCAGTGGTAAAGTGCCCCTAGGTTCCATCCCCAGTATGGAAGGAAGGAAGGAAGGAAGGAAGGAAGGAAGGAAGGAAGGAAGGAAGGAAGGAAGGGAGGGAGGGAGGGAAAGAAAGAGAGAGAAAGAAAGAAAGAAGATACATTTTCTGGTATGACCCAGCATTCTGATATGACTCAGGAATTCTATTTCTAGGTATGTATCCAAGAAAAATGAAGTCATATGTCCACACAGACTTGTTCAAATATTCACAACAGCTTCATTTAAGTAGCCAAGCGTGGGAAAAAGTCCAAACATCTATGGACAAGAACAAGTATAAGTAAATGGCTATGCAACCAAATAATGCAATATCACTCGGCAATAAAAAGGGAGTAAACTAACGACCTTTCTAACAGAAGGGGTCGTTCTCATCATTTGCTAAGTGAAAGAAGTTGGGCGCAGATTACAAATACATAATGGATCGATAGTGGCAGAAAGCAGCCCAGTGATTGCCAGAAACGGAGTTGGGGGTGGGGGGGGGGAGGGCTGTCCCGGGTAGCCTGGGACAACTTTTAAGGAGATGAAAGTGTGGTCTTGATCATAGCAGTCCTGCATGAAATGTGTCAAAACCCATCTAAACGTCCACCAAAATGGATGCATTTTATTGGACATAAATTGCACTTCAATTTTTAAAAAACAAGGAGGCATAGTTTTCTACTGAGTTTCAACTTGGACAGACAGTATCTGCCACCTTTGAACCTGCCTGTTTTTACCCACGAGGGCCTGGACCTCCCTGGCCTACAGACCTTCCCGGATGCCACAGGTGCTGGCTTTGAGAGGAATCCAAGGTTAGCGCCTGCAGCCCGGGTGGACCCCGGAACGCAGATTGGTTGAGCTACACCGCAGGTGGAGGAGGAGGGCTGGAGTGCGCACTGTCCTTCGCCCTCCCTCGCAAAGTGGGGGGAGTCACAAAGCCGATGCAGCCACTAAGGGCTGCTGCACGTCCAGAGGCCGGAGACCTGGACCACCCGTCGGAACGCTGCCCACCACCTGCTCTCGCCCGGGCGCGTGGAGACTGGACAGACCCCGAGGTCGCGGGGCTCTGTGCCCATTTGGCCACTGCGTGTCCCTCATGGATCAACCTTACTCTGCGGGACCCAGGATATAACGCCGGGGAGCAGCAGGCCAGAGCCCAGCGGGCCGGGACAATCTACAGGGTGGGAAAGGAGAAGCCCCTGCCCGGCAGAGACTCGGGGCGAGGAGCCCAGGCCGCTGGGAGCGCTGGGGCTCAGCCCTCCCCTTCTGCGGTGGCGTCGCCGAGCGCAGCCGCGAGCAGGGGGCGCCCTCACTCGGGACCGTCTCGGAGTCCCCGCTGCGCCCCACGGTCACCCCCGAGGAGCATCTCCCGACAGCGCCTGCACAGGGAGCTCGGCCTCTTGGAGAGGCCGCCCGTCCGCAGGTGTCCTGCAGGCTTGGCGGCCCCCTGAAGGGCACCGCTAGACCCTCCCCACCCTACCGGGACCTTACGGTCCTCCGTCCCGACAGGGGCCGCTCAGAGGGAAGAAGAGGGACAACCTGCCCTCTCCTAAAGCAGAGGGAGAGGAATCCCTGGAGCGGGTGGGGTGAGCGTGCGGGGGGCAGAACCTGGCCTGAGAGAGCTGTCACCAAGCTGACAAACCCTTGGCGCCTCGGATCCTCAGTCTCCCCTGACATCCTCCATCTACAGCCTTCCCAGACCTCTACTCCACCCACCTTCCTCTCTGACATTTAAAGGACCAATGTCTACGATTGCAACAAATTGTTTCTATGTAAATTTAATTAAAAGATTTTCGGCTGGAAAGATTATTGATCTGAAATCAGTTTACAGGCAGCTTAATCTTTAACAAACAGGGACTAAAAGCAAAGGATGTTTGCACATCGCACTGGCTGGGGGCAGTGGAGGAGGGCGAGGAGACGTCTCCATAGGAATGGGGGGCCACACAGGGGACCTTGACCCTCCTTGAAGACTGTCCCAAGTATCACTCCCAAGGAGAAAAACTCAGCTGTCCTGTCCTCTCGGGCACCAGTGTCTTTTGGCTGAGTCCCTGGCAAGCACAGGGACAGCGTGAGGTGGATCTCGGGAGCTGCTCACTCTGCTCTTGCTTTTTTGGCCTGCTGGCTTCATCAGAGGAGGTGATTCCATGCTCCCTGCATCCAGGCTCAATCAGTGACTACCAAGTAGTGACCCCAAGTAGGGATGGAGCTCCCAAGTTAGGTTAGGGAACCCAGAGCACAAAGAGAAGTCAAAGAGAATCTTGCCACCACACCTGAGTGAAAGGGAAGACCAAAGTTCCCCAAATCCCAGTCAAAGGACAGGAGTGACTTGTGTCCTGAGAACCCCTTGCCCACCACAGTAGCAGCCTATCATTCCCAGGCAGTGTGCCTCCTCTCTTTTTCAAGAATTTTTGGGCATCTAGTACTCCAGAATTGCCAGTCCATCCACAAGGTCCTCTCCTAGCCTTTTCTCACAATTGGCTAAGATTTAAATGGTAGCCCATAAAAAATATCATTAATCGAAGTACCTTTCAGTTCTCGGTGGTTGCTTAGTATGAATACAGCTATATAGGTTCCACCGCCTGCCCCACAAGTGGAAAGACCCGAGTTTGATCCCTGGTACCAAAAAAAAAAAACCCAGCTATATTAGGGTCCCCAGTGGACCCCCTGAACCCTCAGGGTTGCAGATTTGGAGAAGTCAGCAGTGGGAATGCTGGGCCTTTGGTGTTTTTCAAACAGTACAGAGGCAGTCTCGGCCTAGTGCATGGGTCAGTGTTGCTAGTCCCTCTGTGAGCTTGGGAGAGAAAAAGCAGGCGTTTTCTGCCCTAGGGGAGAGAAAGAAGCTGGAGGTGGAAAATGCCCTCATCTGCCTCCCAGGCAACCACTCCTTTGGTTCAAGGGCTTATGATTTCTTACCTAGATTACTGTCAAAACTTGATTTTGTGATTTTTCTGATTCTAGTCTGCAGTTTGACCCCTCATCTAGCCTTACAGCCCTGTCTCTGATGTGGCCATTGACTTCTTCCCTTGCCCCTGTGTCCCTGTGGGATTCTCCATCATCTTCAGGATAGAACTAGAACTGCAAGCATCTGGCTTCTTCCAGGCTCACTGTCGGGCGACTCAGTCTCACTGCTCACTGCCTCTCTTCTCTGTGTGCTCCAGCCATAGCTAAATACTTACCTGAACTCATCTCAAGCCTTCTTTGCAGCCCCCTTTCCCTCGGCCTTTGCTCTTCTTTCCCTCCAACTCTCCTGCCCAACCTCACTTTTCCTGGCTGACTCCCATTCAGCTTGAAGGACTCAGTCTCAGAGTACTTTCCTCAGGCCGAATTTTCTTTCCTTTCTTTGACCCCTCATAGCACAGAGGATACATTATCTGTCATGTCATTTTTTTACCCAGTCTGTCCCCCCAGGCCCCTCTCACCTCCCCTAAGCATCACTTGTGTTTGGGTGCTGGGAAGTTCTCGCAGGAAGGAAAGAGCAGAACACAGCCCACATGTGACAGAAGGAGCTGACAAAGCTGGGCAAACCCTGGTTCTTTTGCTTGTTGGGTTTAACACAGTTAAATTAGTAAACCTCTGAGTTTTGCATTCCTTGCCTGTGAAATGAGAATAATAATAGCCACCTGGTGGAATTATTGTGAGGATTAAATGAGACAACTCTCATGAAAAAAGTCTCTCCTGCTTCCCATTCTCACTTTCCGTATGCACGTTCCCAGTACTGGACTTCTGGCCAGTGTGACAACTACTGAAAGCCCACAGGCATTTTTCCTCTCTTAGCGTCTGACTCTGTAAATGGGTGTTAATAACACTTGACTCACAGGTTCTTGTGGGGATTAAGTGATTCAAGCATGTGTAATCAGTTCGCTGAATTACAGTGACTTGGAAGGGTTCAAACAGGAGACTTTAATTGTTTATCACACCTTCACCTTTAACCTCAATGTGTGCATTCATTTTTGTGGTTCTGGATGAAACCTCTGGCAGCTTCTGCGTGTCCAAGAGCTATCGTGTGACCTACAGAGCAAGTGATAGAGGAAAGTTAGAGAAGGCAAAGGATCCTTCCCAGCATACTAGAGGCTCCCCAGGATATGGAGGTTGTTTAGAGGTCATTGCTGCTGATCTTCTTTTCCTAAAGCAGTCCTGGCTGGGAAGGTGGCCCCCGCAAACAAACCAGGCCATGCTCAGCTCCATTCACTTCTGAGTCTCAATGCAGTGATCAGCCTTACAGACTAAAAACTACAACATGGTGGCAGATGTCAAGGTCTGTGGTGGGTCTTGCTCTCTGATAGGCTTAAATATACTGAAAATGGCTGTTTGCCTTCCCTGCCTTCAGGTAGGATGCTCTACTTCATGTCCAGTCTTATCGTGGCTCCTTTTGTCCTGTGCTCTATGAAAATGGCTGCTTTCTTCAGAACCCTAGAGCCACCTTTCCTTCTGTTTGTTTGTTTGCCTGTCTGCTGAGTGTGTGTGTAGAGAGGGAAGGCAGAAGGCAGCACTTTGGCTGGCCCTGCAGTGTCACTCATCTGTACAAATGGGTGATGACAAAGAGGTGCAACTAATTAGCCACGACACACTTGGAATCGCTAACAACTCTGATAAAATTTTAATTACCCCTTGTTTTGTGGGGCAGGCAGCAATCCATGAAAATAATAATCCTCTTGGGTACTTTCACAACAGACAGAGCAGTTTGACTGGAGAAAGGTAGTTTGACTGTAGGGAGTTAATAATCAGAGCCAGGTAAGTGTGGATGTCAGTCCATGGCAGAAGTGATTGGCACAGTGGCTTCTGTACTTGGAATTCAAGTAGAAATAGTGACTCCTTCCCTGAATTAGCTAGATGATTTAGTTAATTCTTCTTGTGCACGAATGTGTGTGTGAGTGTGTGTGTATGTGTGTGTGTACAGGGATTGAATTTGGGACCTTGGGCTTGCTAGGCAAGTGCTCTACCACTGAGTTACATCCCCAGCCATTTTTATTTTACTTTTGTGAGTCAGGATATCACTAACTGGTCCAGGCTGCCCTCGAACTTGCAATCAGCTACCCAAGTACCTGAGATTACAGGTGCACACCTATGTGCTTGGCCTCTGCTTTGTTTTACAGATCTGGGATTTCCTGGAGCCAAACTCCCTCTAGGCACAGAGGAGGAAACTGAGGCATATGGAACATCAAGAATCTGCCCAGAAGACACTGGATTTCAGATCCAGTGCTGTAACTCCAACCCCCAGGGCCAGGACAGATCCAGGACTGTCTGGGGACACATTCTCATGGCTCACCAATCCCACCTTGGGACCCTGCCATCCTGGACCTCCAGGGCTTCTATGCCTCCTTTGGTGTCCCAGGTGAAGGAGGAAGAGGAGGGGTGGGGTGAAGAGTTCACCCGGCTGGATACCTTGGTGGTTTTGACTTTGTGTCCACTGCTACAGCTCCATCCTGACAGGTCTGGGAACACCTTGCACTCCTCCCCCCGGCAGGCAGGGCTCCATGTGACACCACCACCTCTGCAGGACGATGGAGGCTGTGGGGCAGCAGGAGGCAGGAGCATAGCTCTAAGCTCTCTATGAGCACAGCGGGCAGCCAAGAGGAGTCCGTGGTGATGGTGCTCATTTCCATGTACCCCGGCTTTGAGCCTGCATTTCCCTCATCCCCCCACACACACACCCTGCACTGGCCAGAGAGGCAGCACTGTCATCAGGCTGAGGCCTGGGACATCACCCTGTCAAGTGCAATGCCACAGAGCTCTGCACCTCACCAAAGATCTCGAGGGGGGACGGGAAGTGGGCGAAGCAACCTCTGAGGCCGCTGTGTCATCAGCACAGAGGCACAAACTTCAGAAGACCTTTTGGTACGTGTGAGCAAGTGTGCGAGCCTTGTGGAGGAGTTGGAAGACCAGGCGTGCACGGCTAGAGTGCATGGGAGCACAGGGGGTGGTTAGGGATGGCTCAGGAGTGTGAGGATGCAGTGGGTGGGAGGTGGGAGGGGTGTGTGTGGACAACCACGTGTCCATGTGAGGGGAGGGCAGAGGCAGGGCTGAGAACAGAGGGACAGTGGAAGAGGCCAAGGAGAGGAGCATCAGGGGAGAGCCAGTGTGGAGGAGTAAGTGTGAGGGAGCACAGCGCACGCCATGAGGGAGTGCAGCTGCCTGTGTGCCTGAGGTATGGGTGCAGCGGGAGGGCAGGCAACTGACAGCAGCCTTCCTCATCTATGACCCTGGCTGGCTGTGTCTCACCTCCTCTCCCCCAGAGGGTGACCCATCATTTGAAACTCTGATCATGGAAGCCCTGAGATGGGTATGAAATTGGAGCCCAGCAGATGGCGAGGCCAGAACAGACCTCCTTATCTCTCTGCTCGGGGCCTCCCGCCTGCCCAGGGCCTGGCCTCTCACTCACCATCCACACAGGAAGGCTTTGCCCTCGTAGTGCCGGCCACTTGGCCAGAAAAGCAGGGGCACTTGACAGTCTGGGAGCGCTCCTCAATGCGGTTCCGGGTGCAGCAGCGGTGAGCATCAATCACCTCACAGGTGCCCTGCTTTACCAGGACTGATGGGGCAGCCGAACAGGATCAGGCACCCAGCCCAGGCCTCTCTCTTGCTCCCCAACCACCCCACCCCACCCCACCCCCGGTGGCCCTCCATCTCCTCTTCCCTGCCTGGGGGAAGGTTAAGGGATATCTGAGGATGGGAGTGTACCTCAGTGCTAAAGTGCTTGCCTCATATTCATAAGACCCAGTACCACAAATTTGGAAAGATTTCCAATGTCAAGGGAGGAAGAAGAGGGTGAAACCTTCCTGTCCCTCCCCAGGGAGACTAAGTATATTTATTACCCTTTGGCAGAGCCTGGCCTGTGGGCAGAAAAAATCTAATATCCTGCATCATCCCTACCTCCCTGCTTTCTCAGGGTGAGGGGAAGGGCCCCGGGGCTTAGGATGCATGGGGAGGATCATCCGCTTACACAGGCTTTAGTCATCCCAGAAGAAAAACCCCAGAATTAGGCTAGGAGGCTAGACTTAAGCTCCCATGAGGGCCTCTCTCCCTGCAGAACACCTTCCACAGTGGAAGGGATGGTGAGCAATGCCCAGGGTTTCTCTGGACTGAGATAGCAGAGGGGGCAGAATTTCCTGGGTGGTAAACAGAGGAGCAGCCAGAACCCTGAAATCTGTGATTTTAGTCCACATGGGAGGTCTGCTTGCTACATGGGATGGGGTGGGGTGTTGTCCAGCTCTCCAGGTGTCCTGGGAAACTCTTTCGCCAGTCCCACCGCCTGTCCCAAACCTGTGGCAGTTGGAGGCTGTAAGGAAGCCAAGGCCAGGCAGGTCCACAGCCAGGCCAGGCATGATGCCAGCAGCCAGCCGCCTGGGCTCCAGTTCCACATGGCCCTCCCACTCATCCTGTGGAGAGAAGCACATACTCCACTTGGGTCCAGGCAGGAGCTCCCCAGTGCCCACCCGAAGCCCCTTCTCTGTGCCATGCCCTCCAGGAGGTGCACACATTGTCCCCAGGCAGTTTGCAGCCGGGCAAGAGGTCACTGTAGGAAGTGATGAGTGCTACAGAACCAGGAGCAGGAAGGGACAGCTTGTGGAAGAGATGACCTTAAAGAGTGGCCTTGCAGGGCCGGGAATTTAACTCAGTGGTTTCGCTGCCTGCTGCACAAGCGCAAGGACCCGAGTTCGATCCCTGGTACCAAAAAAAAAAAAAAGAGTGGCCTTGCAGAGTGAATTAGAGGGCTGGGTCATGGGAGGAACAACAATGCTGACTGCTACTTTATGGGCTCCTGACCCATGCATTTCACATGTGTTCCTGAATCCTTCATGACTATGCCACAAAGCAGAATCATTATTATCTATTTTACAGAAAAGCAAATGGAAGCTCAAAAGTCCTGGACACAACCCAAAGAATCATCGATACAGGACTGGCTGAGGGCATTGTAGAGAACCTGTGTGAATCCAGTCCCTTCCAGACAGCAGTATAAAAAACCAATGGGGAGATGTCTTTATGTAACAACACATGCAGTGACCTCCAATGACAATCCACCATGAAAGGGAAAAAAGCAAAATGTAAATGCTGTATATACAGCATGTAAAAGGGAGTGTTTATCCTTGCAGCTTGTTTAAACTAGCCTTGGAACGTGTACACAAAAACAGACAATATTGTTTGCCACTAAGAAGGGAAACCTGTTGGCTAGGAAATGGAGGCTGAAGGGAGACTTCTTTTTTTCCCCAAGTTCTTTTTGAGATTCAAACCATGGGAATGTAGCAGCAATTCAATTTAAACAAAATTTAAATTTATTTCTGTTTTGTTTTGTTTTTTGAGACAGGGTCTCGCTATGTAGTTCAGGCTGGGCTTGAGCTCATTATCTAATCCAGGTTGGCCTCAACTCATGGCAATCTTCCTGCCTCAGCCTACCAAGTGCTGGGATTATAGGCATGCACCCCTACATGTGGTACAAAATTTAAATTTAAAAAGGAAGAAATGAAACTGAGGCTGATGGAAGTCAAAGGACTTGTCCAAGGCCAGGCAGCCCTTGGTGGCCGAGGCCAGAGCCCAGAAGCTTGCCCTCTGCCCATCGCCCCACTTGGCTTCGGCTCTCTTACCTTTTCCTTCTCCTCCTCCATCCATGACGGTTCAAGCCTCACAAATCTATCCCAGAGGGTGAGTTAGAAAGAGAGGGAGTCAGAAATGGGGAATTGCAGGGAAGAAGCATAAAATAGCTGGGAGCTGCCTAGCCATAGAAGGGGACAAGAGCGGTCCCAGGAGGTGGTAGGGCCTCAAGCTCAGGGGTAAGCCTGGGTCACTGCTTCTACTGCTCTGCCAGCCCTTTGGAGCACTGCTGAGCTTGATTCTGGGAAGCCAAGAGGCCAAATCGTGGATGGGATGCTTGATCTCGGTCCACCCCCCACTTCCCATCTTCCGCTGTTCCCTGATTACCTTCTTCAGGACCGTCCAGCTTCTGACTGTTCACCTGCTGGCCTCAGACTCACTTCACCTGGGCAAGCAGGAAAGAGGGGTTGGGTGGGGAGTGAAGGACAAGGGAAGCCCAGGCCCCTGCAGGTGAAGGAATACTTGAGAGAGGGCACGGCGTTGGGCTGGGCGCTGAGGTACAGTTCAGCTCCAAAACTGTTCCCAGGCAGGAGCCGAGTCTCCCCCTGCCCTGAGAACAGTGCAGGGGCCTCAGACTCTGAGAATGTGGAGGGCAGTGAGCCTGGGAGGAGTGGCTGGGGGGCTTCTCCGCCCAGGAGTGAAGCAGGGCCGGTGGGGGTCTAAGAATCACTGCTGTCGTCTCTGGCCTTGGTGCAGAGCTGAGGGCCAGGGAGGGGTCTCTGAGCAAAACTCATCTGATTCCTGATGGAGGAGGCCCCGGGGAAGATTCCTGAGGCCTGAAGCCTCTGTCTCAACCTCTAACACCCCCTCCCCAAGTCCTATCCCTGCCCCATGGCACTTGCTTCTTGGACTTGCATGGAACTGGCTCGATCCTGCCACTGTCCCATCATTCCCACTCCAGAGAGCTAGAATGGGGGCGCACCAGGTCTCTGAGCCTCAGAGGCCACAGCCGCCAGATGCTTCTCCATTCTCCCTCCATTCTCCATTGTCCTGCCTCAGTCACCAAAGAGGTGCAGAACCGAAATAACAGGAAGGGAGGCCGGGCCCTGAGGGGCAGTGGGGTAACTGGAGGAAGGGGCTGCTCCATGGACAGACAGACAGCTCCCATCCCTCCAGGTGCACCTTGCCTGCCCCCGTCAGGAGCCCTCGTTTTGGCCACTACGACTGCAGCTTTGTCCTTTCTCAGGGGAGCCCATTTCTCTCTGAGGTGCCAATCCAACTCGCCCATCTCTTCTGTGAACCCTAGGGTCCAAAAGACCTGAAGAAAGGGGGAGTTGGGCCCAGGCATTCTCTTCCCTTCCCAGAGGGAGCTGGAAAAGAAGCTTCCGGGACTTGTCCTTAGCCTTCCCGCTCTGCCTCAGTTTTCCAGCCTGTCTTTCCCAAGCCCCAATCCAGGCTACTGAAAGGCTGAGTGAGCAACTGCATCACCAGCAAGGGGTTGAGGATGCGAACCGCGAGAGCCTCCATCCTTGGCCTCAGCTACCCACTCCCTCCAGCGCCCCCTCAGTCCTCCAAAGTCTGAGCCCCGACCCTGGGACCTACCTGCCCACCGCGGTCCCTCTGCCGGCCCGGCCGGGCTGAGGTTCTCCCTCCCTCTGCGCCTGGGACCCAGACTCCGAAAGGCCGGCGCCGGGCGGGAGCGGCCAACTCAGGCGCTCTCTAGTCCGGAGCTCTGTCCCGTCGGTCACCAAGTTGCTGAGACCCCCGGACGGCGGGGCTCTGGCCGAGCTCTGGCCGTGCGGGGCGCAGACCGGTCCTCTCCGAGCCTCCCGCTCCCAGGCCGGGGAGCACGCGCCGTCCCCGCTGCTCCCTGCTCGCCCCGGGCAGCCCCAGCTCCCGCAGACCCGCGCGGGCGCCGCCGCCTTCTCCGGGACAGTGAGGGGCGCCGGGCGGGGACATCCGGCTCGCAGCGGCCCCTGGCGGCGCAGGGCCCCGCAGATCCGGCCGGAAGGACAGCTCGCTGGTGCAGGCCAGGCAAACCCCGGGTTGGAGACCTTCCAAACCCTCCAGGTCGGAACGGGTGCGCCCCTCCCCGGCGGTGGCTCGAGAGAGGGAGGAGCGGGGTGAGGAGGGCCGGAAGCGGACGCCTTGCCCAGACCCGCAGGGGATTTGAGCTTTGAACAACCTGCAACTGCACTGCCCGATTCGGTTAGGCATTCGGTATATGCTATTTAAATTTAAATCTAAATTATAAAAATTCAGTTTCTTCATTAACATTGAGTAGTACTTTAAAGTGCTCAGGTCACAGGAAGCTAGGGACTGTAGGGCAGCGAACCAAGCAGATGCAGAACATCCCCGGGGCAGTGCAGTGTCTCCCGATTGACCTCAGGAGAGATAAGTAAATATGACACCGCCACCCCAGGAGCGGCGCCCTCGGGGCAGGAGGATCAGGGGGATAGGAGGGTGGGGCCCCAGGCCAGGACTGCAGTAGGCCCGTGAATGGTCCCTCTGGGTGAAGGGTGTGAATCAACACTTGGGAACCACACTCTGGGACCCCATTTGTTTAGCAGAATGATTGTGATATCATTGCAGTTGTACAATTCTTTATAGGGTTATATTTTGGTTGTGAGAGGCGGAGGTATTTTGTAAATTCCCTCTTCACAGGAGGGACTTGTCTTTGTGTGCATAGCCCATGAGGGTTGGGGTAATATGGAGGGACAGGCAAGGGGGAAGAACCCCACTTTTGGGCCCTGAGCCACTGCAGATGGCTCCCTGGCTCAGGTTTTACTCTCCCCTGCCTGGGCCAGACACTGAGCAGTCTCAGTCAGCTCTCAGCCAAGATAAGACTCCTGCCCTGTCCCCTTCCCCTCTCGCCCTCTGCTCCTTCCAGGATGTATAGAGGTGGTGACCTCCTCACCAGGTGGGGGCTGTCAGGTTGGATTCGGAGGGAAGGTGCCAGAACAGGCGAGAAGCTCCAGGAGGCAAGAGCCCTAGGGTTTGGGGTGGAGGGCTGCTCAGAGCCTAAGGGAGCTGTCCACTCCCCACCAATCCTCTGCTGCTGGAGCCAGGGGGTCTCTAGGCCTTGGCTTTGTAACCCACTTCTCAGCCACACCGCGGCTGCTGTGAAAAGCAGGGAATAAGGAGCTGAGTAACTCTGAGCAGTGGAAAGTAAACTGTCCCATACTAAATAATGAAAATAACCACTGATGTTATGCCATCCATCAGAGCCGGCTCCAGTTTTTCCCAAATGGGGAAACATCCACAACAGCAATGTGTTCTTGGTCCCTGTCTGCCTCTGCTGTTCTGTGTGTCTTTGGGTCTGACTTTTTCTTTTTTTTTCTCCTCTTGGGACTTTTTTCTCTCTGGCTCTTTCTGCTCAGAACTCAGGCATAATTACAGCAAGTCTGCAAAGCTGAATGACCATTGTGGGATTTTTATTCGTAAGCTGCCAGGAAAGCCAGCTCTTCTGGGAGCACCGTTTAACCAGGGAAACAGTGGGGTCAGCCAGGAAGCAGCCGGTGCTTAGAGGTGGAGCCCCAACCATGGGTGCCAGGGGTCCCCAGTGGCTACCCCAACTTACCTTAGGCCCACAAGGGGTTTGGCCTCATTTGAACTGTAGTTTGGGCCATTGTATCTGGGGGCCCATGATCAACTTCTGATGCCATGTTTAGGGACATGTATCAGATCAGTACCAGCCTCCCCAGAGAGAGAAAGCAGAAAACAGTCAACTTACCGGGGGCGCTTAGGCTGGCCTCTGTCTCCCCCTGGTGGTAGCCGAGGAATTTGATCTGCATCTTGGCACCCTCTCAGCCTCGGTCCTAATAGGAGAGTGAGAGGTGAAGAAAGAGAAAACAGCTCGGTTGGTACATCAGAACTGAGTTTGGGTGTCAGAAACGCGTGAGTGTGGATTTCTCACTAGCCGTGTGACTTCTTGGGACAAAGTCAGGTAAAACGACAGGGGCGTCCAGTGGTGCCTTATCCGTGAAATGGGTATAATAAAACCCACCTCGAAGGGTCGCTGTGTAGTGTGTCACTACTGAACGGAACATGCTTTGTAGGCGGCCCAGTGTGCCATAAGTCTTCAATAAATAGTAGTTATGTTGTTATCCTTGCTAACTTGGTCAGGGGAAGTCTAAGTGGGGGAGTGGGCACAGTTCTGAGAAAGTGGGGTGTGGGGGCAACTGATCTCCCGGATGTGGAGGTGGTCTTCAAAGGGAGCAGCGCCTTCATGCCTGCCTGGTTACTCCCCCCCAACCATCAACACACACACACACACACACACACACACGCGCGCGCGCGCGCGCACTCGCTGCTCTCCTCTCGCCCCAGCAGCCCCAGCCAGAGGTGTGATCACACCGGATGCTTCACACCCAGCGGCCCGGAGCTGCTGTTTCGCTCTGAAGTCATCAGCTCCAAAGCCCTGCAGACTCACTCGCCACGTCTCCCACCCTCACAAGGAGGAAGTTCTAGTTGATGTCTGACCTAAGGCACAACTTAAATGTTTCATTTTCTCTGCCCCCTTCCCACAACAGACCTTTCGTGCTCTGAGAAACTGGGGCGGGACGAGGCCGAAATGGGAAGGGAGAAAAGGCCGGGAGCGGGTGGGGCCTGTCTCGGGGTGTCCCAGAACCTGGGGGAGTTTCGCCTCCCTTGGACGTCTTGGGCCAGGAGCCAGAGACCGAAAGCACCGCCCACCCGAGCCCGAGTGGCTGGGCCTGTTTGTGGGCGGGGCCGGAGGGGTGGGCGGGACCGGCGGGCCTGGTCGAGGGCGGGGCAGGGAGACAGCATGCTAACCCGGGTTCGCTCGGCCGTGGCGCACCTGGTGAGCTCCGGGGGCGCTCCGCCTCCGAGACCCAAATCCCCGGACTTGCCCAGCGCGACCGCGGCGCCGCCCGCCGCCGCTCCAGAAGCGCCCAAGAGCCCTCCGGCGAGGCCCGGGAGCGGGAGCCGGGCGCCCGCGAAAACAGCAGAGGCTCGAGCGAGCTTCTCTAGACCGACCTTCCTGCAGCTGAGCCCCGGGGGGCTGCGACGGGCCGACGACCACGCGGGCCGAGCCGTGCAAAGCCCCCCGGACACCGGCCGCCGCCTGCCCTGGAGCACGGGCTACGCCGAGTGAGCGCCCCCCGGGGCACCCACACTGGGATGGGACTCCCGCCCCTGCCCCGCTGGGCATCCCGGGCTGCCGCGCTGCTGCCAGGAGTCCCCTTTCCCAGGACCGTGGCGACCCTCTGGGCTCCGGGCCTCACCCCCTCCCAGCTCTCTCCGTCTGGCTCCAGCCCAAATCACCTTCTTCAGGACCTTGCAGCTCTCCGACCACCCTCACCCACCCTCGCCGCCTCAAGACCCCGTTCCTTCCCCGGGCCCAGAGGGCGCAGGCCCCGCGGAGGAAGAGTTGCCGGTTCTCGGTCGTTGCCGGCGGGGAGGGCGGGGAGGGGCGCGAGCGCGAGCGGGGCTCCGGCTTCCCGGCAGGTAGCGGTTGGAAGGACTCGCTCACCGGCTTCCCGGCCCCGGCGCCCCAGTTCCCTGTCCCTCTTACCGTTCCCCTCCCCCTCCACACCCAGAAATAGCCCGTGACACCAGAGGCTGCTGGTGTCCCGGGGCGGGGGCGGGGGCCGCCAAGGCAGCGGGAGCGTCCCCTTTGGACGCCCCTGCGCCTACGGACGCGGGCCAGGGGAGAAATAGACCCTTGCCCGGCTGGCCGGAGCCTCCAGCTTGCCCTCAGGCTGCGTGTCCTTACATCTGCCGGGAAAGCCGAGCGTTGCCGGAAAAGGGAGCACTGGGAATAGAGGGAGGTGTCTGGTGACCCGGTCTCGGTCGCCCCAACGCCCTCTCCTTTAGCTTCTCAAGTGGGAGGAGTTTGTGGTTCTGTGGCTTCTGCTCAGTCCGGGTGGGCTCACTCTCCTGCTCTTTTTCAATTCCTCTCTCCCGATGTGGGCTGGAACACTTCCTCTTGCCCAAAGGGCCAGAAACTTTCTCTGGGTGGTTTTTGGGGTGCAGGCAGGTGTGCCCTGAGTGTGGGGTGCTAGGGACAAAGTACTGGGAGAGCTGATTGAGTTAGAGGTGGGATACAGACTCCCACCTAGCAAGGAAGGGACTAAGCTGTCAAGGTGACACGTCATGTCCCCATATGACCCTTCCTTCAGCAGTGCTACTAGGGAAGCCTCCCTTGGAAAGATGAGGAAACTGAGGCAGGCAGTCTTTCCGTGAGGTGGAAGGACCTGCCACCCAGACAGCACTCTGAGGGCTCCCCGTCTCTTCCCTTTGGCCTGGATCCCAGGTGGCTGTGACCTTTCTCACCCTGGCCAGCCTGAAGAAGAGGATGTGTGTCTAGGGTGGGGGTTATTCCAGGACCTGATCTGGTGTCCAACTTGATGTGGTCTCTCCGGCTGGCAGGGTCATCAACGCTGGCAAGAGCAGGCACAATGAGGACCAGGCTTGCTGTGAAGTGGTGTATGTGGAAGGCCGCAGGAGCATTTCAGGGGCCCCTAGGGAGTCTAGCAGAGGCCAGGTAAGCCCTCACCCCCCTCCCTGGCTTCCAGAGGCCCAGTGACACCTCTCCCCCAGGATTTCGGGCCTCCAGTTTTCTATCTGAGACATGTGGAAAGGAATCACCTTCTAACCCGCTAGCTTTCTGCCTCTGCCATGGAACCCTTCCCTGAGATTAATCTGTTAGATTCTACTCAGCATAAGTGTTTACTTTTCCACTTCAGCTGCCTGTGTATTTATGGATGATTTAATTAATCACCACTGTTGATTTTTGCATCTTTCGTCCTCTAACCTCTAACTTTGGCTTCCTTGAGACTCCTTGCTCTTGACACATAGATGAATAAATGAATACATCTAATTTGCCTTTAATACCAAGCTCAGACCACTGATGTTTATATGGATGCTTACAGAGTTCTTCCTGCAACATGCACACACACTCTCACACGCTCGCTCTCTCTCTCTCTCTCTCTCTCTCTCTCTCTCTTGCACACACATAGGCTTGCTCACCTCCAACTTTTCCCCCACCAGGGACTCTGCTTCTACTACTGGGGCCTGTTTGATGGACATGCAGGGGGCGGAGCCGCTGAAATGGCCTGTAGGCTATTGCATCGCCACGTCCAGGAGCAGCTAAAGGACCTAGTAGACATACTTCAGGACCCCTCCCCACCTCCCCTATGCCTCCCCTCTACGCCTGGGACCCCAGGTTTCTCGGATCGCTCTCACTTGGTTGGTCCTCAGCCCTGCTGGTCTTTGCAGAAGGAAGTGAGCCATGAGAGCCTGGTGATAGGGGCCATTGAAAATGCCTTCCAGCTCATGGTGAGTGGGTGGCCTGGGCCAAGGGGCTCCTAGGCAGACAACTCTGGTCAACTCTGTGGGAGTCAGGTGGCCCGAGGGGTTGACCCTGAGAACCCCCAACACCTTTGAGAGCCTGAGCAGAGCTTGCTTTTGAAAGGGGGAAGAAGGGACCGTTACCCTCAGTGTGGTCTGGCCGGGCCAGGTAATTCCTGCAGATGGCAGTGAGGAGGGTGACTCCATGCCCCGAAGCTCTTCTTCCACCCCTCCTTTGACCCTTTCTCACTTGGCAGGATGAGCAGATGGCCCGGGAGCGGCGTGGCCACCAAGTGGAGGGGGGCTGCTGTGCACTGGTTGTGGTATACCTGCTAGGCAAGGTGTATGTGGCCAATGCAGGTGACAGCAGGTATGGGAGAGGAGGGCGGTGAAAGTGGCTGTAAGGGCCACACTCTCTAGGGTTGGGGGATGGGAGAGTGAGGTGGTGGAGGTTGAAGTTAGGAAAGATAGGGACCTGGGTGAGGAATCCCAAGGCTCACTATGCGGGTGGGGCTGGTCTTTCTGGAATTCTCCATGAAAGGGACTGAGGAAAGCCAGGCCTTTTCTGTCTCTGGGCAGAGCCATCATTGTCCGGAATGGTGAAATCATTCCAATGTCCCGGGAGTTTACCCCGGAGACTGAGCGCCAGCGTCTTCAGCTGCTTGTAAGTAGGAACCCAACTCCCTGTTCCCATTCTTTATTAAGTCTTGTGCATTTCTGACCCTCTGTCCCTGGCACTCTCATACCCTACCAAACACACAGAAAGCTTCCTAATGGAAGTCTCCTGGGAGGACGGCTGTGTGGACTAAGGCGTTCAAGACTGCCTGAGCTTGTGGCACCAGGCAGCAGGAAGGAGCCTGGGCCAGCTTTGTGCTCCCACGGTGGCTCCAGCTGAGGAAGGAAATAGTCAGAAGTGGGAGAAGGGAACAGCAAAGTCCCTGAAAGGCAAGATGGCTTAGTGCTTAAACACATGGGCTCTGGAGCCAGGCAGCCTGGGGTTGAATTTTGGTTTGTGTACTTTGCTGAGACTTGACAATTCCCTTAACGTCTCTGTACATCAGCAGTTCCTGCCCTGTAGGCTGTTGTGAGGAGTAAACAGCTTAATTTATGTTAATATTAGAATAGTGCACAGCAATGGTAACCTTTATTTAAGGGCCTATAATTAATATCATCTGTGGGTTGTCTCAGGGTGTGCTGTGAGCATAATACCTCCTGGCCTTTTGCTCTGTTGTGATTTTCAACCCTAGGGCTTCCTGAAACCAGAGCTGCTGGGCAGTGAATTCACCCACCTCGAGTTCCCCCGAAGAATTCAGCCCAAGGAGCTGGGGCAGAGGATGCTGTACAGGGACCAGAACATGACTGGCTGGTAACATTTCCCTCAGAGCTGGGGCTGTTTCCATGGCAACATATCCCATTCCTCACCAGCAGCAAGATGGGAACTGGAGGCTGGGCCAGGCACATGGTCCTTCTGAGGGTTTGTGTGAGGGTGAAGCGGCTCCCAGGGGACAGGGGCTTTGATGCTTGGGTGATGCCTCCTGTACTCCCCCCTCCCCAGGGCCTACAAAAAGATCGAGCTGGAGGATCTCAGGTTTCCTCTGGTCTCTGGGGAGGGCAAAAAGGTAAATTTCATGGCAGAGGTGGGAGAGGGCAGGAGAACCCTTTAAGGCCTGCCTAGGGAGGTGGCGGTTCTGCCTGGGAGCTCTAGTTCAGAGAGCCCGAGAGAGGACTAAACAGCAGCACCCTCCTTGTTTCCCTCAGGCCAGAGTGATGGCGACCATCGGGGTGACCCGGGGCTTGGGAGACCACAACCTGAAGGTCTGCAGTTCCACCTTGCCCATCAAGCCCTTCCTCTCCTGCTTCCCTGAGGTGAGCTCTGTGGCATCCCCCTTCAGCACACCTTCCTTCCTCTGGGGGTCTGACCCGCTTTCATCCAGGGTCCCTTTATCTTCAAGCTTTGTTCCGAAAACCCCATACCTCAGTTCTCTCTGCCACCTTTCCCCACCAGGTACAAGTATATGACCTGACACAGTATGAGCACTGCCCAGATGATGTGCTAGTCCTGGGAACAGATGGCCTGTGGGATGTCACCAATGACTGTGAGGTAGCCGCCACAGTGGACAGGGTGCTGTCAGCCTATGAGCCCAATGACCCAAGCAGGTAGGGGTTGCACAGTGTGATGGTGAAGGGATGGCACTGATGAAGGAAGGGGCAAAGGGAAGCAGTGCTCAGAGCCCCTCGTGCGGGCCTATGTATCTATCTTCCCATGCACATGTCGGTACATAAGTGTACATGTGTGCTCCTGGCAGGTATACAGCTCTGGCCCAAGCTCTGGTCTTGGGGGCCCGGGGTACCCCACGGGACCGTGGCTGGCATCTCCCCAACAACAAGCTCGGTTCTGGGGATGACATCTCTGTCTTCGTCATCCCCCTGGGAGGACCAGGCAGTTACTCCTGAGGGGCTGAGCTTCAGCTCTCCCACCACCATCCCCTCTCCCAGCGCAAATTTTGAAGTTGTCTCCTTGACTCTTCTTTAGTGACAATTTAACCGACAAAGGGCTGATAGAACCAGAATCATACCTACTGGCCAATAAACCAGATAGATAAATATGTGTGTCTTTATTTGTTTTGATTAGAAACTGAAAGGTGAGAGGGTGGGGAAAGAACACCAGAACAGCTCTAAAATTGTGGTTTTCCCCAGGTTCTTTCTTCTGCGCTGCCCTCTTCCCACTAGTGCACACTGAGTGTCCCCGTCCACTTCTGTGGCTTCTGTCTATGTCTTCCAAGTTGGTATATGCAGCCTAGACTTTTCCTGACCTTAACATAGTGTGATCAAAATATGTGGTGAATGTTTAGATTTTTAAAATTTATTATGGTGCCTTAGTTACTTTTCTCTCGTTGGTGAGACAAAATACCCAACACTCAAAGTTAAGGGGGAAAGGGTTTATTTACCTCACAGTTTGAAGAGGCTTCAGTCCATAGTAGACTGGCTCCAAGGAAGGGTAGCATAGCAGACAAGTATCACAGGGGAGACACAGTTTATGGCAGGCAGAGGGCAGCAAAGCAAGCAAGGGAAAAGACAAGCCTCTCTCTGTCCCTTGTATTGTATCCAGGCTACTAGGATGAGGGCAGTGCCAAACCAATCAGTGGCCTGATTTAGTAATCACCCTCCCTTAATCCTAGAACCCCTACTCCTAGCATTGCACCACGAATCAGTCACACACTCTAGATCCAGCCACCTCTGAAAAAGCCCACCTATGACTGCATGAGGCTTCGTGGGGACATCTAGACACAGCCATAACATCCAGTAAGAGACACATTGCCATTAATCATCCTCAGAGTACTCTCCTAGAGTGGGACACACTTATCCCATTTTTCTTGCCATTTTTGAAGCAGTCCTGGAAGTCTTTTGTGAGTGTTTTTACAAGGTGTGATCAAAAGTACAGTCAGTGCTGCTAGTGAGTGCCATCCAGTGGAAAAGCAGGCTCATAAACACATTGCAGTGTGTCCTCGTCTACCTTATTCATGGGATCTAGCACCATGCAACTTATGGCTCTTCTCCAAAGTCAAAATGACCACGAAAGGTAAATGTTTTGAATCAGTTCAGAATATTGACACATTCATGACAATGCAACTAAAGACACTCACAGAAGAGGACTTCCAGAACTGCTTCAGACAAATGGGATGTGTTTTCAAAATGAGGGGATTGGGCCAGGGATTAGTTAGCTCAGTGGTTCTGCCACCTGCCTCAAAAGCAAAAGGTCCCAAGTTTGATCCCCGGTACCAAAACAAAAACAAAAACAAAAATGTAAATATTCACTATATATTTTATTCGGATCTCAGACCCACACATCAGTCATGTCCTAAACATCTAGACAGCCCACTCATGCTTCAGCTCAGCACATCTCAATGTGCATTCACCATCTCCCCCATGAATGTGTTTCTTCTGCTTTCTCCTCTCAATGGATGCTAGCCTGGGTGCTCAAATTAGAAATCTTGGAGTTGGTTGCCCTTGGCTTTGATTTCTTCCTTATCATGGTAAGTAATCACTAAGTACAGTCCTGTGCTGCATAATGACAGTGGGCCGCATATATGACAGTATGTACCATATGACCTAGGTGTGTAGTAGTCTAACATCTTGGTATACGTAAGTATGATGTTCACACAACAAAATCACCTAACAACACATTTCTCTTAACATATCCTGATCATTAATGGATGGATGACTATATTGCTGGATTTATATATATATATATATATATATATATTTTTTTTTTTTTTTTTCTCTTGAGGCAGAGTCTCACTATGTAGTCCAGGCTGGCCTCAGCCTCCCAAATGCCAGGATTACAGGCATGTACCACTATACCCAACTAGGATATATATATTTTAATATTTCATAATGGTCCTCTTATCTCCACTCTTGCTATCACGTCTTTATTCTCTTTTTTTTTGAGACAGGGCCTGGCTATATAGTTCAGGGTGACCTTGAACTTACCATGTAGCCCAAGTTGGCCTCAAACTCATGGCAATCCTCCTGCCTCAGCCTCCCAAATGCTGGGATTACAGGCGTGTGCCACCAGCTTGGCCCCACCACTTTATTAAATCAGCTTCCCATCTTCAGTGGCTCCTTATACCTAGAACAAAACTGTCATTCAACACCTGGCCTTGGCCTATGAGGGAGGACCTTTGTGATCCAGCTACTGTTTCCTTCCCCAGCTTCATCTACTGTCACACCACTCTCCTGGGGTTCCCCTAACTCAGTGGGCCTGTAGTAGCTCCAACTTATTTAAAATCTGTACTTCACTTTCTCTTGTCACCTGTAGGATACCCAGCCCAGGCATGCTTTCCTGTGGTGATTACCTCCTGGATTAGAGTTGTCCATAAGAGGCCCATGTAACAAGGGTTCAGTACGTTAGCTATCTTTTTTTTTTTTTTTTTTTTTTTTTGGCGACGGGGATTGAACTCGGGTCCTTGTGCTTGCGCAGCAGGCGGCGAAACCACTGTTAGCTATCTTGAGATTGCATTTCTTCATTAGACTGTAAGTTATTTGCAACCATGAACAACTGTGGCACAAAGCTCCTTCATGATAAGTATTTGAGTGAATTAAGTGGCCTGGAGTCCAGACTGTTCTGGACCTCAGTTTCCTCATTTATCAAATACATGTTTTGTACTTCAGAGTCTGGCTTCCAACATGCATTCATTCTGCAAATATTTGTGAAAGGCTATCATGTGCCACAGACTGCTAGACAGTGGGGAGCAGTCCCCCTGAATGCACCAGCGTTGGGGCCACACAGGCTTATGAATTCTTGATGTCACAAATTACAAACATTTGCTAAGCTAATTCTCTGAGGCTCAATTTCCTTGCAGACAAAAGCTCTGTGCTCAGTAGTATTAAAAGGTTGAGCTACATAATGTATCCTGCACAAGCCAAAACACGTTGGTAGACTTCCTCCTCCTCTGTCCGCCTCCTCAGCTGCCTCACAAGAAAGAGACACACGTGTGGGCAAATAACTGTACAAAATGCCAGACCTGGGTAAGTCCCTAACGGCACAATACAATAGGAGTGGGAGCTAAATTTCCAGCTGGAGTTCCGGAAGAATTTCCAGGAGTTCTCTTTGAGTAGGTAGGAATTGGACACATGGCAATTCCAGGCTGGAGAAGGCAAGGGATCGTGAGGACGAATGGTGGTTGAGGTCTGCAGGTCGTGAAAGGTTTTCAAAGCCAGGGATGACTGGGCTGTGCTTGCTCTTCAATGATCCTAGGAGCAGGGCGTGGGCATCTTCTGCGCCCGGGTTTCCCAGGTGGCTCGGGAGCGGGTGGCCGCTTGGCCACCGGGGGGCAGCAGCGGCCCTTCCTGACCCCACCCCGAGCGCCTCTCAACTTTCCGGACGCCGGTCCGCCCCTAGGGGCTGGAAGGCGGGGCAGAGGCTGAGTCCTCGGGGGTCTCGCCCGCCCCGCTCCGCGCCCACTCCTCCGAGATCCAGGCGTCTCTGGGCGACTCTGCAACCCGGGCTAGCGTGCGGACCCAGCCGTCTGGGGCTGGGGTCTGGCTGGGGGCGGGGGCGGAGCCAAGGGCCGCCCCGCCGACCCTCCCCCGTCGGCCGCCCCGCCCTCCCCGCCGGCCGCTGGAGGGCGGGGCCGGGCCCCTCGGGTCAGTCTCAGCCTCGGGCACCGGCCGCGCAGCTGGAGGCGGTGGAGCGGAAGGTACCGGGGCGGGGGTCGGTGTCGGGCGGCGGGCGTCCTGGAAGTCGCCCCGGGAGAGCACTTTCCCGCGTCTTTCCCTTCTCCTCGTCTTCCCCCGGGCGTGGCCGGGGAGGGGGCTTCGTCCCGGGTGTGGGCCGCGTTCCCTCCCTTTGGACTCGGCGTCCGAGCAGCGCGGGGGTCCCCCGGAACTGCCCGGCAGGGCCTCTCGCCTCCTGATGTGCTGACCCGAGCCCCTTCCTTTCCCCTTCCAGCTTCCCGGAACCTCCCCTGCGGGGCGAGGGGCGACTTGGATGTCCACGCGGAGCCCGGCCAAGACGCGCTAGCTCCCAGCCCTGGGGCCGAGGGTGGGGTGGCGGGAATAGGGGCAGGGTGACCAGTGGGGCCTGCCACAGCTTGGCTGGGTCTGGACCCAGCCCTAGAAGGTTCTTGGGGTCTGCCTGGGATGGGAGGTGGAGGGGATCTGAAAGGATCCTGTGCGTAAGTGTGTAAGAACCTCTCCTTTGGAGGCAGCTTAAAGATTATCCTAGGAGTTTGGGCTGGGGAACCTGGGGCCAAGTTCGTCCCTCACTCTGGCTTCAAAGTTGAGAAAGGACGATATCCTGGAGATTGATTCCTTCCCTGGATTTAGAGGAATTGAGCCGGGTACAGGACCCCACTGGATCATCTGGGAAGTGGAGAAATTAAATGGGAGGGCCAGAGACCCTAACAGTGTCTTGTCATAGAGAAGGGCCCCCAAGCCGTAGGCTCCATTCCAGGCTCTGCGTGGGGTTTGGCTGCCTCTCTCCAGGTCAGTGGGGCAGTTCCCTTGGGGCTGCCTCTCCCAGGGAGCTGTTGTCCGGTGCCATCTTGGCCTTGGGCCTAGGGGCCTGGCCTGGCCTGGGCCGCCTGTTCTTTTGACTCAACCAGAGCTGTAGGGAAAGTGCTCTGAGCTGGGGTTCCGGGTCACTTAATGCATACCCCTGCATGGCACCACCTGTGCCACCTGCCTTGCTAGGGGAGAGCAGTGATGTATACGCCCAAGTGGCTGATAATTTAGCCCAGCAGTGTTTTCCCTCCATCAGGACTGGCCAACCTAGGTTGGGGCTACCCTGGCCTGTGTACAGCGGGACCAACAACTGACGGGAGTGGGTGGCACGGTTGGAAGAAATCCAAGTGTTAGTCACCTGGGGAACTTCCCAGGGTACCCCTTTTTGAAGAGGATCTGCTGGTAGGGGAAATGCCTTCTTGTCTGTCTTTTGGGGTATGAGGGAGGGACCCTCTGTGGTGGGGAGAGTGTGGCTATGTGCTCTCAACTCCTATAAATTCTCTGATTCATGTCCTCTTCCCCCACATCCCGGTTTTGTGAATGTGTGGAGGGAGGGAGGGGCCACCCAGGATCCTGCTGTTGAAGCGCAGCTGCCTGAGGCTGGAGTACTCTGCTTCCTAAAAGGCAGGCCAAGGCCAGGGCGTGAGGTGGTGGCGGTAGGTGTGGAGCAGAGTTCAGCCTAGCTTGACAGGATGTGGGACTGAAAGAAAAAGCCAGGCTTTGGGCCGAGATCAGGTTACTGTCGGCTTCTTAACTGCTCCCTGCCTGGTTGGTGGTAGGACTGGGCCTCATTTGTCTCTTCTTTTTGGGGCTCCTCCCAGCCCGGGCTCTAGCCCCCTCCCCCTTCCCGACAGCCTTGACTTGAGCTCCGCTCCAGGGCCCGCCCTCTTCCTCCCAGGCTGTGGCCGGGGAACCCCTGCCAGCTGGAGGTCAGCCCGCCCCCAGGAGGAAATAAGGGAAGCTGCGAAAGTGTGATGCACTGTTGGTTCACGCTGCTGGGGGTGAGGGACACATTCGAACTGGGGAAGCTAACTCCTTGCCCTGAGTCACAGGGAGGGGTGGGCAGGGCCTAGAAGTGAGCCGGATTGAGGGAGAAAGGGGCGTCCCAGATAGTGGGTGGAGGTGATTGCCCAGTGGATTTTCAGTCGCTGTGCAGTGATGGATGTGTGGCTCCCTACAGTGTGGTCATTGTCCCTTGCCGGAGGCTGAGTGACCCAGTGTTGTTGCCAGACCCCAGAGGAAGGAGCGAGGAAGGCAGGCTGCCCAAATGCAGGCTGTGGGCATTCCCAGGACTGAGCCTCCTTTGTATGATTCCCAGCTTTTGGGACTGGGTGGGGTAGCTCAGGGAAGCTGGCTGGCTGCTGCCACTCCCCCGTCTGGGTTTCCCTGCTGCGGCTCTCCTTCCCACCTCTGGGGTGACATGTAGAAAGGTACAGGCTCTTGAGGCATGCAGTTTTGATTTGAACCCCGCCACCTATGTGCCAGACCCTGAATATTTGTCTAACCCTCATTGAGCTCTAGTTCCCCAAAATGGCAAGTGTGCCATCACCCAACAGGTGTCTGAGGAAGGTAATATTTGTTAAAATGCCCAATGTAGTGCAGGATACCTAGGGCTGTACAAATATTCTTTCCCTTACCTGCCCACCACCTGGAACTGGTTCTGCTGCTCTGGTCTTGGAGAGGGACTCTCAGTTGTGACTAGGAAGGCATGGCTTTGCTGAGGGACAACTTGTTCTAGAATGTGCCTTAGTGATTATTAAACTTTAAATGTATCAAAATCCTAATCCCTGATATGCAAAGCATGCAAAGGCCGGCTCTGTTGGAGACATTCCTGAGCACCTCTCTCTGGGCATCCAGGCTCCCCAGACTGAGTACAAGAGATCAAAACTCAAGTTTGTTGGCTTCAAAGTGTGTTCTTCCACCTCCTCTGGTGTGTTCTAACTCATCAAAGACCTGTCTCCGATCCACAGATTAGGAACTTCAAGGCCTGCTGCCTGCAGAATTGGTTCTTGGCAAGAACATGCTTGAACAAGCTGCCTTCTTTTCCTTCCATTGCTGGGTGCTCAGTTTCCAGGGATGTTCTGGGGGCTTTCGAGAAGTGTTTTGGAATTACCTGCTTTTCCCCAAATCCCCACTGCCTTTTGTCTGACAGCCCCAGCCATGGCTGCGATCCGAAAGAAGCTGGTGATTGTGGGGGACGGTGCCTGTGGGAAGACCTGCCTTCTCATTGTCTTCAGCAAGGATCAGTTTCCAGAGGTCTACGTCCCAACGGTCTTTGAGAACTACATTGCAGACATAGAGGTGGATGGGAAGCAGGTAAAGGCCAGGAAACCCCTTCCTGTCTGCCTTGGAACCCTGCCCCTGGTCCTGTAAGGACCCAGTATGTCCTTCCTACCACCGTTGACATTCTTGCTTCACTCTCCTTGCTGGAACCTGTGAAAGCTGGGAAGTGATACTGTAGTCTTAGAAAACCGAGATATGTCTCCTGTCTCTACCACATATTGGCTCTGCATTCTGGGACAAGTCCCTTTGCTCCTGTTAAATTCCCCTCAGTGCAAAAGGGAGGTGATGCCATGACCTCCCCAAAAGCATTCATAGGAGAATTAAATAAAATGTACCGACAATGGCAGCTCATATACTACTGTAAAAAAATCAAATGCATTGTGTGGGTTTTTTTTTTTTTTGGTACTGGGGATGAACTTGGGACCTTGCTTTTTTGAGGAAGGCCCCTGAACCACTGAGCTAAATCCCCAGCCCTAGGGTTTCTTTTTTTTAACTCACCTAGTTTGTTGTGTGACAGTGATTAATACAATGCCTAGCACATAGCAAGTGGTCAGATCGACGTGCAGGGAACCTAAAGCATCAGTAGTTTCAGAGACCTCTGGGTGGTAGGGTTAAGGCCCTCAAGCCAGCCACTCATTGGCCTTGTTGTCAGGTGGAGCTGGCTCTGTGGGACACTGCAGGGCAGGAAGACTATGATCGCCTGCGGCCTCTCTCCTACCCGGACACTGATGTCATCCTCATGTGCTTTTCCATCGACAGCCCGGACAGCCTGGGTGAGGGCACTGGAGGGAGGGATGGAAACCCCTCCCATCAGCCATCTTCAAAGGCTGAGGCTGTAGGTTTGGGGATGCAGGGGACCCTCGGGCCCTGCTGCTGTTTGCTTTGGCAACTGTGACCCATGGGAGGATGGACTGAGGAGGGGTCTTGAGCTGTGAAAGAGACCATCAGGCTGAAGCACCTAAGACTGCTGTGGGAAGGCGAGGGTCTCCCCCGGTGAATGGAGGTACTGATACCTGTTGGGACTTGTCTATGCAGAAAACATACCTGAGAAGTGGACCCCGGAGGTGAAGCACTTCTGCCCTAATGTGCCCATCATCCTAGTGGGGAATAAGAAGGACCTGAGGCAAGATGAGCACACCAGGAGAGAGCTGGCCAAGATGAAGCAGGTGGGTGCAGCTGTCCAGGTGGGAGCCCTTAGGAAGGTGCCCTCCGAGGGTTGCACACTTGGAAAAACTGCTGGGTGTTAGCACACGTGTACACCCTGCTAGGAACCAGCTGGGCCCTCAGCACCTGATGAAATTATCAGAGAATGAAATGACTTGGGTCACTTGGGAGTTTCCTTTATTCCAGTCTTTGGAATTGGGATTGCTAAAAGGAACAAGAAAGTCCTTATCCTGAGACAGCATCAGTGTCACTTAGGGTGTGCAGACTGGGCCATCAGAGCACCAGCGGGAGGCTGTGTCTTATCAGTGGCCGGGAGGCAGGCCTAGGGTCCCAACTCAAGGTCTTGCTAAGTGCTTCTCTAGCCAGAGAACTAGTTTACAACAGGAAGCTGCCTGGATCCGGAATGGGGACTATCTCAGGAGGATAATTATGGTGAGGATTTAAGCTGGGGATACTTGTCAGGTCTGCAAGTTAGAAAAAACATCCCGGTAGCTAGATTGGAAGGATGAGAACGAGGTAGGGAGGTCATTTAGGAGTGGGGAGTCATTCAGGAGTGAGCCGTGTGTACCACAGTGGTTAGGGCAAGGAAGGAATAGACTGGAATTTCCAATGTAAACATGGATCTTAGATCCCTGCCTGCAGTAGCTGAGGGCCTGGGTGCTTTGTGGGGTTAGGGCAGGAGTTAGTTGTCCAGGTGAGAAGTGCACCTAGCCACCAGCTTCTTTTGATCTTTTATCTCCTCAGGAGCCTGTTCGATCTGAGGAAGGCCGGGACATGGCAAATCGGATCAGTGCCTTTGGCTACCTTGAGTGCTCAGCCAAGACTAAGGAGGGGGTTCGGGAGGTATTCGAGATGGCCACTCGGGCTGGCCTTCAGGTCCGCAAGAATAAGCGCCGGAGGGGCTGCCCCATTCTCTGAGATCCCCTTCACTCCCCTCATTCACCCCCCCTCTTTCACAAGGGCATATAAAGAACCCACCCACCCTGAACTACACCCTCTTAGGATGCCATGTTGAAGGCACTCTTCAGTTCCCTCCTGCCCAGGACTGCATTAAATCTCCCAGCCCCAAAGTGATGGTGATGGGTCCTTCCCCCTTCCTGCCTGTGGGAAACAGGCCTGTGCCTGGTCCTTCCAGAGCATTAGCCCTGCCCCTGCTGCCTTGGTCTGGGGGTGGGGCTCTTGCTGTTTGGCCTTCCCCAGAGAACAGTCACACACCAGCACTTTATATACTTCTGGCTCCCAGGAGCACGTCTAGGGTAGGGAACTGGGGTTTCTGCTCTAGGCAGGGGCCTTTGTCTGTGACTTCACTTGGAGGGGGGCATGAATAAAAGCTGCAGGTTCCAACATGTGTGACAGCTTCTTGTCTTTCTTTCCTGGTCCCTATCTTGGCTTCAGGCCTAGAGTTTCATCTCTTCATTTCCAAGTTTTTGCCTGGCTGGTGCTGGGTCTGCAGAGGCAGGACTACAGTAGGGTGGAGTCTCAGAGCTAAGAATGAGGTCATGCCTGGCTCCAGGCCTAGGAGGCGGGTGAGGGGAGTGGTCTACGGCCAGCGCTAAACTTAGAAACCTGTGGGCGGCTCCCCAGTCCGCTGGGTTTCCTCCTCTGGACTTCAAGGGGATGTAGCCCTGGGCAGGGTGTGACAGTCTCACCCTCCTGCAGGGTCATTGGGGAGTGCTGGAAGCTGGGACCAAGCGGAGGAGATGACCAAAAGGCTTTTGTATAGAACAAGACTTTGTTTTCAATTTTTCTTCCTCTTCCCTCCCCCAATTGTTAGCAGCTTGGTTCTCCAAAGCAGGAGAAAGGGTGGAATGGCTTGGTTGTAAACTCTCTCCCCCAGCCTTCCTGTCCCTTGGAGGGACAGCTTAGCTGGGTTCCGGTTCAGGGTCAGGTTGCAGGGGTTAAGGCCTGGGTGGTGTGAGAGGGTGGACAGCCATCTTCAGAGCTCATTCCTCCACTCTGGCTCCACTTGCAGAGACAGGTGCCCTTCGCCTTCCTGCTCCTGGGCGAGGCAGTCCCGACCACAGGGCCCTGGAAGGAAAGAAGTGTGCTTTGTTTGTTTACATCTCCCAGCACTGCCTCCACCTGGCCCAGCCATACCTGAGGTAGAAGAGCTGAGCTTGCTCAGACTTTGGAGTAAATTCTGTCCCTCCTGCAGGTCCAGTTTGGTAGGAAATGGGCACCCAGTGTAGCCCCCGTTTTCCTTACAGAACTCCAGGAATCTGTGGAGTACAAGGGCATTGGCGCACATGGAGCTGTGCAGGCCAGGCTGGGATATTACCGGTGGAGCCTGGAGGCCCAGCCTTGGTCCTGCTGCATCTGAGCCATGATTGTTCAACCTCAATGTCAGTCACTTACAAATAGGATGGGGGTTTGGTGAGGATTAACCCAGGTAAGGATTAACTGAGCCATAAGCAGCTGCCTAATAAAGCTGTACCGGTGCTAGGCTGGGGCTTGTGATCACTGAGGGGTTTTGGGGTGGGGATGCTCACGCTTTCCAGTCAGGGTCATGGCCCAGGAGAAGGGGGTTGCCCACTACAATGAGCAAGGCTTTGGCCCGAGTCACAGCCACGTTGAACCTCTGAAAGGAAGAAGGGTAGGGTCACAGAAGAGAAAGACCCGAGAAAGGAAGAATTCCTGCCACCCATAAGCCCTCAAACCTTCGGGTTCTTAAGGAAACCCAGGTTAAAGTCCAGATCCAACTGCACAAAGCTCTGGCTGCTTCGAACAGTGGAGATGAGGATGATGCTGCGTTCTTGCCCTTGGAATTCTTCCACGGAGCCCACCTAGAGCAGAGAGAGGCAGGACTTGAGAGCAGGTGGGGACAAGGAAGGGAACCCAGGGACAAGCCCTGCCCCAGGGAGCCTGAGCTACAAGGAGGGTACAGTGCGGTTACTTGGCAACTGTAGACCAGCAGAGTGGGTGCCAGAAGAGAACAGGAGGCTGCAGTGGAAGTGGAAAGCTTAAGGATGAAGCCGCTTATGGGTGTGGGGCCTGGAAAGTTTCAAAGCAAAGCAAATAGCATTGCAGAGAAAATGGTAACTCAGAGCAATGGTTCTGATACTTGTTAAGAGTGTCTCCAACTCAAGGCCCTAAACCAGACCTCCTGATCAGAATTTCTAAGGGCTCTTGAGGCCTCTAAACTGTACAACCGTTTTCAACCTTGGCTTCGAATCAGAATAACCTGAGGAGCTGTAAAAAAAATAGTGCCCTGGCTCTGCCGCCAGGTAGCTGTTAATTGGCTGGGTGGGGCCCTGGCACGGGCAGTATTAAGAGCAATCCGGGTGATTTTTACCTGCATTTACCACGAGAGAGAGAGAGAGAGAGAGAGAGAGAGAGAGCACGCGCGCACGAGAGCAGCCAGCTACTGCAGGGTGGGGGTGCACTTACCATAGAACAGTCGGACATAGGCCATGGAATTTGGACTTCACCCTTAGGGCAAAGGCCTCAAACCTGCCTGATCCCAAGAATGACAGGATGTGCGTGCTTGTTAAACACACATGCTTCCAATCCCATCCCAGACCTACAAGTTGTGATCTCTAGGAAAGAGAGGCTTGGGGAGAGCGCCAGTTCTGTCCCAAGGCAGCAGGGATGGGACAGGGACAGAGGTTGGACTGCAGCAGCAGCACAGAAGCTGAGGTCACCAAAGCGGACAAGAGAGGGGGCAAACAGAAGGCAGGAAGTGAACGTGGGGCAGTGTGTCACCTTCAAGTCCTTGATGTCATCCAGACCCCGAAGCTCCTTGTCAAGCTTAGTGATGCAATAACGGATTTTTTCCACCTGGAGGGAGGGAAAGGCGCCTTTCTCTCAAGTCATCACCCCAAGGCAAGAGGAAGCAAGGCAGGAGATAAAGGGCTAGGGACAAAGTGGGAAGGGACAGCTGACTTGGGTTTGGGCCCAGCAGGGACTGGGGGTCCTGGAGCCTCTGCCTACTGGTCTGGTTATTAGGGAGGCCCCACACTTGCTGGGAACTGAAGGCCTGACCTGCTTCCGGTATGGGGAGATGACACCCACACTTCGGGGGCTCAGGCGGCTTTTGCCCTTCTTGGACGAAGGGGCTAGGAGCAGCTTCAGGTAGGAAGTCACCGTGGCGGCCTCTTCAGGGTTGAAGAAGGATGGGCTATTGCCCTCACGCTCGTCTTTGCCCATTACGCCGTGAAAGATGATGGGAAAGCCCTGGACAAGGTCAGAGGAAACCCTCAGCCAGACCTCCCTACCACCTCCCACCTCCAAACCCTTCCAGGAAATGAGGCTTAGGCCAGGGTGACAAAAGGAGCGACCCACAGCATCCACTGAGCCTCCTCCTGCCCTGTACCTTCAGTTAGGAGGGAAGTTGGGAGTCAGGGCTGAGGGCCTGAGCCTAGCCCTGAGGGCTCAGCCTTACCTGTCAGAGCATACAGCCTCACCTTTCGAGGCAGACCTTCCCAGCAGCAGAACCGTTCTCGGTCCATCATGTCTGCACAGGCCTGCAGCTCACCATCGTAATAGAGCTGGTTAGGGATGTCCAGGATGGTGGGATGAGACCTAGGAGGCAGGAGGAGGAAGAGCAAGACCGAGGACTGTTTTTTCTGTTCTGCTCCGGGGGACCCCTGCCCTGGGCGGATACACAGTATCCTCCTGCACTCCTGCTCCCTCCATGGCACGACACTGCAATTGCAGAAAGCAGAATCAAATGTGGTTCACAAAGCTGGGTTTTGTTGACCAGCCCACTTACTTACTTATTTTGTGGTGCTGGGGACTAAACTCAGAGCCTTCACACTGAATGCTATCCCCTACCCTTTATAAAAGTTTTTGCAGACAGAGTTTCACGAAGTTGCTTAGGCTAGACTTGAACTTGCAGTCCTCTTACCTCTTTTTTGTTTGTTGTGTTTTTTGAGACAGAGTCTCACTATGCAGTTCAGGCTGGCCTTGACCTCACTATGTATTCCAGGTTGGCCTTGAATTCGGGGCAATCTTCCTGTCTCAGCCTCCCGAGTGTTGCGATTACAGGCATGTGCAACTGCTTGTTTTGTTTTTGAGACAGGATCCAGCCTGGTCTTGAATTCACCGTGTAGCCCAAGCTGCTCTCAAACTCTAGATGCTCCTGCAGTAGCCTCCCAAAGGCTAGCATTAAAAAAGGGGCCAGCCAGACATGGCTCCAAATTACTTTTAAAAACCGAGGAATGAGGAAGCCATTCTCAGGACAGTACAAAAACAAATTATCATCTATCACTATTATTTTATGACATGTTAAATCCAAAAGAGAAGCAGTGACAAAATAACTGACACTTACTGTACTCCTAGTGACAACCTGATACTCATCTAAGCATTTCTGATGTCTGAAGTTATTTACTGAAAGTATATAAGCCGGGCATAGTGGCACGTACCTTGTAGTCTCAGTTACTTGGGTGGCTAAGACAGGAGGATTACTTGAGCCCAGGAGTCTGAGACCAGTCTGGCTTACATAGAGAGACTGTCTAAAAGCAAAAACTATTCTATTTTTCTCATTTCTCCTTGGATTGCCTGGAAACTTCACCTGAGACCCACACCAGACACCTGGTATCCAACCACCCCCAATGTACACACAAGCCAAGTAAACTAGTCCAGGATGAAAGCACTTGCTAAGTCACATGGACAAGTAGCAGAGGTGGGGCTAGAAAGGAGACCTCTGACCTTCCAGTTCATAGTCTTTCTGCATCACAGCCTCTGAGCAATAGGCATGCAGAGCAGAGCCTGCAGCCGGGCTACACAGGCCATGAAGGTCTGGGTAGCAGCGGAGGTGAGGGTACAGGAATACCTGTAGTTGCGCAGCAGCTTGGTTATGAACTGGGGATTGTAGCCATTGGGGCCCTTCTTGTACAGGGTGTTGTAGGTGAGCAGCCGCTCCAGCAGCGAGTACCCCAGCCCGTGCTTCTGTGCCAGTGGAGAACGCAGCACAGGCCCCAGCTGCCGAGGGTCTCCTGCCAGCACCAGCTGCCCTCCTGGATTTCCGGTCTCCTTGGTTTCCATCAGTCCTGGGAGGCAGGGGTGGTGTGGGGGAAAGGTGGGTGGTGGGACCTTCCGGAAGGTGGTACCCACAGCCCATCTGATCCTCTCACCTGCTATGGCCACCAGACTCTCAGGCTCCATGCAGTGGCCAGCCTCATCAATGAAGACGTGTGTGAAGTGGTCGATGGGAAACTGGGCCGACACCAACCTGGGACATGTCAGGCCAGGCCAGAGTCATACCCAGGCTACCAGTCCTGAATGCTCACCGATGCTGGCCCCTCAGCTCATCCCCCAGGAACACTCCTCCCCCGTCTCCCAGCCTGCACGCCTTTACCTACGCTACCAACTTCCCACCTGCTGGCAGTGATGAGGGTGGTAATTAAGACGCGATATTCCTGCAGCTGCTTCTTGGCAGGAAACACATACTCCCCCTTCTTGGGATCCCAGTTACAGCAGTGCTGTGGATTGCAAAGGGACAAGAAGAATCCAATTGGCTGCGCCCATTCTTACCACTGCTCTGGCTCTGGCCCAACAAAATTATTTTAGCCACCTCTTTCACTTTTTAGACAGGGAGACTGAGGCCCAGAGAGGGGCCCTGACCCACCTGAGGTCACAAAGCAAGTAACCAGGTCTCCTAGTTTCCCACCCCGTGTCTACCCCGACTGCTCCCCCAGCCTCATCATCCCTTGACCTTCTGCACTTCCCTGTACCTTAATGTCCTCAGGCACCATTCGGATGTCCCTGCTGGGGGCCAGGAGGCGGTAGATGGAGCTGGGCAGGTGGACCCGGAGCCGCTGGCAGAGAAGGTCAGCACTCGAGTTGGATGGGGTGCAGGCCAGGATGTGGGCTTTGGGCAAGTGCTTCACCACCTGAGGTATAGAGAAGTATGGTGTGGGAAGCAGCTTCCTGTCTCTGCGATGACTTGGGCTGGGTCACTGTAGCATTTGGCTCCCACAACTGATGGAGGTAGGAGCACAAAAGGCAAGTTCTGATTCCCTACCCCTGCTGGATAATTGTTGCAGTAAATATACGAGTCTATGTTGGCTCAATAGCCACATTGACCCTAAATCCCCACTTCCTCTTTTCACGGCTGCTCAGAAGTAGGACCATTCAGGATGCTGGAGGGTATCAGAACTTGGGGGCAAATGCTCAGTGCTGGGGAGTTAGTGTGTAGCATCCTGGTTTACATTTAGGCCTCACCTGCTTAATGGCCTCCACTAATGTGATGGTCTTGCCAGTGCCTGGAGGCCCAAAGATGATGTAGGGGGCTGGGCGGGTGGTACCCATAACAATGTGCTTCATGGCCTGCAGCTGCTCTGGGTTCGACTCCAGACTCCGGTCAAACAGCCTGGCAGAAGGGTCAGGAATCCAAACTTCAAGTTATCCAGCATCCCAGAGGCTTCTGTGACTCCATCCCCTGCACCCACTCCCAGGAGTCCCAGAGCCCCCTGCCCGGTCTCACTTGAGCTTCACATCTGAGGGTAGCAGAGGGACCCCACGAGAGGCCACAGGAAAGAGCATGGGCCCCAGGGGCCAGCGCCCCGTCAGCTCCAGGGCTCGGTGCTGGACTCGCAGAGGCTGGCGGTTGAAAGTGAAGTTCACCTTGAAGGTCAGTCCATCCACAAAGCGGTCCAGGAGGCTTTGGGCAGGGAGAGAGGTGGAAAACCTCCAGTTAGTGTGCTGTGCAACAAAATGCCAGGGCACTCTCTCTCTCCCACTACTCCAGTCCCACAAAGCTTCCTAGGAAGAGGAAAGCTGCTCAGACAGCCCAGGGCCCCCTGAAGAAAAGCTTCCTGCTCCATGCCTGGGGTGTCACTTGTCTCAAGAAGAAACACCTCGCCCCTGGCCTCAGAGAGACAGAGGCCATTCTAGCAGCTCAGGGCTCCTCCAATGCCCACCTTGTGGAGAAGCTCAGCTTGACACAGTCCAACTCCACCTTGTGCACAAAGCCCTTGTAGGTGACCGGGTTCTCCTGGTGTGTCTCAGAGGACAAAACGGCAAACAGGTGGTCACCCCGTAGAACTGAGGGGCGGCTCTCAGTCACACCGGGAACCTGTAGGGGTGAACATAAGCAGGCTTCTATCCCAGGCTCTCTGGACCTCTGAGGACTGAGGTTTTGGGCCTCTAACTCAACATTCAGGGAGTTAACACTTCTTTGCACCCCTCTTTTCTCTCTCCCAAAGAGGGCTAGAGTCAAGGAAAGAGGAAGGAGGCAAATCTTCCTAAGCTGTGACTCAGATATGCTGAGCCCAAGGCAGGATTTCAGGACCCAGAAGTCAGCTTCCCAGACCATCCAGCTGCCCTCTTGGCCAGTTCAGTCCTACTCTGATTTTAAAATCTTGTTCATAACTCACTTCCTGTGGTATCTTTCCCTGACTGACCTTGTTCTCTCTCTTCCTATCTGTACTGTGTGCAGAAATATGTTCTCATGGGTAATTTTGGGCTTATACATACAAAGACAAAATCTGAGAGCTAAGAGCTAAAAAGGGCATTAAGAATTATCCTTTGGGCTGGGGATTTAGCTCAGTGGTTCTGGTGCCTGCCTTGCAAGCGCAAGGTCCAGAGTTCGATCCCTGGTACCAAAAAAAAAAAGGAATTATCCTTTCACCTGGGTGTTTTTCAGATAAGGGACCTCTGGCTGAAAGGAAGCGTTTCAGCGGGTGTGGTGGTGCATGCCTGTAATACGGGTACTCTGAGAGGCCGAGGCAGGAAGATGGCAAGTTTGAGACCAGCCTGAGGAACTTAGCAACTTTGTGAGACCCTGTCTCAAAATAAAAACATAGTAGCTCAGTGGGACTTAATTGCCATTCCGGGGGTATGGTTGGGGTTGGGGAGAGCAAGTGTCTTACCCAAGGCCACATAACTGGAGGTAGCAAAGTCTGGACTAAAACCCCATTCCCCTACCTTGCCATCTCTTTTTGGGCACAAGATGCACATTTCTTTTTGGGCTCTCTGAGACAGGAACCACTTCATCTTTTTCTAGCTTTGTCCTACAGTCAGGTAGTGTGCTGCCAGGTCTACTAGGCTGGCTGACTTGAGCTCCGCCCACCCACTTCCTGCCCCACCCCCACACCTGATCGAGCCCTGACCTCCAGTGTGAGCAGCCTGGGGTTCCAGGCAGTGGGGTCCCAGGTCATGGGCACTGACTCCAGGTCATAGTGCCGGATGTCATGCTCCATCTGCAGCTCCTCCAGGTGCAGCAGCAGCCGGAGCTTCACCTCATAGTTCTTCCACTTCAGGCTTGTCTCCAGCTTGGCCCTGGCAGACAGTGTTGGGGAATGGGGTGGGAATGGAAGGAAGAGGGTGGCTCAGGCAACCCCCATGCCTGTAAGTGCCCTCCTCTCTCCTGTGAAGCTCTGGAATTATGATGGCATAAGGAGGCAGGGAAGACCAGAAGGGCAGAGAAGTGGACAGGGGTCAGAAGCCTCAAAGAAGGGAGCTCTGGCTCTTGCTTCCTGGAATTTCCCTGCCCCTACCTGAGATGTACCCTGACATTTGCTTTGTGGATCCTAACAGCCAGAACATTCTGCCCCTGATCCACCCAAGATCCACTTTCACCTCACTCAAATGTTTCTCTGTTCAGATGTCCCCTCCTCAGACAGGTTAGAACTAATTGCCCTCTGCAAAACAGCAACCTCAGCCCTTACCCTGCTTTAGTTTATTTAGCATTTGTTTAGTTCTTCATAGCGCTCATCACTACATGAAATTATAAAATAAAGTTTTAAATAAATTACAGGGTAAAAGGACAGGGGATTTTGCTCAGTGGCACTGCGCCTGCCTCGAAAGTGCAAAGTCCTGAGTTTGATTCCCGGTACTGGAAAAAAAAAATTATAGGGTAGAGCACTTGCCTAAAATGTGCAAGGTCCTGGGTTCAATATCTAGCAGTGAGGAAAAGGAGGGGAGGGTTGGGGGTGGGAAGAGAGAGACAGAGAGGAAGGGAAAGGAAGAGAGAAAGAGAGGAGAGAAAAGAGAGAGGGAAGGAAGGAAGGGAAGGAGGGAGGGAAGGAGGGAGACAGAGAGATTCTAAGTGCACACTGTCCTCCCTTAGAATGGCCAAGGCCCTTGTTGGACTGGTCCACCTCAGACAGTGCCTAGCACACAGAGCATGCTCAGTGAGAGAATGAAAGAACAGCCTGGGAGGCTGAGGATGGAAATACAGGCAATGGGAGGAGACAGAGGACCGGCAAGAGTGTAGGGTGCAAAGGGGCGGCACGTACTTGATCTCAGCAATCTCCTTTGGGGCAGTGAAGGTACTTGTTCTCTGAAGAAGGATGGGGAGCAGCTGCCTGAGGCGGGGTGGTGGGTGGTAGCTCCCTAGTACCATACTTAGTTCCAGGTCATAGCCCTTAGCCCTGGGTAGGAGAGGAAAAGCAATCACAAACATGGAAACTTGTCACTTCAGACTCTGGGAATGACCCTGGTGCAGGATTCACAAGGCCTTCTATAATACGGTTGCTCAAAGGTGGTCCATCTAAGGGTGTGGAACTCAATAGCTCATGTAGCTTCTGCTTCCAAGGCTGGACCATTCTCATTTGTGGAAAGCCTGATTCTTGGAAATGTTTAAAAAATATTATACAGGAAATAAAATATTATATAAGGAATACATGTTCATTAGAAGGAAAAAATCTGAAAATAGGTTATAAATAAATACATTACATTCTCACCATCAGACAACCAGCATTAACTTTTTTTTGTTTGTTTGTTTTTTGTACCAGGGATCAAACTCAGGACCTTGTGCTTTCGAGGCAAGTGTCAGCACCACTGAGCAAAATCCTGGGCAGCATTAACTTTTTGTTTATGTTTTTTTTTTTTTTTTGGTACCAGGGATTGAACTCAGGTCCTTGTGCTTGCACAGCAGGCAACAAAACCACTGGGCTAAATCCCCGGCCCAAGCATTAATTTTTTGATATATAGCCTTCCAGACTTTTTTCTTTGTAAGTTTGTCTTTTTTTTGAGATAGGGTCTCACTATGTAGCCCAGGCTGGCCATGAACTCAGTGATTTTCCACCTCAGCCTCCCAAGTGCTGAAATTACAGGCATGCACCACCACCCTTGGCTAACTGTATTTTTTAATACATAAATATTGTTTACAAGGAAAGAGCATGATGGTCACACTGTGAAGGTCTGATTACATGCTGTTACGGCTTGTATCTGGATGTCCCCCTCAAAGCCTCATTTGCTCGTAAGTAGGGCTTTGGGGAGGTGGCTGAATTATGGGTGTGTGGTGCAGGGATTAATGGTAACTAAATTGGTTTAACTTGGATCGTGGTGTTTCCACTATCTACACCCAGATCCAAGGGAGTAGGTGGCACCAATCACTAAGGTTTTAGCCTGGATGGAACAGAAGGGAAAAAGGAGACAGGTTTGCTGCTTGCTGCCTTCTACTTGCCATGCCATGGACTGTTTCTTCTTTGTAATGTCCCTCTGCCATGTGCCAGCCAGCCAAGTACACACTGAAACCTCTACAAACTGTGAACGAAATAAACCTTTCTTTCTTTAACTTTGAGTGGCTGGTAGTTTGTCTCAGCAATGAGAAAGTAAGACACATGGTTTGCCTTTTTTGATTTTGTTATTTTTTGAGACAGGGTCTCACTAGGTAGCCCAGGCCGGCCTTGAACTTGCAATTCCTGCCTCAGACTCCTGAGTGCTGGGATTACAGCTATGGACCACCACACCAGGCCATGGTTTGCTTTTGAAATTCATTATTATGTGAACATCTAGCTATGCCAACGAGAGATGTCTACATGTATCACATATGTATACCCAGGAGTTTATTCACATGGAATCTGGGGAGATGGAAAGCGGATGAATGGCTGCTTGGGTATGGGAGCTAGGGGCAGGCGATAAAAGGTGGTAGGTGAAGGGTCTCTTTTTCGGGGTAATGAAATGTTCTAAAACTGACTGTGATAATGGTTGTACATATCCATAATTATATTAAAAACCACTGAACTGTAGTCATAAAATGAGTTAATCATTTGGTAAATGAGTTATCTCAATAATGCTGTTTAAAAAAAAAGAGAGGGCCGGGGATTTAGCTCAGTGGTTTCGCCGCCTGCTGCGCAAGCGCAAGGACCCGAATTCGATCCCTGGTACCAAAAAAATTTTTTTAAATTAAAAAAAAAAAAAAAGAGAGAGAGAACGGGCTAAGGATGTAGCTCAGTGGTAAAGCATATGCTTAGCACTTATGAGGCCCTGGATTCGATCCTCAGCAACACTAAAACTTTTTTTCAATTAAAAAAGAACCTAGGTGCAATGGCACATGCCTATAACTGCAGCTACATGGGAGGCTAAGTCAGGAGGATCCCAAATTCAAGGCCAGCCTCGGCAACTTAGCGTCTCAAATGAAATTTAAAAAGGGTTGGGGATTTAGCTCAGTGGTGGAACAATTGCTCAGCATGAATGAGGCCCTGGGTTCTATACCCAGAAGTACAACCAATCAATCGAGGGACAGATGTTTATAATGGGCTGCTTGATCATTCATCACACAGTAAAAATAGAAAAAAAAGTTTGAGAATTTTTTTCATATGCCCCTCAGATCTGCCACTCTCCTGCAACTTGCTTCCTAGACAGGAACGGTCTCTGAGGCCAGAGGAGGGGAGAACCCTCAGGCAGGAGAGGAGCTCTGGCTCCCAGCTCTGGGCTCTACCCAAGGGCCCACCTGTCTGGGTCAGGAGACACTCAGCCCGGAGGGAGTCGGAGGAACAGTTACCGGTCGGGTCTCTCCCCTTCCTCTATCCGGTTGGTCACCATAGTGTTTCTAGTGATCTGGATGCGCTTGTAGGGAGCTGTAGGCTTCAGTTGTGTAGCCATCGGGCTGTGAGCGACAGCAGCCAGGAAGCGGGCAATGTAGAAAGTGCCAGCTCCTTCTGAATCCGATTCTCCAGGGCCCAGCAGCTCCCAGAGCACCGTGGCTGGGAAGTACCCCACAAAGTTGGTCTTACAGTGGATCTGCAGCTCATAGCATTCACCTGGAGGAGGACGCTTGAGTGAATGGAGGTGGGGTGGGGACCCCAGACACTCCCCCATGCCAAGGCAGGAGCCCACCAGACAGTGACAGGGTCCTTCCCCAAGCCCCAGACCTGACCAGAGCAAGCTTCCCCTTGGAAACCAACTCACCAGGGCCCAGTGGGCAGGGCAGCTCCTGGTCATCGTAGAAGGCAAACTGGGGTGTCCAGCACAGTGGGAAGAGGTGAGTGAGGGTAACAGGCTTGGTTCCTCCATTCCGAAGTCTCAAGGTCAGCTCCTCCTTGTGGTTCAAATCCAGGTGGATAAGGAGCTGCCCATCTCGGGTTTCATGGGGCCCCTGAACTTCCACATCCACCCCATGCTTCCCGTGAAGATACTGAGCCCTGAAGAGAGCAGGAGTCAAGGGGTGGCAGGGACAGAAGGCCTGGACTGGGGGTTGCCTTTGGAAAGTTTCAAGGTTAGCAGGCTGGCAAGTACCAGCTGTGGTCACAAACCCCACCCTGCCTCTCAGGTCAATTCTCTGCCCTTCCCCCAGTCTTTGAGGGGAGGTGCTTCCCATAACCCCCTTTCCTCAACCCCCTTTCCCTCCCATGCACACATCGTGCATGCACACCCACACACCCACCTATCATAAAAGATTGTGGCTAGCAGTGACTTGTGGTGTTTGCTGATATCTGACCCCAGCTTCACTTTCCTCTTTTCTGGGAACTCCACATCGGCCCAGCGGTCAAGGCTGAAGAACCTGACCTGAGTCTTGCTGACGAAGGCCAGATTTGCAATCTTCATTCCATACAGCACGGAGGAGAAGCCAGGGGTGGGAGTCCTAGAGCTGCCAGAAGCAGAGGAGACTGGGAAGTGAGGGAAGGCAGCACCAGTGGGACGCAGGGTAGCTGTGGGCGTGGCCCGAGGGTCACTCTGTGCGGAACACAGCAGAGGAGCACAGGCTAGAGAATGGCAGGACTTTTCATGTCTTAAGGCAAGGCAATGAAACTTTCCAAGGCAAAATGTAACAGCAGGTTGTGGATTGCACACTTCTGAGGAGAAAAGGCCAATCACAGGCTGATGATTGGAAGGATTTGGGGAACAGAGAGAAACAAACAGTTTTTGTTGGTGGTGCTGGGGGGAACTTTGGGACAAAGAAAATGTATGTATAAACAACCCAGTGGAAAGAACTAAGGTCAAGGAGAAGCCGAATAAGTTGATTTAGAGGAGTGGATAAGGGGCTCAGTGGAGAAGAAGTGAGAGAAGAGCTTAGAGACAGCAGAGGTGTCCACAGTGTGGGCAAGGTGGCTGATCAGACAGCAGTTTCCACCCGGAGTCAAAGGGTGCAGGTGGAGCCCAAGCAGGAAGGGAAAGGATCCTTCTCCAGAGATCAAATAGCCTGGCTTTGTGCCTAGAGAGGTGAAGACAGGGAAAACTGGTCAGCAGGACAGTCACCTCAAGGTTTGGCATGTGGAATTCAGTTTAGTCAACTCAACAAACACTTACAGAGGCCTGTTAGGTGCCAAACACTGCACTACATGCAGCGGGTGGGGGGGGGTCCCCAAGATGCAAGAGACCCAGACCTGCCTGGAGGAGCACTCGGACCAATCCTACAAATTCCAGGGTGATCCTGAGAGCAGGAGCAGTCACCTCTGGGGCTCCCAGGGCCACTGAGGCCAGCCTGGGGGGAGGGGTGGGTCTCAGGCACAAGAGAGTGCCTTGCACGTGAGCAAGGTGAGGGGTGTGCAAGGGCCAGGCTCCACCAAGCTAACGCGTCACTCCGAACCTCACTTTCTCCCTCCGCAGAACGGGGATAGCATGACCTGGGGATGCAGCTGACTGGCAGAGCGGTTACCTAGCATTTCCAAGGCTCTGGGCTCCACTGCCAGCACCACACCAAATAAGGAAATAAATAAATAAAATGGAGAGAATATGACTTGACTTCCATGAGTGGCTCATTGACACTGCAGTGAACCACTTAGCCCAGTGTGTGGCACATAGGAGACCTCAGTAAAGGCGAGTGATGATTTAGTATCACATATAGTTTGGTTGTAGTAGAGTGAAAAGTGGTAGGGAAGGAGTGATGGGAGGCAGCAGAGATGGGCAGGGACCAGATCACGCCGTTGTGCTTGCAAGGCCCAGAAGCCTAGACCTAAAACCCTGGATGTCAGCAGTCCTTCACTTCCCTTTCCTGGTATCCAGGAGCCCAAGGACTCTCCCACACTTGACATATTTGACAGGCATATTCAAGATCGGGACAACCAACACCCTCCCTCAATGTTTTATAGGGAGTGAAAGGAAATTTTTTAAAACTTTTATTTGCATTTATTTTACGACTAATTTATTCCCGTGCCATAAGTTTTGTGTTCTGTTTTGGTTTTTTTGGTACTGGGGATCGAACTCAGGACCCTGGCGCTTGCAAGGTAGGCAGAGGAACCATTGAGCTAAATCCCCAGCCCCAGTGCCATAAGTTTTTATTTCTTCAGTTTCTTCTGGAATGAAAGCAAATTTTTGCTCCTAAAGACTATAGTAATCTGTAGAGCTCTTAAGGCTAATCAGCATAGTCACTCAGCAAAGCATATGATAAGTTACCGACATTTCTCTGGTGTCTCCTGCCTGGAACTCTGCCCCTCTCCTTCACCCCAGGGATATGAGAGCAGTACCATTCAGAAAGCTTTGAGTTGCCTATGATTTGTTTTCAAGACACAATAAATTATTTGAAAGCATAATGGAAAAAGCTCAATCAATGTCAGCTACTATTATTAGTATCTGTATTAATAATAGCAGTACTAACGGTGGCAGTAGTAGTAGGAGTAGTGACAACTTACTTGCAGCCCACGTCAGAGGCTACCCTGTGGTTACAGAACCACTGCAGTTGGTGGGTTTTAAGCAGGGGAGTGGCAAGATCATATTTGCATTTCAGATCACTCTGGCATCAGGACTGGAGGATGGGTTTGCTGGAGGCAAGACTGTAGGCAGGGAGACCAGTTAGAAGAAGGCCACTGCGATATTCTGGTTAAAAGATAACAAAGGCCTCTACAAGGCAGCAGTAGAGAAAGGAAAGGGGCCAGACTTGATCATTTTCAGAATGTAAATTAGCAGCATGTGGTGACCCACAGGAGAAGGAAAGGAGGCTAGGAAGGGGGATGAAGCTTGTGTACCCACATCGGTGGGCTGGCTTAGGGGACTGTCCCTTCAATAGGTGGAAAAGAGGAGGAGACACATGTAGAGCTAACCCTGACACTGGACATGCTGGGTTTGAGATTCCCGTGCTCAGAGGCAGATCTGGCTCCATGAGTCAGAAGTTGAGAACTCAGGCCAAAGTCAAGGTCAGATCTTAATCCTGAGGAGTCTTCAGGCGGCAGTTATAACCAAGGAAGTGTTTGGGATCTTTTCAGGGAGTGTAAGTAGTTTGAGAACAATCAAAGCTAGGACAACTGTGGGAGGGAGGGAGGGAGGGAGGGAAAAACAGAGATTGAACCCCCAAGAGAGGGATAGAAGCAGGAAAAGTCTCCAAATCAGGTGTCAGGACTAAATGCTGCTGAGGGATCCAGTAATAAAGGGACTGAAATCAGGAGGCCATCAGTAACTTTCACCAGGGCTCCTTAGTCTTTCAGTCCCCAAGTCCCATCGGTTGGGACACAAACTCACATTCGTACAAAAGCCAGGCCCCACAGCTGTCTTGATATCAGTTCCATTTTGTGTCTTTAGTGTATGAACGACCATATATCCCTCATAACTGTACTGTAAGAAAACAGGAGGCAGGCACCTTGGAAAGGCCTGAGTTTCCAGCACAGTGCTTGGAGAAAAGGGGGCTCCATGGGACTGAATAAACTGGGGAATGCATGCTGTGTCTGTGGGGGTGAAGGGACCTCATTCTGATCAAATGTGGCCAGCACAGAATGTAGGCCTCAAATAGCCAGATCTTACAGCTTTCAAGGGAAGACAAAAGCAAACTTTTAATGTGAAACCTTCTATTTCTGGAAATCTCTGCACAGGCCCATGGGTAGACAGAACTCATCTTTGCACATCTTGCAACTTCTACTATGGAGGCTGTTCCCTAAATACTTCTCAAATGATTCTGTCTGTTAATTCTACGCAAATTTATCTAACTCTGGTCTAAGGTGATAGCCATAAAAAATAAATTGTTTTAAAAAAATCACTAACAACACATTATTATCGAGAAAAGCCTCAGCCCTTGTATTATATACATCTAGTCACCTAGATTTCTAAGGAAAACTTCCTAACCAAGACTGAAAACCTGAAACTAAAAAATAATGAAAAACAGCAATAGCCAGGTGTGGTGGTGAATGCTCATACTCCAACACTCCAGACGCTAAGGCAGGAGGATGGTGAGTTTGAGACCAGCCTGGACTACACAGCAAGACCCTGTTTCTAAATACACACACACACACACACACACACACACACACACACACACATATACACATACATACATAAAGATGAACAGTTTTTTTTTTGTTGGTACTGGGGATCAAACTCGGGACCTTGTGCTTGTGAGGCAGGCGCTGGAACCACTGAACTAAATCCAGCCCAAGATGAACATTTTAACAGGGAAAATAAACATTAGATTTGAAAAACAAATACAGATGACCAAAAGGGTATGAAAAACTGTCCCAAGTGTAGAGAAGTACAAGTTTTAAAAAATGAGGTATCAATCCTATTAGAGAGACAAAAATAAAAATAGTTCTAACACGTATTTCTGTTATTGGAATTTCGGTTGTGGTGACTGGTGATGATCTGCCCTGTGTCTGGTGTCTCAGTTCTTGGATCCTCCCCAAGATCTGCAAGGAGGTCCGCAGCAAGGGAATAGTCAGCAAGCCGCAAGTTTAGCAGGCAGCTTTATTGGGTGACAAGCACAGTACATTCATAAGCATAGTAATTTATTAGGGGTTGTACATCTTCAAAAAGGCAGAGTGGGTAGAGCCAGAGGTGGCAACTGCCCTGAGGGTCAGAGTGCGCTTTCCTTGTAAATTTTTAGACCTTTGGGGAGAGACGGAGGGTTGGGGCTTTCTCCAACTGGCAGCTGAACTCCACCCATCTATATGAAGGGGAGTTTTTGGTCTAAAGTCTTGGTGTCTTCCCCGGAAGGAGGGTCAAAAGCCACAATGCGCATATATGTTAATGAGATCTAATTGGGTCACCCTCTGGTTTAACTCCCCTAGGTCCACATCGTTGACCTCACACTTAATGTAATTGTGCAACTAGGGTACCTTTAAGAGGCTTGAGGAGCTCTTCTCAAGAAATAATGAAACTGCAAACTCAGGAACCGCAAGCCACTGTCTGTCTGAGCTTGTGGCTTTTATTTATTTATTTGTGAGACAAGGTCTCACTAACTATGTAGTCCTCGCCATATAGCCCAAGCTGGCCTCAAATTTGTGACCATCCTGCCTCAGCCTACCGATCAGGTGTGCCCAGCTGAGGATTTCTATTTTAGCCCATCTGCTGTTCTCCCAGTTCTTATCTAATGAACTACCTACTCTACCAGTTCCATCTTTTACAAACCCTGAGCTGCAGGGGGATCAAGACCCGGATTCTTATAAAATTGAAATAAAATAGAATAAAAAATATCAGAAGGCAGTGAATGAGTGTTTCTGGAGGCACACATTGTTTTTTGAAATTAGTTGATACTAGGCCTTAAAGTAATTTTTTTTTTACTGTGGATAAATGTCTAAGCACGAAGCCACTCCATGCCAGAAGCCAGGAAGCTCTTCCTAAAACTGATTATGTCAGTGTCCTATGCTGAGACTATGTTTTCATATTTCTGCTAGGCTTAAAAACAAAAGAAAATTTCACAACGCCGTGGCACACAAGGTCCAGTACAATCCTGCTCCTACCTCCTTCTGATCTCCTGTTAGCAGGTTCTCCCCAGGTCCCCCCAAGCCTTTGAAGGTGTTGTTCCCACAGTCTGAAATGCTTTCTCCTTGCCCCTTAAATCTGCGAACTCCCTTTAATCCTTCAGATTCTGCTCACATATCACTCCCAGAAACCTCTGATTCCCTAAAGTCAGGGGTCCAACTTACTACAATCTCTGCACATACTGGACATTTTCTAACAAGCACTCATCATGACAGCAATTAAATATTCATGTTTAATTGCCACACTCTTCCTTAGTTGTTTTTTTCTGTGGACTGCCAGCACCTGGCCGAACTGCTTTGCTCATAGGAGGAACTAAGCCCATATTTGTTGAATAAAAGAATTGAGCCCAAAGCAAGAATCTATCTCAGAAACCTTTCCTGACACCTGTCCTTACTCCTTGGAACATGTTAGGAATGCAGAGGAAACTATGCCACAGAGAGCTCATTTTGGCCTCAGGCAACGCTGAGAGAATGGCATTATTTTACATACTGTTACAATTAGGGAAATGAAACAAAATAAAATGCAACCACTAAGTGGTGGAGCCAGAATCAACACAATACTTGCACGTGTACTACTGCACTGAATTTGTTCACACATATGGCATTCCCTATTAGACTACACTCTTTGGAGGCAGGAACCAAGGAGCAAACAAACAACAGAGCCACATTTGCTAAATCTGGAGTGGTAGTGCACTCTGGAAAGCTGAGGCAGGAGCATTCCAAGTTTAAACCCAGCCTGGGTAACTTAATGGCTTAGTGAGACCCTGTCTCAAAATAAAAATAAAAAGTGCTGAGGATGTAGCTAGGTGAGAAGGCCCTGGGTTCAATCCTCAACACAACACACAAACACAAAAGTTCTCTAATCCAAACAGAAATCTCCCCCACCTTTGGTGGAGGAGCATATAGGTATAACCTATTTCCATCTTTAGGACTGACAGTGCAGTGAGTGACACTGGAGTTTAATACTATCCATCATGACATATTCATGGATAGCAGCCTCTTTGCCCTCTCCAACTTTTCTCTTCCACGCAAACATTTCTCACGAAAGGTACAAACTCACAGAGGCCTTTCCTCCTCTTCTCTGTACTCAATTTTTTCCTGTCCTTCAAGGCCAAGGTCAAAGCCATCTTTTACATCATATTCTAGCAACTACAAGGGAGTGTCTTTTCTTGCATAAAATCCAAGTATATATAATTAAAATTATTTCGGGGCTAGGGGATGTCACTCAGCGAAGGAGCGCTTGTTTGGTTCCATTATCTGCATGGCTAAACAGTCAGGTAGTGTGGTACACATCTACAGACCCAGCTACTTGAGAGGCTGAGGCAAGATGATTGTCCGAGGCCCTGGGTTCAATCCCCAGTGGGGGTGGGGCACTAAAAATTACTTTTGAAAATCTTCAGATTCACCCATAACATATGGCACACATGGTTTTCCACAAGCAATCCAACATTGCTGGTTTCTCCTACTGAAGCACGGAGCATGTTCCTGGTTTAGAGCTGGCATAGACTCTCCTTGATCAGACTCCAGTCAGGCTCTGACCCATTTCCTGACCAGGCCTTGGCCTGGGATGCCTATACTCTTGGTTTAGATCTGCCTTGCTCAATTTAGCAAAAAATCCTGCTGAATCAGTTTAGTGAGGAAACTTCCCCTTGACTTACAATCACTCTTGCTATCCGATCAAGTTCCTCATTTCCAACCTCTGATGTACATAAAAATCTTTGGTCTGCCTTGACCAAGAATCCTATAGGTCTCTTTAGCAGTAATCCCTCCACTCTTGATGTCTCCTCAGTAAATACCTATATACTGCCCATCCTCTGCTCATTGGCCATGAATTCCCAGCTGTCTTTGCTGTATTTGGAGTTGAGATCAATCTCTGCCCCCTATTCCAGTAACCCTACTGCTAAACTGGCTGACTTGTACTCAGAACCACCATGTACTCTGTGGACACAGGTGAATTCATGTATGCGAAGTGCGGATGAGATGTGATTGCTTTCTTTACTTTCCTCCAGTGTTTTAAAATCTCTGTTATCATTCTCTTTTCACTATGTATTATAGCATATTATATATGTGCCAGTTCATCTTAATTGCCAGTTTGACTGTATTAAGAGACTTCTGGAGAGGTAAGTGGATCATGGGGCATTGTACTCATTAGCAGATGAATCCACTGATGTTCACAGCAGGATGTGCCTTAGGGGGTGGGTCAGTACAGGAGTGCCTTTGAAAGGCATCTTTCATTCTCTTTTTGGGGGGGAGGTGGGTGTTGAGACAAGGTGTGCTATGTAGTTCAGGCTGGCCTTGAAATCCAGATCTTCCCTCAGTCTCCTGAGTGCTGGGATTATAGAGGTGTGGCCACAACAACCAGTTTAGAGAGTGTATCTCCCGCTGGTACTCTTCCTCTAAGCTCTGCTTTCTGCACAGTTAAGTGAGTAGCTTTGTTCCAACAGGCCCTTACGACCCAATGTTTCTGTGGATGACACTTCTGAAACAAGTGTCAAAATTAAACTGCTCTTCCTTTAAGTTGTAGGTGTCAGTATTTTGTCTCAGTGATGGAAAAGCTTACTAATAATGCATGCGTATTAAAGCATATGCAATGTATGCATATCATAGCCTTTACTGGTCTCCTGGGGTTGTGTATGGTTCCCATCTTTGTAGTTCCCAAGGTGGCCAGCATGGTGTGGGGGCATAAAGCAGGTCCTCATCATCTGTGCCCCTTCTTCAGCTGTTGCTGAAGCCTCTTCGTGCTCCTCCCAAAATGTCACACCCATTACTGAGGCCAGTATCTACCCCCAGCCCAGTCACTATGGAGCATCCCGATCTCCTCCCCCCACACCCAACCATATTTCCTTTAACTCAGGCTAAAATCTGCACAAAACCACATCACCCTCTCGCCTTTACTGTCCTGCGGTCTGCTGGAACCCGCAGTCTTTTTTAGAATGTCCGTTATTAAAACCTGCTCTCTACTTCCCATTTATGCACGTCTTTATGCTCATCTCTGTCAGGTTGCTTCTTGTTTTCCGCCCAACGCAGCAGCCTGTTGCTAGAGGTGTTTTGAAGCACAATTCTATGGTTTGACAAGTCTCTTTGATTCTCAAGTGGGTAACAGGAAAGGGAGACCAAATGCCTTCAGCTACACGGGGAAAGGGGGCCTCCAGGAGGCTGTCCCCGGCCCTGGGTCTCCACGGAGAAGCCACAGGTGCTAATTTAATGGAGGTCTGGTGAGTAAGTAGTTGGTGCCTTTTTCTTTCCTGCGCTTCCCGAGATTCTCCCTCCCCCAGTGGGCCTTCAGGGCTCGCAGATCTTGGATCCGGAGGCTGCACCCCGCCCCCCTCAACAAGGGGGGTGGTCCCCGTGAAGCCCGAGCTAGTAGGCAGCGCCTTCCTTCTCCGCGCTCCGCGACGCCCGGGCCCCCTCCCGAGGCTGCCCTCCCCCATTCGAGCGCCGTCCCCCAGCCCGGGCCAGCTGCAGGGGCCCTGAGGCCGTGGACAGGGACCCTGCGTAGAGGCCCGGCCGCGCTGAGCGAGCGGGATGCGGGCAGCGCTGGCGGGGCATGGGCAGGGCGCAAGAGGAGGTCTGCGCCGCCCCAGGACGGCCCGAGCCGCAGGGCGCTGCGCCCCTCTGCGCCCGGGGCAGGCAGGGGGCCCCGGCGCACGGCCGTGGTGGCGCGCTGGGCCCCGCAATCGATCGGGGTCGGGTGGGCCGGTCCGTACCTGGCCTTGAAGTCTCGGTTATAAATAGTCCTCAGCAGCTCGCGATCTGTCTCCTTGTCCAGTCCCCGATCGAGGAGGAAACTCTGGAAGTCCTGGCCCGTCTCCCGGAGCTGCCGGCGGCTGAACTTGCTGGGCATCGCGGCGGCGGCTGCGGCCCAGGCAGGAGGGTCCGTCGAAATGAAACTGAAAGTCGCCGCGGCGGCGGGAAGTTGGCGGCCCTGGGATGAGGGTGCAGGAGGGAAGCCCCCTACCCCTGACCCCTGACCCTGCAGGCTCCCTTCTCCCCAACCTGGGTCGCCTTTGCGGTGGCTACCCTACCTGAGCCTTCCCTGTGGTCTCTCCGTCCTGTCCCCTCCCCCTCTTCGCATTAACTCTTTCCGCAGGAGCCTGACCCCTCCCTCGGGTCCCTCCCCTTACCCCCGAGCTCCCTCCCCTGGCTGCGAGCCAAGGTACAAACGTGGCGATCCATCGCCTGGGTCCGCTGAACACGGGGCTGGGACCTCTGAGCCTGTCGCGAGCAGGTACCGTGGGTAAAGAGGACTCGGACTCGGATGGCAGTTCATACACTTATCTTATATTATCATAATTCACTTCAATACAATTATCACAATATTAAGTCTGCCAATTACCACGTCCCTGTACCTGTACTGCGCAAGTCCTTATGGGAGCGCGACGTTTCCTCCCGTAGGGTCAGAGGGTCCGATCCGTAGACGAAGGGCGTCGAGTCGGCCCTAGGCTATCCGTCTCTCAGCGTCATCAGGTGTGCAGATGTCTCGGTCGGTAGTCAGATCAGCAGATCGACTGGTCGACTGGTCGGTGGACGGATCGACGACTTGCTTGGAGTCTTCAGCTCCTTTTATACTATTCTAACTGGGCGTTTGTGGTATTGGTTCAGACTTATCACATCTTATCATATCACACTGTCCAGTTCGGGGTACACCCTTATCAGTTCCATACCGCTTAAGGTTCTACTTTAATATCTTATGGTTACACATCACTCTCATGATTACGTCACACTTAGGGTTACAGCACACTTAGGGTTATACAATTCAATCTTTTTTCAAAGTGTTCTCCACAGAGCCTCCGCTAGGACTACTCCCACGCCCGCCCTCCAGAGCACTCCAGAGCCTCGGGACTTACTGAAAAACAGGAGAGCAAAGGGCAGGGTCGGGGACCTGGGTCCTCGGCAGCTGGACTGGGGTAGTTCACCCAGCACCTCCCCTAGACGGCCAGGGCCGAAATCAGTGCGAGTGCAGAAGCAGGCGGCAGCCCCTCCCCATTTTCGGACACGGGAGGAAGACTGGAGTCAAACAAGTTTGGGGAAAGAAAGAAGTGTCTCTGAGATAAAGGTGTGTACGTGTGTGAGAGACGGACAAGGGATTCTGCCAGAATGAACACATCCCCCCTCCCCGGCCACTTAGGCTTTCTTATATCCCAGGCTGGTGAGCCTTACCCTTGAGCCACACACTTGGGTACTTAATTGCAGTCCAGCCTGTATTGTTCTTTGTTAGTAGTAAGTGTTGCCAAACCATTAAAATGTAGTAATTAAAGCCCTGAGAGCAAGGTTAGGCATAAACAGTTAACTCCAACAGCATCAGTACCAGGCAAAGACCAGTGTGCTTAGGAGACTGTTTAGGCGATCTGAAGAGCGGGACTCAAAAAAAACCCCCAAAACAAAACATACATATATCTATGTATCTATCTATATATATATCTCAAGCCTTTAGCATCTATTTATTCTCCAGAATAACAAACACACACTAGAATGGGATAAAGATAATAAGTTATGTAAGGAATTAAATCAGATAGAGTTGGAACTACATCAAAGCTAATGTTGTTCTAAAAAGTAGTCCCCAACAGGAGGCCACACACTCAATCTAACCCACTGTGACCTGACTCAGGACAATCTCCCACTGGGTCAACCCTGTATCTTTTCCCAAGGCCAACAGTGAAAAGCCAGAAATAACAGGCGTTAGCAATAGGAAACGCGGTGTCAGTGAAAATCAAAGCAACGAGGAAAATAGGGCACAGGGAAATGTTTTGTGGTAAAAATTAGTTATGCAAATTAGAAAGAGCGCAGAAAGTAGCCACATATTTTATCTCTCATCCAATTACTCATGAGGCCATGGAAGCCAGAAGGAGGTAAACTTTAAGCTAGGCATGGTGGTGCCGGGGAGGATTTCAACTTGGAGCCCAGCCTGGGCAGTTTAGTGACTTAGTGAGACCGTCTAAAAAAATAAAGACCTAGAGGGGCCGGGGATTTAGCTCAGTGGTTTCGTTGCCTGCTGCGCAAGCACAAGGACCCAAGTTCGGTCCACGGTACCCAAAAGAAAAGAAAAAAAAAAAGACCTAGGATGTAGCTCAGGGCAAAGGCCCTGGGTTTAAGCTGTGCTATCACCAAAACAGACCCAAAAAAAGTGTGTGGGGGGGGAATGTGTGCGAACTCTTGAAAATCACTGTTGCTTTTCATCTCAAATACTATCTACCATATCCAAACCAAATGTCTGGCTCAATTCTGACCAGCAAATATAAGTCCTCATTATTTCTGGACACATAACCTTCCAGCTCTTCTCTGGCCAAACCGATCTCCTAGATGTTCTCAAAACACACAAACAGCTGTATGTATTATAGTAAAAACTTGGGTAGAAATATGAGAACGTCTCTAAACATTTCATCTGGAAAAATCTTCACATGGAATTGTCGCTATTTTCACCCATGCAGTTCTAGATGCCAAGAATGGTCTTCCCACCTTTCAAATCCAGCTTCTTTTGAAGTCTTCTCTAAATCTGTAATTAAAAGAATCTGACTTCAAAGTAGTAAGGTTGATTTTAGTGAGTTCAAACAGATAGTCTGGAAGTTAACTTTGGCCAGCAGTGTTACTGGAATAAATCTATAGCTTTCCCAAAGAACTATTTTACAGATTAGAAGCTATTTTATTTTCATTACTCCTTTTTTTTTGGTACCGGGGATCAAACTCGGGTCCTTGTGCTTGCGCAGCAGGCGGCAAAACCACTGAGGTAAATCCTTGGCCCCTACTCTTTAGTTTTTATAGCTCAGATTTGAATGTTCTTTAAACTTATATATTCAAACTTTTCTAAGACAACTACTAGAAAAGGTTTTTTTTCAGTTAACACTGAAATCTGTCAGTCTACTACAGCCCAAAGGATAGGCTGTCAGGTACAGTTGGTCATTACTCGAGTATCTGTATTTGCAGAATCATCTACTTCCTAAGATTTATTTCCAGCCTTCCAAGTCCCTGCTTACAATGTCTATCACTCAGCACAAAGTGGTGGAAAATTGTTTCCCAGTGTGCACCACTGCCAGCTGAGGTGACGCTGATGCTCAGCCTTGTTTTGGTCCCCATATTGTAAACAAATGTCTTTTCCATGGACTGTTTATAGCCATGTTTTCTGCCTTTGTGTGCTTTGTGCTGGCCATTTCCCTGCTTATGATGGTCCCCAAGGATAGTACCAAAGTGTTCAAGAAGACGAGGAAATTAGATAAACTTCATCAGATAAACTTCATGCAGGCATGAGTTACAGTATTCACTAGTGTTCAGTGACTTTCTAGAATATTACTCTGAATAATGAAGAATTAACTGTGTATCTTTCTACATAACAGACTACTCTCTGATACCTTGGATTTGAAGATGTGAGATTGCTGTTCACCCTCAGAGGGCTTATAACTCTTATTCTGTGTTTATATAAAAGAATTTAAATTAGCTCAATTTATTCAATAGGACAATCCAACTTTCTTCTATATTTACCAACCTTCCTTCCTTCGATTTTTCCACATCGTTGAAAGCTGATCAACTAAAAGTGGTCATGAGCATCTAGCTCACTAGGTGGCTTTATACAGAACTACAAATCAATAAACTGGTACCCAGGTACACAAATCTAGTCTTTTTTGATTTTGGAGAAATCTCAAGATTTGCTAAGAAGCTCATGAACCTAGGTAAGTCAAGGATCAACATTCTAGATCATTAAACAAGAGAACAGGCACTGTAAGTAGGCAACCAACAGAAGGAAAACCACTGAGGCTCAGATGGAAAAAGCCTTCTGCAGTGTCATTTCAAACATCAGTATAGAGTGGGGCCTCACAGAAAACTCTTTTCTATGTCTGGGAAGCCTTTGCCCTAGGATACCACAGACTGATTTCAGACACAATGCAAGCAGCTACTGCACTGAGGGAGGTTAAGAAGTCAGGGGGTCTGTTCAGGACTTGGCAAGGAGGTTTGATTTCCTCCCATTTCTACAAGTAACTAAGTAACTATCTAAACCCGATAGCCCTGAGATTGGTCTTTCTGGAATAAGGAAATCAATGGGCTAGCGTGGGAGCAGGCTGACAGAATTAACAAGAATGTATGAATCTATGTTATAAGGAAAGAATGCAGTACAGTTAAATGTCTGTCAAAAATATGGGAATTTGAACTGACCTTGGATGAAGGGTGAAGAGCTGAAACTCCCTTTGGTTCTCTGTTGAGAACCAGGATAAAAGCCTTTCCCACACCTCATCAGTAGCTAAATCAGACTTGAAGGAGAGGAAAGCAGTGTTTAGCATTAAGCCAATGTGAAATATTACCCAGGTTCAAGGTGCAGGGGTTCTTTAATTTCTACTTCCTTCCTAAGTGACTGTGGTCTTGGTTTATGAATAAATGGTAAAAATTAGATTTTCCTTTTTGACATTAATGGAAATCTCGAAACAAAACCTTTGTATTACTGGGGAGGTACTTTTGGGTAGAGTACTATGAGCTAGAGACTGCTCACACTAAAAAAAAGCTGTACTATAGCTTCATATATTTGCTGAGTCTATAACAGTTGAAAGTAGGAACCAGTTTTAGGAAGCCTGAACATTCTCAACAAACAAAATCAAATACAGTTGAATATCTTACCTTGAGAACAAAGGCGGACAAGATGGATCAAAAAGAAGAGACTCAGACAATTTTAGAACAAAACAGGTATATTTCTACTGGACTACCTGATACAGAAGATAGTGTGGTATGATGGATGGATAGTATGAATGACAAATAATACAAATATATTTTATTTGAAATAAAAAATGCTAACATAGCTTTCACTTAGAAACAAACTCTTGCACGACTGTTATTACTGAGCAAAACAAAGCTGAAGCATAAACAGCCTTCTTTTTTAACATGTATCTGAAGACATGTAGGAAGACACTACTTGGTTTTTTAAAAAAAACTGACCTCCCTTTAAGGCCTGGTCATAGAAGTGTAAACAATGTAAATGAATCCACCATTATCAGTTGTCCTATCATATCTCTGTCACCTGTGTATTCTGAGATCACACATTTACCTGCCACTATACCTGGGAAGGGTTGCTATATCACAGTTACTTTTGAGTTCTTGGTAGGCAGGACTAAGGAAGAGTAATTTGGAACAAATTTTACATCCTATTTAGAAAACCCTAGTATATTCCCTTAAATAACAGGTTACAATAGAGAGGTACTGCCTGGAAGTTACTCTTTTCACTTTGGTTTAGTTTTAGTTTTTGTGATTTATAGAGCTGTTTGACTCATTTGCTTACAGTACAATCCTGCCACAAAGTATTAAAGGACAAGATATCCGTGATTCCTTCAACACTGCATTTTTCAAGTTTTACTACATCCACAGTATGTCAGCAGTCTAAAAAAACAAACAAAAAAGCAAAACAGAAAAACAAAAATGTAAATGAGTAAAATTCTTCTAAAAATGCAGGTGTCAATACCTACAATAGGGAAGACCATGAGAGAATCCCTTCCTCTCCAAAAAAGCAAACATGTTCATGTGCAGGGAATGTGGTTCAAGTCTTTGGATTTAAAAACAAGTTCCCCCCAAAAAGCTGGCTATCATGGAATTTCCAGAACGCTTATTTTTGGCCCTACCAAATGGACCTGAAAAGCCCCAATGCAAAGTTTAAAAAAATAACAGTTATGAGATGCTCCAAATGATGATCAAAGCAGTCAGAGGGAGAAAAATGAATGTATCTTCCATTTAGCTGGTTTGTAGCACAACAGCCTCTTTAGCTGCTGGATCAGTAAAAACCACTGAAGTACCAGAAGTGCTTTGAAGCATAGGGGTAAAAAAGTACTGAACATATTATCTAAACAGTAACAGGACTTCATGGCTAGGAAAATTTTCTAAATAGTAAAATGACTCCAAGATAGATCTCTCTTTCCAACATAAAACACAGCAGAAAAAAAAAAAAAGATTTACAAGTAGATATAGTAATAACAGAAAATTACAAGGCAGAGAACACAAGGTCAAGACAATGCTATAGGTTCAAAAGTATTCCATGAGGCTAGAAAATCTGTTAAGTTTGAAAGCCCTAGCAAAATATCACTTTTGTTTATAAATCACTTGTTTATCACATGACCATGTGTTGAATCATTTTCTTTCCACATACTGAAGAATCCTACGGTCAGCCTTTAAGCATTCTGCATTTCTTTGCCAATCTTGTAACTGAGTATCTTGTTCCAGTCGATTTTGGTGCGGGTAACCGGAAGCTGCCGGCGCAAGGCCTTGAATGTGGTGTCTGACATTGTTTGATAGTTTTCACTAATTGCTGTCTGCAACAGATAATTGAAAATAGTTGCTTGAACAGAAATAGGATTGGTTGTGAATACAAAAGGAGGCTCGTACTTAATGGACATGCTACAAAGGACAGATGGAACATACTATTTGTAGTGAGCTCCTCTCCAATCTCTAAAGCAAGTCAAATAATTCACTGTTTTACTAAAATAATCCAGAAACCTTAACTGTAAACAGAATGTCAAATTACAAGGCCTATAAACTCTCAATATTTAGTAGTACTCAACAACGTATGTATTAGTGTTAAGGACACAGATGGACCTAACAAAAATTAATTCCACATCTTACCTGATACTCATTTTCTGCATTCTCTATGATTTTAATAAACTCCTTCGCAGTTTGGACTTCATTCTAATGAAAAAAGAAGGGAAAATAAGAATTTTTAAAAATGTGTAAGCAGTGAATAAAAAGATACTGAAAAGTCAATCAATATTAATATTTGTATAATAATTCCTAGTTTACCAAGTGTTCCCATGCATATTACCTCCTTTCTTACAATAACCTTGTGACATAGAAATGATACTATCATCAACTTCATTTTGCAGACTAAAAGTATCCTCTTAAGTGACTCGACCAAAATTATAAAGCTTTAGGATAATAAAGATGGGGTCTGAATCTAGGTCTTCACTGAGACCTCATCATGTCTTGAAATTTTTTTTTTTTTTTGGTACCGGGGATTGAACTTGGATCCTTCCGCTTGCGAGGCAGGCACAGGAACCACCGAGCTACATCCCCGGCCCATGTCTTGAAATTTTGACAATTGAAAAATATTCCTGGTTTAAGATGAGATGAACAATCCCTGAGGACCTCACAACTAAAGACCTTGTGGCATGCATGCTACACAAGTGCTCTAAAATGCAGCTTCCTAGAAACGACATGATGTGTGGTGATGTTATCATTTTGAGGGCTAAAAGAATGTATGAAGCAAACAGGAGAATCAGCTGTCTTTTCTATTTAAAAAAAGGGCTGGGGACATAGCTCAGTGGTACACCGCTTGCTTAGCATGTGTGAGGCCTGGGTTCAATCCCCAATACCACAGGAAAACACACACACACACACACACACACACACACACACCCCTACCTGGGGAGGGGGTCAGGGTCTCAATATATAGTCTAGGCTGGCCTTAATCTTACTATGTAGTTTAGGTTAGAGCCACACTCATGATCTTCCTGCCTCAGCCTTCTGAGTGCTAGGATATAGGTATGTACCACAGTGCTTGTCCAGTTATCTTTTTGTAAACCAGATTATTACACAATTTGTGAGGACATAAATTAATGCCATTCTTCTATTCTGGAAAGGGGGAAAATAGTTATTTTCCACAAAAATGTCCCTTATGTTAATAAGTAATGATTCCTTTTTTTGATACCGGGGATCAAACTCAGGTCTTTGTGCCTGAGACAGGTGGCAGGCGGTAGAACCACTGAGCTAAATCCCCAGCCTGATTCTTTTGCAGATGGAGTCCTATGATGCCCAGGCTGATCTTCAACTTGTGAGCTCAAGCAATTCTCCCACCTGAGGCGGGAACCTCCTCCAGCTTATTACTGATTGATTGATTCCTTGCTTGCAGTACTGGGGATGGAACCAGGGGTCTTGTACTGAGATACATTCCTAGCCCTTTATATTTTTTGAGACCCTGTCTTGCTAAATTGGACAGGCTGGCTTCAAACTTGTGATCTTCTTGCCTCAGCCTTCTGATTAGCTAGGATTACAGGCATATGCCACTGGGCCTGGCTTCCAGCTCATTATTTTAAATTAAATATTTTAATACTTCTCTTAATTTTTAGTAAATATTGATAAATACAGCACATATAAACAAAAGTTCTTGGGGGTACTCAATAACTTCTAAGAATACAAACAGATAATGAACTGATATGGTGGCACATGCCTGTAGCTACTTGGCAAGTTCAAGGCCTGCCTTGGCAAATAAGGAAGACCCTGTCTCAAAATAAAAGGGTGAAGGGTAGCGTGTCCCTGGGTGGTTCAATCCCCAGTACCCCCCCCCCCAACACACACACACAAAAGAGGAGGAAGAAGAGGAGACAGAAGGGGAGGAAGAGGGCCAGGGATTTAGCTCAGTGGTTCCGCAGCCTGCCTAGCAAGCACAAGGTCCCGAGTTTGATCCCCAGTTCCTAGAAAAAAAGAAAAAAAAAGGAAGAAGAGAAATGAGATTATGAAAGAATTTGAAGTTGGCCATAGAGACACAGACCTGTAATCCCAGCACACTTGGAGGTGGAGGCAGAAGGATCCCAAGTTTGAACCTAGCTTGAGAACTTCACCACTTGAGACCCTGTCTACAAATAAAGAAAAAAAAGGGCCTGGGATGCAGCTCAGTGTGAAGGCCCTGGGTTCAATCTCCAGTACCACACACACACACACACAATTAAAAAATAAATTATTTTTTATTTGGGTCTGTGGGAGTGAGACAGGAGAATTAAGTTTGAGCCCAGCCCAGCTCGACCCTTAGTGTGACCCTGACCCAAAAAGCAAAACAAAACAAAGCAACACAACACAAATTATGTCACTTCTTTCAAGACACAGAATACTTTCTGCTTGAATATTACAAAAATGTTTCTCTAGTGATATCAATGCAGTCTAATAGGATTTAGTTTGACAAAGTTTCCGAGCCATGTGTTGATGGAAGGTATTGCTGTGATTGAGCAAATATTAAAAGTGAAAGAGATAGCAAGAAAGAGAAGTTTTTCTCAAACCATAATCAGTATTTTGAATTGAAAATTATGTAAGTCTAATATAGTCAGCTAGTAGTAAGAGACATTAACATATTAAAGTGAAAGTATCAGCACTTAGGAGCAAAACTAGTATTTTCAAGAAAAACAAGGGAACAAATGAGACAGACATTAAATGTGGCTTACTCACCGAGACATTTATTGAATCTTGCACATCTTTATGACTAACCAATTGAACATTACCATCTTCATAATAGTGAACCTGTATGAGACAATATTTAAGTTTATGTGTAGTTCATGTAGAAACCTATTGCTTAGGGCCCAAATCTACGCTTGGGCTATGCTTAAATTGGTAAGATATCTTTACCAACTGTGAACAAATAAGTAATATAACCAATGACAATTTACAATGGTATTAATTAAAACACAAATAATCTTAATTGCCAGCTTTGGTGGTACATACCTACAATCCCAGCACTTGACAGGGTGAGGCAGAAGGATCATGAGTTTAAGGCCAGCCTAGACTAACTAGAGAGTTCAAGGTCAGCTTGAACTACATAGTGAGACCGTATGATTCATTGATTCATTCATTCATAAAACTAAAAGAAAATTCATAAGCTACCAAAGTTTAAGAATTCTCTCTTACCTGGGTATGGCAGCATATGCCTATAATCCCAGTACTCTGGGAAGACTGAGGCAGGAAGACCCCAAGTTTGGGCCCAGTCTGGCCAATTTAGCAACTTACACCCTGCTTCAAAATTTTAAAACAAACAAAAAATCTCTTTCCTTAGCAGTGAAAAACTGATTACTTATTAAATTTAACAAACATTTATGTGTTTATTACATTTCAGGCACTGTGGTAGAGATGTAAATACAAAATAATTTTTCTTTTTCTCTGAGACAGGGTCTCGCTATGTAGTTCAGGCTGGCTTGAACCCACTTTGTGGCCCCCACTGGCCTCAAACTTGCAGTGATCCTCTTGCCTAAACCTCCAGAGTGCTGGGATTACAGGTGTGCACCAGCAAACTCAGAAAGATACCACTCTTAATAGTATTAAAATAATTAAAGTAAAATTTTTAACTGGTTTTTCTCAGTGAAAACCAAAAAGTTTTAATAGATTCTAATACCTGATACATCTTTCTCTCTGATTTATAACTTTTTTTCAGTACTGGGGACTGAACCCACGGCATTCGCATCCTCGCCTTTTAAAAAACTCTGAGACAGGATCTAAGTCATTAAGTTGCCCAGGTTGGACTGGACCTTTCAGTCCTCCTGCCTTGGCCTCACAGAGTACACGGATTACAGCCATGTGCCACTATGCTCAGCTCTTGATGCATCTTTCTAATAAATTATCATCAATACTGGCAAGTAGATCTGACTAAGTACGGGAAAAGCTTAATTGAGGATTACACAGGACTGAAAACAAAGTATTTTATTGGTAAATTAGATTACAAAAGTTAAGTGTGATAAAAGCTATTTCTGGGGCTAGATGTGTAGCTTAGTAACAGAGCACCTGCTTAGCAAGCATGAGACTGTGGTCCCCAGCACTGCAAAAGAAAAAAAAAAAAATCACTTTTGAAAATAAAAGGTTAAAAAAAAAGAAAATAAAAGGTAAAGTGAGGTGCTACAATTACAAAAACAATCCTTAAGAACAAGAAATACAGGCCGGGGATTTAGCTCAGTGGTTTCGTCGCCTGCTGCGCAAGCGCAAGGACCCGAGTTCGATCCCTGGTACCAAAAAAGAACAAGAAATACATAAGAAAATCATTGACTGTAAGGGAGCTCAGGAAGTTTTGGCAACTTATGACAGGCTCAATCATCTCAACATGGCTGCAAACTGACCATACAGAATAGGAATATATTGGAACATAAGAAATGTCACCTAAGTAGACAAGGCAGAGAAGGGTATCTAGCAAAGGATAAAAAAGTATGAGAATAGCTACATGTGGTGGTACACACCTATAACCCAGCTTCTTGGGAGGCTGAGGCAGAAGGATTCCAAATTGGAACCCAGTCTGCGCAACATGGTGACATCCTATCTTAATAGGCATATAGTTCAGTGGTAGAGTGCTTGCCTAGCACGGATGAGGCCTTGGGCTCAATCCCCAGCACGACACACAGAAAAAAGTAAAAATAAAAGAAGAGTATGAGGAGCTGGGGATTTAGCTCTGTGGTTTTGCCGCCTGCTGTGCAAGCTCAAGGACTAGAGGTTCAATCCCAGGTACCAAAAAAAAAAGGGATATGAGAATGGAGTAAAACTGGTTTATTTGAGGGAAGAATAAAGACCTCACTGCAAATGAATATATGTGAAAAGGAATGTTCTAGGAGACGTAGCTAAGCTATAAAGCTGAAGACAGGGCCAGGGATGCAGCTCAGTGGCGTTGTGCCTGCTTGGCAAATGCAAGGTCCTGAGTTTGATCCTCTGTGGGGGGGAAGGAGGAGCTGAACATCAACTGGTACCTTATAAATCATCTCAATTCAGACTTTTTTCTATTGTAAGTAACTCCTTTATCTAGTACTATAATCTGAATGTTAGTCTTCCGCAATTCTTTCTTATTGTTGCTGTTTTTGTTTGTTTGAGACAGTTGGATTATGTAGTTCAGGTTGGCCTTGCATTTGCTATATAGCCCACCCAGACTCACCTTGAACTTACAATGATCCTCTTGCCTCAGTCTCCCAAGTGCTGGGATTACAGGTAAGAAGCACTCCTGTCTTATGAGGACACAATATTTCTTCCTTTCACCAAGTGAAGATGCAGCAAGAAGGCACCAGCTATAAAGAACAGGCCTTCACCAGATACTAAATCTAGTGGTACTTTCATCTTGAACTTCTCAGCCTCCAGAAATGAGAACACTAAATTTCTGATGCTTATAAATTACATAGTGTAAGGTAGTATATTATAGAAAACTAAATGGACACAGACATCTAGTTTATATTACCAGGAGATACTTGAACAAAAGATATGTTTTTAAAGCCAAGCGTGGTGGTGCATGCCTGCAATCCCAGCACTCAGGAGGCTGAGGCAGGAGTGCAAATTCCAGGCTACTTTGGGCTACACAGTGAGTTTAGGGCCAGCATGAACTACATAATGAGAAAACCAAAGCAATGTTTTTTTATTTTTTTTGTGGTACTGGAAATCGAACTCAGAACCTTGTGCTTGCCAGGCAGGTGTAGCTCCGCTGAGCTACATCCCCGGCCCCCAAAGAAATGTTTTTAAAGATAAAGCAGAAAAGGCGATAGGAAAAGCAATAAATTTCATTATCACAGAAAATATTTATGAGTCCTTACTATGTGTTAGGATCTTTCTTTCTCTTTTTTTTTTTTTACAGTACTGGGGATTGAACCCAGGGCCACATGCACGCTAGGCAAGCATTATACCACAAATTACACCCCCTATCCTGCCATACCATGAGAGAGGTTGCCCTCAATCTTGTGATACTCCTGCTTCTGCCTCCCAAGTAGCTGACCAATACCTCATTTAATCTTTACATAAACCCTTCAAAGTAAGGATTACTATTAGCCCTACATTACAGCACAGAAAACTGAGGCTTGAGGTCATTTAAAAACTTCCTCATGCTCATATATCTTCTAACAAGAGGAGCTAGGATTGGAATTAAGTCAAATTCTAGAGTTAAAACTTTATCTAGCATGCAAATATTTCCCAATGCTGTGCTTTGTCAAAAAGTTAGAAAATAACTTTGATACAGTCAGAAAGGAAAGTATCTCATCAAGGATTTATTCTTTTGGGATATCATCAAAAGGACTAAGTAAACAGCCAAGTGTTAGGCAGGAAACACGCTCCTATCTGAAACAAAGAGACCTACGTGGGCAACATGAACCCACTACAGATCCTTGTAAAGGGACAAAAATAGGTGTCTTCTTCAATGTGGACAAGTAGTTAGCTCTGACAAGGGGGGCAAAAGAAACTAAAACTTTATACCTTTTCAAACCCTGAAATCTCACCTTTTGGCTTTCTGAAAGAAGTTAAAGAGAAAAAGAATAGTTAAGAATATACTGGAATGCAGCTCAGTACTAAAGTGGTTGCCTACAACACATGAGGTCTGGGTTTGATTTCCAGTGTGTGAGGGGGAAGAACATATATATGTTACACACACACACACACACACACACACACACACACACGTGCGCGCACTGGAAAAGCAGAAAGGCGGTAAGTGCTTGGAATACTTACATGCAAAAAATAGAACAGCAAATATATGGGCAAAAATGACCAGCCTAAAAAAATGGCTACAATCCCAACAGGAAAGAACAAGGATATTCAAAATGGTGGGTCATATCCAAATAACTAGTTTTGGGTTTGTTTGGTTTTTTTGTATGGAATCTCACTATATTGCATAGGCTGGCCTTGAACTTGCCATCCTCCCGCCTCAGCCTCCTAATGAAGTATGATAGTAGGCAGTGCCACTGTACCCAGCATTAAAAGTTAAATATCTTGGCTGGGGATTTAGCTCAGTGGTTTTGCTGCCTGTTTTGCAAGCGCAAAGACCCGAGTTCGATCACCAGTACAAAAAAGAAAAAAAGTTAAATATCTCAATGATTTTTCCAAATAATTCTCATTCTGGCTTTTAAAAAATGTATAAATGAAGCCTTCCTCCAAAGTGTGATAAATTTATGCTTATAAAGGTATAAATGCCAGGACCCTGAGGCAGGAGGATTATAGGTTGGAGGTCAGCCTGACAACTTCGTGAGACCCTGTCTCAAAATAAAAAGGGGCTGGGGATGTGGTTCAGTGGTAGAGGACCTCTGGGTTCAACTGCAGTGATGGAAAAAAAAGTATAAATGAAAGTCTACACACTGTTCCTGCTATAAAAATCTTATCAGAAATAATCACCCTTTATAATGTACACTCTGACTTTATGTTTACATTGGCAGAAAAACTGCTATATTTATTTACTAACTCTTGGCTCAGTGTAGGTCCTAGATTCAATTCCCAGAACCACCAAAAAAAAAAAAAAAAGGCTATGTGAAGGCTGCTTCCAGAGCTGAGAACTCGATATTTTTACTTTTAACTTTCCTCACCTGAATTGGGCATGTTCTTGTGGCCAAGATAATATAGATATATGGAAAGAGTAAGTGCAGACAGTATCTACCATGTCTAGTTTTTTTTTGGGATTGTGTCTCACTATATAGTCCTGGCTAGCCTCAAAATTATGATCTTCCTGTCTCTGGTTATTGAGTGCTGGGATTACAGGCATGCATCATCATGTATACCCAGTTCCATGTAAACTTTTTATTCAATTACTCCATTAACGAGGACAGCATTTGGTAACTGTTATTAAAGCAAGACAATACAGTATAGGTATAATTAGGTACTGATCTTTCCACTTATCAGTATAACTACTTAATCCTGATTTAGGTTTAAAATTAAATCATCCTGAATTTACAGAGTCAATCCTCTTCTAGGATATGAGAAGCCTTCAATTTCAGGCAGCAAATGAGTTAACAGCTAAATTATTCAGCCGCCTGTCTATTTTGACACCAATATTAGAAATATACTTCAACGGGCTGTTTATATTCCATAACACAGACACCTGGCCATCCTCTCTAGTTCCTCTGTTTTAGTTTAACTTAATTTGGTTTTATTTAGTCTAAAACCTTCTGTCAATAAAAAAAACCCCAACAACAAAAAAACCACTCATAGTTTTCTTCAGAACTAAGAGTTAAGGTGGAGAGACTAGAGAGGAAGGGGAAGTAAAAAGAATTAAGAAGCATTATGTACATGTACCAACCCTCCACAATGAATGTAATAATTATGTACTGCAAACATACTAATAAAAATAAAAATTTAGAATTCAAAAAATGAAGAGTTAAGTGATGAAAGATCTTAAAATTACAGTGGCTGGTACATAGCAACTTTTTTTTTTTTTTTGGTACTGGGGATTGAACCCAGGGCCTTCACACTTAGTTAAATCCTTGGCCCTTTAAAAGTTTTTTAAAATTTTGAGACAGGATCCTGCTAAGTTGTGTGGGCTGGGTAGAACTTGTGATCTTCCTGTCCTAGCTTCCCAGAGTGCTGGGATTACAGCACTAACTTCTTTTTTTTGGTACCGGGGACTGAACTCGGGTCCTTGCGCTTGCGCAATAGGTGTTGAAACCATTGAGCTAAATCCCCGGCCCAAAATTCTTTTGGGGTGGGGGGGTACCGGGGATCGAACTGGAGTCCTTGTGCTTGGGAGCCAGGCGATGGAACCACTGAGCTAAATCCCCAGCCCCTCCTGGGAAGTTCTTATCCTTGAAACAAAAAATAACAAGCAAGCAGTATACTCTATATGGTTATCCTTTATCAATCCAAAATAACTATTACCACCTCCTAGGGAGGAGGCTTCTATTCTATTCACTGCCATTGGCTTCTACATATAATTTAGTCCTTATTTGTAATACAAGAATATAGACCAACTTGCATCTTTATTTTAAAATGCAGAGTTTTAACTATGATCTATAAATATGTTGGAATCTCACCTGGATCTTGAGCACTCCAACTACCTGAGCTGTAGATGGAGTGATGGTGAACTTCCACTCTGATCTCCAACGGCCATTCCTATTAAAACACATACAATACTGCAGAATTAGCAATAGGCACAAAAATGAGGTGATCTGCCACCGAGGCAGAGACATTGGAAAGGGCAGGGGCGAGGGACAGACAGTCATTTACAAGTTGACAAACCAAAGCCTTTGTCAAAGGGCCTAACCATAAGCCTTTTCTAAGTTATCTGGACTTTGCTTTTGTTTCCCATGGAGCGAAAACATGCCTATGTGTTCATTGGGAGGCTCGTCTAAAAATATAGTAGATGGTTAGGCTGTTGAGTTATATACTTAACTCAAATAAAACTTCATTAATCAATTGTTCTCACTCAATATGAGAGGTGTTTTTTGGTACCGAGGATTGAACTCAGGACTTTATGCTTTCGAGGCAGGTACAGTGCCACTAACCTAAACCCCCGGCCCTATGAGAGTATTTTTTGGATTGAACTCAGGACCTTGCGCTTGTGAGGCAAGCAGCAGAACCACTGAGCTAAATCCCAGGCCCTCTACGAGAGTATTTTTTAAAAAAAGATACAATTATAAAATCTTAGAATTGGAGGGGCCAGGGATTTAGCTCAGTGGTTCTGGTGCCTGCCCTGCAAGTGCAAGGTCCTGAGTTCGATCCCTGGCACCAAAAAAAAAAAAAAAAAAAATCAGAATTGGAGTCTAAACAATGTCTAAATCTATTACTTTATACATGGAAAAGTGAAGTCTGTAAGTCAAATAATTTACCCCAACACAGCTTAAAAACCAAGCCTCAACTCCTGTTTAATATAAATTAAATACAAACAGAAGAGAATATCTATTTCTTACCAGAAATTTTTAGGCTGGAACTGGTGGCTTTCAATACACGCAATAATAGTCTGTTGCCCATCTATAGTTTTAGCATATACCTGTGATTGGGAAAAAAAATAATTAGACTCGAAAAACATTTAATCTAAATGGCACACACTGAACAAAAGCAGTGTGCTAAATCTCTGAGGGAGAGAAAGAATCAGACAAAATAAGCATGAACAAAATTCTTTTCTTCAGATACGAACACAAAGGAGAATGTGTTGTTCTGGTAGAGACACTTGTACAATGAATACAGAAAGAAATACTACTCCTGGCTTAGAGTACCAGTGAGGCATCACTTAGGTTAGGCCTTAGAAAACAGATGAAGTTCTGATAAGCAGAGAATGAAAAAGATGAAACAGCTCAGGCAGGAAACCAACAACTTGTTAGGTGAACGGTAATTGATTCCTTTAGGTTAGAGGATGTGTATATGTCATGGAATAGTGGGAGACAAAAAACAGGACAGTGGATTAAGGTCATGAGGTAACAGGTGTAAGGTAAAAAGTTAAGACTATTCTACAGCAACGGAGAGCAAAATAACATGACCAAAACTGTTATTTTGGAAGAATAATCCATACTGATGTACAGGATAATGCAAGTAAAGCTGGAGATTGGTTAGGAGTCACAGAATTAACCTTCTAGGCAATGATCTAGGGTGGTATCAGTGGGAATAGAAAGGAGGGGCCATGTACAGAATGCAGAAGTATAATCAAATTCTAGAAATATACTGCAAATGAAAGGAAAAAGAAAGGAGCCAAAGTATTAGCACACTTGGATGACCAGAAAGATGGTGGTGCCATTAACATATTGGGAAATCTAGATGTCTAGTTAGTAAAAACATCAACTTTTCCTTAAAATGGGAGAAGCGAATAAAAATGTCAAGGAAGAGTAAACAAATAGTGCTTTATAGTCTACAAAGTAAGTTTTTAATATATATTTTCCCTATAAAATGTTTTCATGTATTTTCTTTTTGCTTTAATCAATCTGGTAAAAAAAAATCATCATCTACAGACAATAAAGTTGAAGTTCACAGAGTTCTTTCCCAAGGTCACTCAAAAGATACATGGTGAATAAAAAAAAAAAAAGAAAATACATGGTGAAGGTTAAACTCCAAACCATTGTTTTTGACACTAAAGTCTGTGCTACTCTATGTTGAATGGCTAATAGGCTTTCAAGAAAGAGAAATACAGCTTTGGGGAATTCCTAAATTTATAAAGGTAGTAGAAAAGAAAAGAAATGAGTACAGAGTAGGAAAAATTAAAGGGTGTTGGAATTTCTTTTTTCTGGTACCGGGGATCAAACTCAGGGCCTCGTGCTTGCTAGGCAGTCGAGGTGCCACTGAGCTAAATCCCGGGCCCTAGAAGGTCTTGATATATCAGCCAAAGAAAAAGATCATTTCTAAAAGTAGTCGGGTGGGCTCAGTGTAAAATGGCATAGCAAGTCAAGGACCAAGAAAAGGACAATGGATCATGCAATTCAGAAACAATTAGTACTCTCAAAGACCAATCTGCATAGCAGTTTGCCATATGGTGGCAAACCTACAGCAGGCGTGCTGCTGCAGCAGGCTATTTATCACTGAAAACTCTAAAAGGTTTGTCATCACTGCTCTACAGAATGAGGACCAAAGTAAATAACCAAAGGTTTAGAAGCAGATAGCTAATGTGGCAATGACAGTAGTATGGGAAGAATACTGATTGCTTTGGTGGTGAAGGAGATTAAAGCAGGAAGAGAGAGAGAGTACATAACTTACAGGAGTTATGATTGACAGACTTTTAGCACTCTTTAGGACAGCAGATATAAGGCTATTTCTACATAATGATAAATATATCAGGAGAGAAAATGAAGTTACATGAAGATGTCTCAAGTACACAGGATAGTATGATATTAGGAATAAGGACCCTTCTTCCTCAGACTCAAGTAGGATGGAAGGGAAGATTTCTGAATGTAGAGAGAAGAGAAATAAAAATATTTCATATTAGCTTCAATCTTAATAAAGCTTGGGGGATTAGATGCCCACCTGAGGACAATAGAAAAATGTCCAGAATATACTGCACGAAAAATATGATAGGGAATAAGGCGATGACCTTATGGATTACTAAGCAGGACAGCTGAGGATATACAACCTAGTACACAGTAGATACCATTACTTTCTTTTTGTTTTTTTTTAAGACAGGATAATTCAAGACCAGCCTGAACTACATAGCAAGAATCTGTCTCAAAAATAAATAAATAAATAAATAAATAAATAAATAAAGTTTAAAAAAAATCTAAATTCTAATTACTATTTTTCTTAATGTCATAATTTTATTAAGAAACCATAACAGAGCCAAATTTATCATTTTTAGAGCCCAAGAGGTAGTATACAAAAGTTAACTCTTAAATTTACAAAAACGTTCAATTCTAATACTTGAATATTCCACAAGAAAACATCTAAACTATATAAAAGTAGGGCCAGGGATTTAGCTCAGTGGTGCTGCCGCCTGCCTTGAAAACGCAAGGTCCTGAGTTCGATCCCCAGTACAAAAAAAGCAAAACACAAAAACTATATAAAAGTACTTTTGTGTAAAAATACCTATGATACCAAAAAGTTGTAAATGTAGGCTATAGGTTTCCTGGTATCATTTTTTTCATTTTCCCCATGTCTTAAATTAAGACCCCCCCCCCGCTTTTTTTCTTTTACTCAGGATTAAACCCAGGGACTTCACACTGGGCTATATCCCCAGCCCCCTTTCTTCCCTACTTATTTTGAGACAGACTCTTAAAAAATCAGTAAGTTGCCCAGGCTGGCCTGAACTTTCCATCCTCCTGCCTCAGCCTCCAAGAAGCCTGGGATTATAGGTGTACACCACTACACCTAGCTTAAACTAAAGACCTTTAAAAACATCTTTGATGGATGTCAGGCAACTTCTCATGAGTAAACAAGAGAAATATGAAATAGGTAAATAGATGTACCTCAAGACCATAATATTTTTCTTTTGTTTTTCCCTTCACTTCTGGGAATCGAACTCAGGACCTTGTGCTTACCAGGCAGGAACGGTGTCACTGAGCTAAATCCCCGCCCCAGAAATGTGAAATAGAATAACCTGAGATTTTAAACTATTACGCATTGGAATTTTTAAAAAGGAATTTTCCATATATTTATACTCCAAAAATGATTTTGGGAATAAAATGCAGGTAAGACCATAACCAAGAAGAAACAAATAAAAGTTTGATGGACCAAAGCCTCCACAGGATAAGGTAAACATAAGAAATAAAAACATTCTCTGATAATGAAGCAGGCAGATACTTAACAGTACAGAAGCCGTTGGAATAATGTTCTTTCACATAGGCTCTTAAAGCACTGTCACAGGATTCTCTCCAAGACTTCAAACTTCCATCTATTTCCTCTGGCTGGGGGTCACTTGCTTCCTTCCGTAAGTGATCAAACTTAAAGGAAATTTTGTTTCTTGGATCTAAAAATCTGCTATTACCCAGATCACCATGCTCTGTAATTAAAACCTTTCAGAGAAGAATTACAAATATTGAGTAACTACAAAAAGAGTTCTTATCACATTTTACAAAACAAGTAACAGAATCTCTACAGACACAATTTTTCATTTAGTCAAATTTCTCTTTCATACTGATTTTTCAATCAAGTATAATTTTTATTTTTATAAAAAATACTGTCAAGGGCCGGGGATTTAGCTCAGTGGTTCTGGTGCCTGCCTCGAAAGTGCAAAGTCCCAAGTTCAATCCCCGGTACCAAAAAAACCCAAAAACAACAACAATAAAAAACTGTCAAGTGAGATGGTGCACGCATGCCTGTAGTCCAGCTACTTGGGAGGGTGAGGCAGAAGGTACCTCTTTTTGGGGGGCGGGTACTGGGGATTGAACCCAGGACTTTTGCACTGAGCCATCCATAGTCTTTTAAAAATTTTTTGTAATTTTAAAGTTTTTTCACTTTGGGTCTCAGTCACTAAGTTGCCTGGGCAGGGCTTGACTTATTTGTGATCCTCTTGCATCAGCTTCCCAGTATGCTGGGATTAGAGGCATATGCCATCACACCTGGCTCATAAGGGTCTCCTGAGCCCATGAATTTGACTAGGCAACATAGCAAAACTCTTTCTCAAAAAGTAAAAAAAATTATGAAAAAAAAAGTAGTATGATGTGCTATGTACATGTACTAACTCTCCATGATGAATGTAATCATATGTACTATAAATACATACTAATAAAAAAATTTAAAACACATTAAATATTAGTAAGATAACTGGGCATGATGGTGCATGCCTGTAATCCCAGCACTCTGGGAGGCAGAGGCAAGAGGATCACAAATTTGAGCCCAGCCTGAGCAACTTAGGGAGATCCTGGCTCTAAATCAAAAAGGCTGGGGAGGTAATTCAGTGCAAAGACACTGAATTTAATACCTAGTACCAAAATAAATAAATATATAAAAATAAACCAATAACAAAAAATGTCAACTTTATAATGTAAATTTCTCCTAACCATACCCTTCATTTTTTTGGTGTCTAGTATTTATGTATATACTTTATACACAGCTCTAGTAACAACTTTTATGTATATTTTTGTATTCTTTTTTCACATTATTTTATGAAACCTTTCCAGTGTCATTATATTGAACATTTAAAATAGCTAACACTGGGCCGGGGATTTAGCTCAGTGGTTCCGCTGCCTGCCTCGCAAGCACAAGGTCCCGAGTTCGATCCCCGGTACCCAAAAAAAAAAAAAAAAGCTAACACAGTCACATGGTTCAAACATGAAAAAAATAGGGTTGTGGGTATAGCTCAGTGGTGGAGTGGTTGCCTAGCAGGAGTGAGGCCCTGGATTTGATCCCTAGCACAACAACAACAATAACAACAAATAAATAAGGTGAAATCTCTTTGTTACCCCTAATCCCTAAGCAGCAAATTCTTCTTGGTTTTGTTTGAGTCAGGATCTCACTATGTAGCCCAGGCTGGCCTCAAACTTGCCTCGTGCCTCCATTTCTGAGTGCTGGAATTATAGGTATGCACCATCTTCCTGCCCCAAGAAGCAAACCCTTAAAATAACTTAAATAGCCTAAATTTCAGTATGAATGCCTTTGTTCTCTCATTAACCCTAACATCTCCTGTTATTCTTAGCAAGTAGATTAGAGGTAGCCGGAAAACTTGTAAGACTTAACACCTTTTTTTAGATTTCTTGTGGAAGGCAGCCCTCCTTTTTGTCAAAGAAAGTTACTAGTATTATCAGAAAGAAGAATTTCCTGATATGTAGAATATTCACAAAAGTATGAAAACTAAGACATGAATTTATTCAGCATCTGACTCACAAATCCACTTTGGTTTCTAGATCTTTACTAACAAGCATAGCTTATCTAACAGGCAATTATTACCTGATCTTCATATCCTTCTATCTTCACAGGTGTGAACTGATCCATGTTATACTGGGCAAATGCACTGTTTAAAAAATAATAAAAGTAAATAGTTTTTCTATTTTACCAGCTACTCAAGCCAAAAACTTGAGTCATCCTTGGCCTCTCCAGGTCTTGCCATGATCCTGCCAAGCATCCTCAATGCTCCCCACCATCTGCTCCCAAGGGCCAGCTATGTTTCTAGTGAGGACCATGACCAACACAACACCTCAAGCTTCCTGGGGCCGAGCACAGGAGCAGACACTGTCATTGCTGTGTAGTAGGATCTGGGTGCCTCCAGGATCAGGCAGCCACATGGCGCAGTAACCCCACACCGTGTGTGACAGATGCCCTGACTGTCCGGATTGGAGCTCTGTAGTCTCTGGGACAAGAAGGCTGCAACCTAGTGTGAGCACTGAGGGTGATATCTGAGGCCAGGGCTCCACCACATTTCTCATGAGCCACATACGTGGCCATGTCCATTTGAGGGCCAGAGCTGCCTCCTTGCCCTCAGGTTTCCTCTTTCAGAATCCTCACTTCCTTGGAGTCTGCATATGTACATCCTTTCTGCATCTCACAGATGCAGTGGGCCTGTCCTGATTGCTAATGCAGGAAAACAAGTAGGTGACAGTCCTAGGAAAGGCCCCTGGAAGGCAGGAAAAGCCCTCACCAGATCCCAGCTTCGCTATCTACTTGACTGGAATTCTGGCTTCCAGAAGTTTGAGGAATAAATGTATACTGTTTACACTGCCCAGTGTCTTGGTATTTTTATAGCAAACTGAACAGACCAAGTTGTAAACTGGGTCAGCCTTAGGGAGAACAATTTGGCAAAGTCTAACAACAACAAAAAAAGTTCAGTACATGTGTGTGGGTCATCCTTGACTTTTCTCACATTTCAAATCTCATCTAATCTATCAGTAAACCCCCAACCCCCCTCATGCTGAGGATTGAACTTCACACTAAGATACATCCTAGCTTTCCTTTTATTTTCCCCTCATTTTTTATTTTGAAGCAGGTCTAAGTTGCCCAATTGGCCTCAAACTTGTGATCCTCCTGCTTCAGCCTCCCAGAGTGCTAGAATTACAAGCTGGGGCCACTAAGCCCATCTATCAGAATTTTTTTTTTTTTTTTTTGAGACAGTTGCACTATGTATTTTAGGCTGATCCTGAACTCACTAAGTAGCCCAGGCTGGCCTTGAATTCGAAGTGATCCTCTTGCTCAGCTTCCCAAGTACTGGGATTATATGTGAGCTCCACTACACCTGACTCCTATCAGTAAATCTTACAGGTTCTATATAAATATATATTCAGAATGTGACTTTCCTTCCTCCCCCCATTCCACTCTAGTCCAAACCACTACCAACTACCCTTGAACTACACTAATAGTTTCCAACCTCTGCCCCCCCACAGTGATTAGAATAATCATAAGCAGTGGTTATTCTAAAATCCAAGTCTCACCATACTATTTTGTTTGTACTGTTCTAATCACTCAGAACACCTGGTACTGTCCTATCTCACTCAGAATAAAATTCACTCTTCAGCATGACCTAAAACATCTTTCTTATACCAAAAGTGCTGAGAATTACCACAAATGGTTTTGGTGATCAGAAAGACAGGCGGAAATTCAGGATAGTCCTAGGTCTATTAGGCCTCCTTTATTTTGTATAGAAGGCAATATTGATGATTACTAAAACAACATTTATTGAGTGCTAATTATAAAGATTATGGCCAAGAGATTGAAGCATTTCACTATAAAAGTTAAAAATGAACCCTTCATCGCTATAGAAAAATCAGTTATTTGGGTTCAGGAAAATCTGTCTTTGGGAGTCTATAGAACAGAATATTTATACATATAAAGCTTTAGTATTAGTGCAATCAAAGTATCTGAATTGTATCCCAACTTCCACTCAGATCTAATTAGAAGTAGGTCATCAGGCTTAAGTTGTAAATACTGAGTGGCATTCCACCCTCAATGTACTTCAGCTATACTGTAAAGTGAAATAATAAAGTATGTTTATTTTGGATAGGTCTCAAGGATAAAACTAGAACCAATACGGCAGGGAAAGTGGACAACTTGCTTTGTAAGATGGGGAATTCCTTATTACCAGAAGGATTCAGATTGGATAACTATCTATTGACAGATATAGATGAAGTTCAGCAAAAGAGCAGAGGGTTGAACTAGCAAATCATGAATGCTCTTTTCTTTGTTTTTGAGACAGGTCTCACTATGTTACTCAGGCTGGCCTGGAACTCTCAACTATTCTGCCTCAGTTTCCCAAGTAGCTGGGATTACAGGCATGCACTGCTGAAATCTGCCTTGTGAACATCTTTTGCCATGCCAAATTTTATACATCTAAGAAGAAAGTTAGCATTAGAGTTTTATCTTTGACGTGTGGCTTACTTTCCTATATAAATGTAAATCTGGGTTTATCATTCATGATGACAATTACAGTGATGGTGTGTAAAACCTAGGTTTGCAGATTCTAGTCCCAAAACAAATTCCACGGACAGAAATTTCCTAATTTGTCTACTGGGCAGCAGCTTTTGATACCGTTTTCTACAACCAAAATCTAAACAAGTTACGTAGCAATTTGCACTTTAAGATACTTATTTGTTACTTTGCATCAAAATGTCCTGTCCTCCCCTCCCTCCCTTTATCTAGCCATTATCCAGTTCTGGTTTCCTTTTTACAAAGGAACCCTGGCCTCATTGGGTAGATAGTAACTCACACAGGGCTTTGGGTTGAACAGTAGAGTAGTACAAGGCCAGATAACAGGGATCCTTGAAAGTTAGAGAGCATTTAGATTTGATTTCAGGAGATTAAAACACAAAAACAAAAAAAACTCCCCCCAAATCCCCATTGATGTTTTTGAGGTCAAGGGCAAAATAAAGATGCTATTTTGGAAAGATCAGTTAGTTTGACAGTGATGAAGGGTCAATGACTAGCTGAAGTAATCATGCTTTTATCTATGGTTAATTCTGTTAAAGTACTCTATGAATATTGGCTATTTTTTTGTAATTTCAGAAACCATCAATCCTTATTAGCAGCTTAATCTTTCTGTAACTAGCAGTTTAAAAAAATTCAATACTGAACTAGAATTATAAAACCTAATAGCTAAGATTAAATTCTGCTTTAATAAGGAAAATATGGGCAAAATAAGTTCATATTAGGAAAACATGTTTTCTCTAAGAAATAAAAAAATAAAAACAGGATGGACAGCTTTAAGTATTTTAAACTTAGGCCAGGGATTTAGCTCAGTGGTTTCGCTGCCTGCTTTGTGATCTCAAGGACCCGAGTTCCATCCCGGGTACCAAAACAACAAAAACAAAACAAAACAAAGCATTTTGGCCGTGGATTTAGCTCAGTGGTTCCCCCGCCTGCCTCGCAAACATAAGGACCTGAGTTCGATCCCCGGTACCAAAAAAAAAAAAAAAAAGGCGGGGGGGACTTTCTTATGAAAAAACAATGCCCTACCAGAAATTAAAAGTCTGAAAAAAAAAAAAAACCAACAGTATTTTAAACTTAGTTTTCAGGGTGCTACTTTATCGTCACTATAGTTTACCCAATGTTAGGATAATAATGTAAGTATTTAGAAAAGATACTTACTGAGCTGCCCCTTCCCTGAGGAGATTGTCATTGTTAAGTAGTAGCCGGACATCTGAGGAGGAAAACATGTTGAAATGTTGGGTATTGGACAAATTTGAGAAAGTTTAGTGCATCTAAAAGAGATTTTTTTGGGGGGAGGGCTTTTGAGACAGGGTCTGGCTATGCTGTCCAGGCTGGTCTTGTACTCACTACATAGCCCAGGCTGGCCCAGAATTCACAGTCCTCCTGCCTCATCCTCCTAAGTGCTAGGATAACAGGCATGTGGCACCATGTTCAGCTAGAATAGATTTTTAAAGTCCAGACTTTTGAGAGGTTAGTTTTCAGATATACTATACGTACAGAAATTCTATAAATGTCAATGAATAGTTAATGTTCATAGCTTTATATACAATTATTAGTACTATAGGAAGCAAACAATAAATCCTCAAGGAATTTCATAGCAAAAGAAAAATAAGGTCTGCAGAAGGTTCCAGTTAGGACTACTAATTGAACTGAATTATTTATTTTTATGGTACCTGAGATAGAACCCATGGTCTCACACATGCTAGGCAAGCACTTTTATCATTTGAGCCACAGTCCTTAGCCTAAGTATTATTTAATGATTTATTTAAAATAAGCCTACATAGGGTAGGGATGTAGCTCAGTGGTAGAGTGCTTGCCTAGCATACACAAGGCCCTGGGTTCAATCCCCACTACTCCTCCTCCCCAAACCCTAGATTAAGAATTACAGGCCTTTCTACAATACCAGCTCAAGAAAGCTGGGCACAATTCTGTCACTGACCTAAAATTCTGACGTATTTTTCTCTGAAGAATTTAATACTGTATAGAGGTCCACAACTTTTTAAAAAGCTGGTGTCAATCTAGTCATTTTTTTCTGTTACTAAGAAAACACCAAGCATTTATTCCAAGAGGGAAGGCTGTGTCTAAGCCAAAGGGTACTGATTCTGAGAGCTTTTGAAAGAAGGGTCTGGTAGTGGCCAATGTGTGCCAATAAAAAAACCCAGACCTCATGACAAAAGTAGCTTGCAATTCTTAATCTAATACTTCTATTCCAATAATTCTCATGATGTTCCTGTAAAGTACATTCAGTTGTCAGAAGTATAACAAAGGACTTTCAACTATAAGACATTAATTTTGTCGTCAAGAAATGGCTGAGCCAGAAGTCAAGTTTAAGGAGAACTTTATAAAAGCTCAGTTGTTCAAAGTTTACATTTGAAGGAAAAAGACTAGGGAGAAAATGGCTACCCTTGTCTCCCTTATTGTCAGGGCTCAAAATCTAGAAATGATCTTTATAAAGATTTACTTCTATTATATTCTATATTTCTTGTGGTAAATGTTTGTGTTTCCCCTAGTTTTTCTCTGTACCGCTAATTTTACCAATGGAAATTACTGAATACTATACCATGTTTGGGGCTTTGGGCTAGTTACAGATAAATATCACATAGTTTCTCTCAAGTAGCTAACCTTCCAATATAAAACTAGAATTTCAAAATAAATGTTTGCTAAAATGAACCAAGGTGTGTAAAGATGACCTGACTTACAGAGAACTGTTTAAAAAAATCTTGTAAACTGTATTTAGTGGACAGTATGTTTTTCTGTTTGTTTAGTTTTCTGCAGTACTGGGGATTGAACATAGGGGCATGCTACCACTGAAATACAACCCTATCCCTTTTGAGACAGACTGCCCTCAAACTTTTGATCCTCCTGCCTTAGCCTCCTGAGTAGCTGTGATCACAGGTGTATGCCACCATGCTCAGCTGTGTATAGTATGGAAGACTGTAAATGTACTAGACAGTGGTTTGAAAACTGGCTCATTCAAAGTTAAAAGGGTGGAAAACAACACTCCATGTGACAGGAACCTGAAAAAAAGGAGTACCTATCCTCTTTGCAGATCAAGTGGATTTCAACCCAAAATCTGAAACACTTCTGGTTCCAAGAATTTCAGGTAAGGGATAGTCAACTTGTATGTACAAATCTATTGTGAACATGTGTTTTCATTTCTCTTAAGAACAGAACTGTTGGTTCTTAACAGTAATACAAGAAATTTCTATACTGTTTTCCAAAATGGTTTTATCATTTTACATTCACATTAGCAGTATTAGAAAGTTCTAACTGGTTCATACCTAAGCTGACATTTGTTCTTTTAAAACTTTCAACTTCATCTCCCTAATGAGTGTATAATACGATCTTGTTATTGTACTAATTAGTATTTTTCTGATTCTACTGCTGCATACCTTTCCTTGTGCTGTACTGGCTAGTTATCATCTTCTTGTGTCTACTTTTTAATTGGGTTGTCTATTAAGGAGCTGTAAGAGTTCTTTATACAATCGGGTCATAGGAT